CATTAGAGAAGCAAACTCAATGACAAATGGAATGACGAAATCAAAAATGTTATTCTACATTTTGTAAAGTCCCTATCTTACGGGTTTCTTTCTCATATTTTATAAAAGATATAAAATACCCAAAGATGATATATTACATTTTAAATCCCTTTCATTACAAGATCAAGTTTGATCTACAGCATTATCTACATCTATCAGTCAAAATAAAAAGAATATATACACAGAATCTTAGGGCCTTGCATGTATTTGGGTGAAAAATACGCAGGAAAGGTCAATATGCCGAGCGTGACCTAAGCGATCCAGCCATATATGAACGGATCATTATATACAGAGATGTCCCAACAGCCACGGCACCGCAGTTTTGACCCCATTTTGTCGCCTTAATAAAATCATTCATGGATGTAATTTCTTGGTCGTCCGCATTCATGAAGCCAGCAGATAATACAATCAGATCACATTAAAGACAAACAAGAGACTAAAAGATTGGGGAAGAGGGGAAGGAGGAGTTGGTATGGGGAGGTGGAAGTGGCTTGTCTTCAATATGAGCAGTTGGGCAGTTATGTCGGCATTGGTTTCGCTTTAAAGTTTAAATTGCGCTCATGTCTCTAGGACTCTCAAGGCCTTTCGGGCTGGCATTGTCCACTCCTGCAGGATTCTAAAATTTGTCGCTATATATACATAGCTTCCGAATGTCAACTTAGGTAAATTGGTGGATATAAGGTAGCAATCAAACAAGATTGATTAGATAGACATGATTAAGGATAATGGGACACCCGTTAACTCCAGGACAAAGTAGAACAACTTGCATTGAAAGACTGACGATATTCAGTTTTGGAGTAACCAGTTTATGACCATTGACTGAGCTGTCTCATTAATTCTATGTAAACCAAACCAATCATTCAGATCGATGCCGACTCCTGGGGCTGCCTTTCATTTCAGAAATGTTGTTTTGGGATTTGGGTATTTGCCCAAAATATGTAATGAACCTTCTGCTTCTTGATAGTGATATGAAAGATGATAGGTGAGATATGGAATCTCCTTGTTGGGTAGATGATTATTAGGTTATGCACGTAGATTGATAACTTCAACACAACAAGAGGGAAAAAAAGGATAACAGTATTAGTTTGCTAATGGTCATTGGTCACAACTCGGTTGGAATGTAGACAAAGTTTGATGTGACTTGTCACTGAACGGGAGTCGGGAGATTGAGCCAATGACCGTACCCCTTTTATGTCAAACCATTTTGCTCTCCTTTTCTTTTGGATCGTGATCAGGAATCACGTCGGTTGGAATCAAGCACATTTCATATACTGATAATTAACCATGGTTAATAAAACATTAATTATTTGTGCTGCTCAATGCTATGTGCCTGTGGATCTGCAAAGTGTAATCATGCATTCTGGGTCCATGAGGAGGAAGCAGTTAAAAGAGAGACAAAGGCCCAAAGGCAACAGGCTCAACGAAACCAGGTCCTCGCCCTGTATAATGTAGCATTGGGAAATACGATTTTGGAAGGAGGACATTAGGGCCCAACAACAGTAGCATTGCCTTTAAACCTGAATCCTAGTTGACAAAAAGTCCATCCAGGCCTAACTAGATAGTTTGTGTATCAGTCTGGATTCTGTGTCCATTGCCTAAACTTGGAAAATAGATTAGGGAAGAACCGCGTCACAGTTATGACTGTAACATTGGGAGCCGGACCCATCAGAATGCCAAATCATCATTTCAAACCATGAAAATTTCAGGGAGAAAGAAAAGGAAGAAATTTGGTTTGAAAAATATTTACTCTAAGGGAATTTGGTGAGGTTGACCAAATTTGGGGATTCCAATGGCAATTATCATCATACAGGGAGAAAGTGAGTGAGTTTCTTTGTACTGTTATCAAAGCCCATGCACGAAATATGTCCCAGAAAATATATGAATAATTGAAGAAATTTACTAATTAATTAACTACCCATGGTATGCTAATTTGCATATATGGTACCTTTTAGATTTCCTGTTACAGCAATAGTTCAATTCGAACCCCAGCGTTCTTGTCAATGGAATAAGCTGTTCCGGTTCATTGTAGACATTCTTTGATAGTTAAGCTAGTTTTAAAGTTTGATTAAATGTCAATTAGAAGAGCAAAATCTTGCCTTCGGTTCTAGGACAACTTTCTTCTGCTTTTGGGTCGAGTGTAACTGTGTAAGCATGGCTTGCTTCTCCGTGTATCTGGGCCAAAAGCTGCTTGTCATTTTCTGGTCTTTGCCCACTGTTTTTAACGTACCATGGAAAAAATTGGTTTGGTTTTTTATGTACCCCCTTCCTGAAATGGCAAGGTTTAGTTACAGCAATAACCACAGAATGGAATATTTCCCTTTTGGCAAATATAGATGGTAAGCTGAATCAGAACTGCCAAGTTTCAATAGTTGCCAGACTTTTCTTTATTTAGCACATCACCTACTATCCATCAGTCATTGTATATATAACATCATTATGTATTTCAGAAAGATGTGCGCATATCATTTTTCAACCAGCAGGAAAGGAGCAATTGAATCCATTTGGTCATGCTCCATATGGAGCTGGGACTGATTTGATCGAAACCGAATTGGGTGCCTACGGCGAGAAGTCCTTATGATCAGGCTCTGCCTATGCGCCAGGCAATGTAAGATTCATAAGTTCTAAGCAGATGGTTTTCCTTGGATGATGATTCTTAGTCTTGCTTGTGAAACATATTACAGATCAGCAGATACTTCTCCAATCCCCAGTATTATTTTCAAGTGAGTGATCAGCATGTGATGGACAAATTGAAATTGATTCTGTTCCCATTCCTGCATAAGGTATATGCAGTAGCAAGTAATTATTACCTTCTGTTTCCATCTCAGAAGTTGACACACTCTTTCTTTTTCCTTCAGGGACACGGGATGAGAGCAACAGAAACAGTAGGGGGTGAATTCTCTTACAAGCCTCCAATTCATGACCTAACTGCTACTGATCTGTACATTCCATTGATGGCATTTGGCACATATGTGGTTCTAGCAGGCTTCTTTCAAGCCATCAATGGAAAGCAAGTCCAACTTCCCTTTTAATCTTCTTGTTTCGTTTAAACCATTTGACAAATATAACAAATTTCCTTGTTTTTCAGATTTAGTCCTGAAGCTGTAGGCCTGCAAGCTACGAAGGAACTGCTTTGCTGGTTATTCCAAGTCCTTCTACTAGAAGCAACACTGCACACACTTGGAGACGGAGACGTGCCATTGCTCGACATCATTGCTTATGGAGGGTACACTTTTGCTGTAGTTTCGGTTGTTCTACTCTGCAGGATCCTATGGAGTCACTGCTTCTATGTAGTTACATTGTGGGAATGTTTCTGTATGGGGATGCTGCTTGTGAAGATCATGAAGAGAATTCTGACTGCGGAGGTGAGAAGGTCTGAGAAGCATTCAAGCAAACGCCATTATCTTCTACTTCTGGTAGCTGCTGCCCAAGTCCCATTGCTCTTTTGGCTAGGAAATATTGCTGTATAAGTTCTAACCAGTAACAACCTGTTTGGGGGCTGATTGATTTGTCCATAACATTATGCTTTAAATGAAGCTATGAAAATAATTATAATAATAAAGTTGTATCGAAGATTTGGATTTTATAGATTTTTATTAATAAAATTTTTTTATGTCATTATTATACTAAATTCACGATATATATGAAAAATCTTAAAAGATGAAAAAGATTCGGATTTTAAATTTCATGTCTCTTAGCATAACAAAAATTATGATTTTTTTGACAAAATATTTGTAAATTTGTCAATATTGAGAATTATGAAGAATTTTTTGTATATAAATTAATTTAAAAAAGTAATTTCCAATAATATTATTTCGTCTGTAACAAAAAATTTTGTCATTGAATCAAATTTAAATTATTATTTAATTTAATTTAATAATATTAAAATCTAAAATCCAAAGCCAATGAATTAGCTATAAGTAAGAGCGTAGTTCACAACCCAATCAGTAATCCCCCACAGTCCCATCCAGAATTGGAATCCACGTCAGACCGCAAACTGTATCCTCTACCTCTTCTTCGTGCGCTCCAGAACGCAGCGTTTCGATACAGGGGAAACTTCCCGACACGTGGAGGACATAGTAAACTAAAGAAAAAACACGGTTTAAATAAATCTTTTAACCGCCAGGTAAAACGTTGGTGGTCGGAAACAGTGGTTTTTTAAAGTGTTTTTTTACAGTGCCGTGCGCTAATGTTTTAACCGTCCGACGAAACTGGTCAGACCCAGATTCAATTTTTATTACACTTCCAAAAACTCCATGTTATTTATTTACTCCTAATAATAAATAAAAATGATAATAAAGACGCCCAGCGCAAAAACTTCCTCAATTTGAATTTTCTTTTTTTTTTCTTTAGATTTTATCTCTTTCAAATTACACCTTCTTATTTGTAGGATTCGTAAGATTTCCAAGGAAGAGTTCAGGTATTTTTCCTTCTTATTATCTGTTCGGTGTTTACGAGAATTTGGTTTGTTTTCGATTTTTTTTTATAGTTTTGGTCTTTGATTTTGTTTGCCTTTGAGGTTTCGATTTAATTCTGATTGGATGATCTATTAATCAGGGTCTCAAATTCGAATCTTTGTTTCATTTTGTTTTGTATCTGAAAAATTGCGGATTTTAGGTGGGATTTTCAACTGCGGATCATGAGTTTTCTTTTTCTTTTTTATTATTGTTCCTTTTCAGATGAGAAAAAGATCCGTTCTTTTAAAGACCCTTTTTTGTAATTTGCTTATTGGAATGAATAATTGTCAAAATCCATGCTTTCTTGGTTTAATTATTGAAATATTTTTGGGGGTGTTTTTATTTAATCTACGATTATTTCTAACGGAGAGGGAAAAGGCTGATGAATTTAAACATTTGTAGCAGAAAAAGTTCCTTTCTTGCAAATTTATGCTTTTTAAATTGTTTGGGTATCTGAATCTTGAGTTTTATTTGATTATATTGCAGGAGATTTGTTGAAATCAAAAGATGTTAGAGCAGTTGCTGATATTTACCAGGGGAGGGTTAATCCTCTGGACATGTAAAGAGCTTGGGAATGCTCTTAAAGGGTCACCAATTGACACCTTGATCCGGTCCTGTCTGTTGGAGGAGCGCTCTGGTGCAGCATCATATAACTATGACGCTCCTGGTGCTTCTTACACCCTCAAATGGACCTTCCATAATGAGCTTGGCCTTGTTTTTGTTGCTGTCTATCAGCGTATTCTCCATCTTTTGTATGTGGAAGATCTTCTTGCAATGGTGAGGCGTGAGTTTTCGGAGATTTATGATCCAAAGAGGACAATGTATAATGATTTTGATGAAACTTTTAGGCAGCTTAGGAGGGAGGCAGAAGCTAGGGCTGAGGAGTTTAAGAAATCAAAACAGACGGCTAAACCTGTGAATAACAATAAGAAGCAAGGGCAGGTGCAAAAAGCTGGTTTTGATAAAGGAAGTAAGAAGAGTGAGGGTGGCTTGGCTGCTGATGGTGGGGATGGTGATAAAGTGAAAGGTCGTAAATTGGAGAATGGACACTCCAATGGTAATCATGTTGAGATTGAAGAACCTAGGATGACAGGTGTTGTTAATGGTAAAGAAAATACTAGCTCCAATATTAGTGCTTTCGATGTAAGTAAGCTTCAGAAAAGAACTAAAGGTGGAAAGAAAACTGATACTGTTGTTAACAAGGGTACCAAGGTGGACCCTAAGAAAAAAGTAGCAAAGAAGAATAGAGTTTGGGATGATGCACCTCCAGAGACAAAATTGGACTTTACTGATCCAGTGGATGGAAATGGAAATGAGAATATAGAGGTTGTTGCAGCTGATCAAGGTGAAAGTATGATGGACATTGAAGAGATTATCAGCAGTGATAGTGAAAGTGAAGAAGATGACAATGTGGGGAAGGATAGCAAGCCTGAAGCAAAGAAAAAGGGTTGGTTTTCCTCCATGTTCCAGAGGTATTTGTTGTACTTTTATCCTCTACTTTGATGTAGTTTCTTCTTTTAGATCATAATTTCTATTCTAGGATATATTTGTTCTGTCTTCGTGAAGAGTGAAATTGGAGCTCCTTTTTTTTGGGTGAAGCCTTCAAGGCTTTTGTTTTATCATGTTCAGATGTTCGTCATAAAGCATGTCCCCGCTAGTTTTATTTATTTTCATAAAACCTTACAACTTGAGTTGCTAATGTTTCTTTTATAGAGTTGATCTCTTTGATATTGCCATTATGTTCTTATATAATTTACATTGCAAAAGATGGCATTAGTAGTCAATGTATGATATTTGTTCTGCTAGGCATCACCGCTTAAAGAATGAAAGATTTTCGGACATCATTTGCTTGTATCATTGTTACATATTCCAGTCCCAAAGAGTTATACAGTCCTTTTTGTTTCCCATCTTATGGTGAACTCTTATTGTGTTTCATTTGGGCTTTGCAGAACCTCTACCGTAAGCTTTTATCATCACCATCCAATTTTGTTGTAAATTGTTGAATTTATGATGCAATTGCATCACTTATTCGTTTTCTACTTTCTTGGACTCAGTATTGCTGGAAAGGCAAATTTGGAGAAGGCAGACCTAGAACCAGCTTTGAAGGCTCTCAAGGATAGGCTCATGACAAAGAATGTGGTATGTCTTCTTCTAATATAACACACTTGAGTTCCAATGGATTGTTACCTTTCAATGTTTATAGGGCTGCTTACATATATGTGGCATTTACAGGCTGAGGAGATAGCGGAGAAGCTTTGTGAATCAGTAGCTGCAAGTCTTGAAGGAAAAAAGCTGGCCTCATTCACAAGGATCTCTTCAACAGTGCAGGTCTACAATTTTTTCATCTTTTAAATTGGACTCTCAATTTTTTTTTCTTTTTTTTTTCCTGCTTTTTGATTGTCTATAATTTTAATGGCGTATGGTGATTGTGACTGCAGGCTGCAATGGAAGAAGCTCTTGTTCGTATTTTAACTCCTAGGCGCTCCATTGACATACTGAGGGATGTGCATGCTGCCAAAGAACAGAGGAAGCCATATGTTGTTGTCTTTGTTGGTGTTAATGGAGTTGGGAAGTCAACAAATCTAGCCAAGGTTAAGCTGATTTAAGTGCACTATATCTAGATATGTCCTCAGGGACATGCTTTCTGGTCAGGCTGCCTAACCTCAAGTGTTACTTTGCAGGTCGCTTACTGGCTTCTGCAGCACAATGTTAGTGTTATGATGGCTGCTTGTGATACATTCCGGTCTGGAGCTGTTGAGCAGCTGCGAACTCATGCACGTAGACTTCAGGTATTACATCAATCATAAATGTTACATTTTCAGCATATTGGGCCTCATCTTGCTCGAAGGTGGTTTGCTTTGTGTAATGACAAGCATCATTGGTAAAGCTACTCTTTTATATCTGATTTGTTACTTGCTGCCTTGCTAGATTCCTATATTTGAGAAAGGGTACGAGAAAGATCCCGCAATTGTAGCAAAGGAAGCAATTCAGGAGGCCACTCGTAATGGTTCAGATGTTGTTCTTGTTGATACAGCTGGGCGGATGCAGGTATCTTCTAATATGTCAATTTGTTTCTGTGGACTTTTATACTTTGGGTAGTGCTTGGTGGGTGCTTCATTCATACTTTCTATTGCTTTCAGAAGCCTGAAAATAAAAAGTATAATGGTTCTGATTAAGGGTCAAGATAGTGGTATAACTTTTGCAATGGAAACCAATTGCATTCAATACATTATTTACTCTGAAATTGAATGGAACAAACTAGAGGATGTCTAGATAACCCATTCAAAACAGGTTTGCTTGCAAGAACTAGAGGAGGAACCAGTTATATTAGTTTTGCTAAAGGCAGTGAGACGACCAATTGAGCTATTTTGCTTTGAATGATATTTAAATGCAATCCTAGCTGTATTGCTTTTCTTTGTTATCACTGTTATGTTATTAATATCCATGTTATGCTTATCAGGATAATGAACCATTAATGAGAGCTCTCTCGAAGCTTATATACCTCAACAATCCAGATCTTGTCTTATTTGTTGGAGAGGCACTAGTTGGGAATGATGCTGTTGACCAGTTGTCAAAATTCAACCAGGTTTGCTTTCACGTTTAAACATTTTCTGTCGTTTTCAAAATTTCAAATCTTTTGGTTGTACCTATATTACTAAATCTATGTTATAAAGCAGCGAGTCTTGTTCTTCTTGCAGAAATTGGCTGACCTCTCTACTTCTCCTACGCCAAGATTGATAGATGGGATTTTGCTCACTAAGTTTGACACTATTGATGACAAGGTAAAATGAGTTTGAATCCGAGAAGGTTTTTATATTTTGGTTGCTATGGGAATCTCACACTGCCATTTATCTTATTTTTGGTTTATAACTGAAACTGATGTAGGTTGGAGCAGCGTTGTCAATGGTCTACATCTCGGGAGCACCGGTCATGTTTGTTGGCTGTGGCCAGTCATATACTGACCTGAAGAAACTAAATGTCAAATCAATAGTCAAGACCCTGCTGAAATGAGTGACTGCTTGATATAAATCCTCAATTTCATTTGCAATGCTCGAACTTCGAATACTGTTTCTCTGGCTGTGACTTTGTGTTACGTTAATGGAGGTGCATCACTCCCTTGCGGCTGTACATTTATTTATGTAGATCTTGAATTTGTCTGAGTTTGGTAGCCTTTTCTATCTTCTTCTCATGTCTGCTGAAAGATTAGTATTACAGTGAGAACTGTTTGTGAATCTGCCCGTTCTGCCCCCCACACCCTGTCAAGGATTGAAAGCCTTTTTCTTCAGTATTTGGTCAGTGGTTGTGAACCTGGCCATGATGTCCAAATAGTCGAATGATTGGATATAATGAGAACAACTCGATCAAGTGAAATGTAGGAATAAATAAAGGGCACGATTTAAGCAGGAAAAGAATAAATAATTCATATTTGCTTCCACTCCAATCTCTGGAAAGAATAATCTAATGTAAGAATACAAAAATTTCCTTCTATAATCAGTTGAATGATTCCTCAAGCAGCAGTAATGGATCGAATCTCTCTCTCTCATAACAAAGCCAACATCTAGTTTTTCAAAACAGAGCCAGCGCCGTTAGAACCCCCAACATAACCACCAAGCCACTTTTCAAGCATACGCCACTGCTCGTTGGAGCCACTGCAGGGCCGTCATACTCCATCGGAGAAGGTGCCGGTGAGACTCCTATGAACTGGCTTCTTGCAGACATAACCACAACGATCAGTTTCTGTCCCTTTTGGCAGTGTCCCTCAGCTCCACTGATAAAATAGTATGCCCCTGACCTCTCCAGCTTCACCTTAGTGTTGTCATCCTTGTGTGCAGCTATAGGGCTCGATGTGTTGCATGTTTCATAGTCTTTTTTACTCACCTGGAGCACGGAGTCCTTGCTGGGATCAAAACTCCAAACTGCAAAAACAAAAAACAAGATCAGATGAGTAACAGAAAGGACCCAGATGAGAAAATGAAAGAAAAGTTCGATAATGAGTGGTTATTCCTGTACCTAAAGAGTCTCCAATCTGGAAACGTGAAGCCCCAGCCCATTTGTTAAGAGAGTCAGATTCAGATGAAGGGATTTTCCAAGCGTTGGCTTTGCCTCCAACTAAATGTTCCCTTGCTTCTGTTAAGGTTAAGAAGACAGAAACAAGCAGAACTGAAGACGACAACAAACCTCTGCTTGCAGCCATGTTTCTTTATATATGCTTTTCGAAAATAGTTTTGAAGGGTGCGTATGTGAGGCAGATGGAGAGGAGGATGTGGGAAGAGTGAGGAACATGGAAGCAATTTATAGTGGGCAAATGCGAACCCAGAGAGAAAAAGAGCCGTTGTGGTTGCAGCAGGTTCAAGAGAGTAAAGAGACTATTATTAGATATTGCTTTGGGAATTGTCAAAAATTGAGCAGTTTCATTGTGGCGGCCTACTCTGTCATTTTGCCGTTGGAATTGCTTGAGCCGCCAGCCCATTTCTCAGGACGGATTCCTGCTTGCCACATTTCGTGATTCTCACCGTGACTAATTTCAAATGTCAATAAAATGAGTAGTAGACTAATAACCCAGAATTTTGAGCAATCTTTGTGTCCTTCACATGGTGGGAGGATGGATAGCCATTGCTTGTAGGCTTTGATTAGTGTTTCCTAGTCCATTCAATTCTGCCAATAAGCCCAACCTCTCTGTTTACCCCAAAAGGAAAAACTGATTTACTTATCTGGAAAACAGTGGGGAAGGGGAGGTTTTAACTTTTGATTGAAACTTCTCTGGAAATGCACTAACAATGAGATTGAGAGAAACAAAATCAAAAAGTAAAGTTGTTACACATATTGTTCTTTTCATTCTAAAGATTTATGGGATTATGCAATTCAGGTTTCAGGGTTTATATTTATATACATAAGGATCATTTAAACTTGATTACTACTATATAGTTTGTAACTTGGAGATTTGATTACCTTACAAAGATAATTGCTTATTTAATGGATCTCATCCCTTTCCTCCCTGTGAGACCCCAAGTTTAAAATACAAGGTTGAAACGGGTAATTGATTTGGTGAGTTTAGGAATCATCTTCGTTAGTTGAAAACTCTAAATTTCTAACCTTTAAGAATTCATAAATTTAGAATCTGAAGGTTAGTGGAGGAAGTTGAAATGGAATTAGGCTTAAAAAGATCAATTTTCACAAATTTGAACTAGAAGGGTCGATCCTAGGAAGCAAAATGGGGCAAAATGCATTTTGGAAGTACTAGGATTGACCCCCACGCTTCCAAGGGTTGATCCTTAAGCCTCCATGATAGAAAATGCATTCTACTTTAGACCAAGATTAACTCCCATCCTTTAAAGGGTGATCCCAAAAAGCAGAATGGGGAAAAATACATTTTGGAAGTGTTAGGATCAATCCCTACCCTTCCAAGGGTTGATCCTTAAACCTTCAAGATAGAAAATGCATTATGTTTTAGACCAAGATCGACCCCCACCTTTTAAATGATCAGTCTTAGAAGGATGGATCCTAGGGCATCCAAATAGAAAAATAAAACCTAAAACCCTCAAAACTCGAGCCACTTTTCATTTATTCTCTTTTCTTTGTTTTCCCTCCCATTTTCTTTCAAAATCTCCTCCTCCTTTCAAGACTCTCAAGGTTTTATTATCAAACCTTAAATTCTAAGTACTAAAGATAAGGATTTTCACTCTAAAAATAATGGTTCTTTTTTATTTTAATCTTCTCTCTTTAAAAATTAAAAACTTTTTTAAATTTTCAAGGTTTTACTGGATCTCTTTTCTAGAAAGCTCACCAAGGTAAAGTAAGATACAAGTTAAGTTGTTTATTTAATGGGTATGAGGTTTGGAAGAAGAATTGATGAAAATTATTGAAAATAAGTGAAGATGAGTTAAGTTGGAAAATAGGTTTTTATTTATTACGAATTTCAGGAAGTATTTATGGTGATATTAATGATTGCTTGTTAAATTAGGTGTTGTTGAAGGTTTCAACTCGTCATGTTAAGCAAGGTTCAATTGGTTAAAAGTGCTCGAAAAGTATTGTGAGTAGATATGCGTTTTAAAATTATTTTGGATATAGCTAAACATGTTTTCGAGGTTTATGAAAGAATGAGAAATTTGGATGATTGATTGGATATGTTTGATGCTAAAGGTTCTGAAAGAAAATGTTTTGAATGTATACATGTATGTAAGTATGAATATATGTATGTACCTTTTCATGGGGAACAAGCATTTTAAATGATTGGAAAATTTCGTTTCAACATGACTTGGAAAATTAAATGAACATAGTTTAGCTTTTTGCAATAATTGTGAATTGATAATTAGACTTTGTTAGATGCCTTAGTACCTTCGGAATTGTTAAGTGCCTTAGCATCTTCAGAATTGTTAGGTGCCTTAACACCTTTGGATATTGTTAGGTGCCTAGCATCTTTAGTTAGGTATCGTAGCACCTTTGGATTTTTGCCATGAGCCTTACCATGAACGAATATGTGCTTTATTACACTTGGATGTTGGATTAATGCACAATCATATGTGAATCATTTTACTCATATATTATACTTGCTTATAAGCTTATTTTGAAATGCACCCATTATCGTGGTTAAGCTACATGATTATAATGTATCTTTGACAATTTGACTATGGAATTGATTAGATTAAATGTCTTGATAGGAGTTTGTTTGGTTCATTAATTGTAGAAATATTGATGTTTTGGACCTTAGATCTGATAGATTGGAAAAAGGGAATTGATGGATTGTTTAGGTGTCATAGTACCTTTAGATTTGATTAGGTGTCATAACACCTTTGGATTTTGGCCATGAGCCTTAACATGAACAAACTTGTGCCTTATTACATTTGGATGTTAGATTGAAGCATAATTATATGTGAATCATTTTGCAAGCTAAGCTCATTAACCGTTTATGCCATGAGAGCCTTTTGCAAGCTAAGCTCAAGACTTGAAATGGCATGTTAGTGATGAGGTTAATAAAATCACTTTTTTTTAAAAAAAAAATATGTGAATCATTTTACTTATATTATCCTTGCTTATATGCCTATTTTGAAATGCACCCATTATCATGTTTGAGTTACATGGTTATAATGTATGTTGGAGAATTCGATTGTGTGATTGATTGGATTAAATTTCTTGGTAGGAATTTGTTTGGTTCATCAAATATAAAACTATTGATGTTTTGGAACCTTAGATTTGATCGATTAGAAAGGGGAATTGATGGCAAGGTAAATGAAGTGAAATTAAAAGGTTTAAGGGCCAAATTTGGAACTGTTGGGATCGATCCCTGAGAACCAAAAGATCGATCTTAGACCAGCAGATCCCGCATAAAATGTTCAATGTTTTAAAGGATCGACCCCCTGGTAAGGAAAGGTCGATCCTAGTAGAGCAAAACACATAAGAAGTGTTATGTGTTTTAAAGGATCGACCACCCATCAAGGACAGATTGATTCCTGTAGTGAAAATTACACTACTTATGGTATTTTTATTTTGTTTTAAGCAGTTGTTTGGGCATCTTTGAACCAAGTTTCTAAGGGACTTTGAGTATAATTTTGGCATTTCTAAAGATGTATAATTGCCTCTTTAAAATGCACTTGATCAAATTATGGATTTGATTTGGAAAGTGGCATGTTTTATGCAAATAAATTTATTCTAAAACTCCTTCATTTTGCTTGTACTCCCTTTCATATTCCATATTTGCTCACTAGGATTTTATACTAAGATTTTATATCTCACTTCATAAATATTTGGTTAGCTTACGAGGAGTTTTCTCAAATATATATACATATATATATATATATTGTTTTTATATCTATAGATATTTGGTTTGCTTACTTGAAGAGTTTTCTTTTTATGCTTGTTTTTGGAGTTTAGTAAGATTTTCTATCATATATATATATATATATATTTGTTTTTAGATCAACATATATTTGGCTTAAGATTAATAGATATTTGGTTGGCTTACTAGAGGCTTATTAGAAGAGTTTTCTCTTTGCTAGCTTATCTATATATATAACTTATCTTTTATTGATGTGGGATTTGTGATATTTTATTTCATTCAATTGTAACACTTGTTATGAATTCATATTTTTAACACAAAAGATATATATAAGAGGTGGTAGAAAGTTTATATTTATATATATCAAAAACCAAACTTACTTTTTTGCTAATGTAAAATTCGTGACATATGATACTCTTATATTGCATTAACAATTTTACTTTTAAAGTGTTCTTTACAAAGATCGAACCTTAATTAATTAGAAAAAAGATTCCTTTCCTTGTGGACGAGATTAAGTCGTGCGGGTTTTAACACTCTCCCAATTATAAACCCTTTCACTCAAAATAGTTTTAATGGATGACAGCGTTGGCAGGAGCATATTTCATCAATGAAGTTACATACCCAATCACATTTTGAATTAAAGTTCATACAAGAGGAAAACATATGCATGTGCAGCTTGGTATTAGCAGCAAGGAAATAAAATCGAAGTCCTAAATAAAGGACCTGCTACTGTTGCTTCAAACTTGCCATCTTTTGCATGGGAAATCAATGCTATCCTCCTTGTACAGACTTTGATTCCTCAAAACTGCTTTCCAAAACTTCCCTTATTTGTAGAAACTTCTAAGAATCCAGCGCATCTCACAGATTACGATATCCTCAAAGGAGGGTTCCCTTCCTTAAAACATTTTTACACCCCCTGAGAATTAAACCAGATTATTTTTCCAATGAACAGACTCTGCAACTACAGTGGGTTTAACACGTGTCATCCATGAAGAGCTTCGGGTATCTCCCAAACCTTCAACCTGACGACTATTTAAGTCGCCAAGCCCTTCAGGGAAACATCTGTAAAGTGATTTCCATATTGTAGTTATCTGCTCTAAGCAATGGCTTCTTGGAGAACTTTGGTCAGACTTTTGGCCATAGGTTTGGTGTTGTTTAGCTTCTGTGATGCCAAGGAACTTCTTGTTGGGGGCAGTGAAAATGCATGGAAGATCCCAGTTAACTCATCGGATTCTCTGAATCAGTGGGCTGGGAAAACCCGTTTCAAAGTTGGCGATTTTCTCAGTATTATCTCATCTCACATTCTTCATCTGATATCCTCCATTTTTGTTCATTGTTCATTTTTTTTTTATTTTAGATCAAATTTTCCATGAAAATCCGTCTGGGTTTTCACTAACCAAGCATAAACTTGATTAAATCATTGAAAACCCTGATCTTCTCTGATCATTGTTCTTGTTTGTAGTTTGGAAGTACGACGGTAAGGTTGATTCAGTGCTTCAGGTGACCAAGGAGGACTATGAAAACTGCAACACATCCAAACCGATCAAGGAATACAAAGACGGTAACACCAAGGTGGAGCTGGACAAATCAGGTCCGTTCTACTTCATCAGTGGAGCCGGTGGTCACTGTCAGAAAGGACAGAAGCTTGTAATCGTTGTCATGTCTGAAAAACATTGGGACCATCCTGATTCCCCTACTCCAACAGTACCTGCTCCGGCACCTGCTCAAAACAGCGCCAGCCTCATCAAGCCACTCAGGGATGGCTTCCTGTTCTGGGGTCTGGCCTCCTTTGGGGTTGCTTTTGCTTTCCTTTGAGAGAGAGAGAGAGAGAGAGAGATATGATCTGTCTGGTAGGATTTGCAGGCTGAGAATTCATGTTTGATTTGGTTTGTGATTTGCAGTAACAAAAAGCATGGTTTATGTCTCTCTATCTCCAATCCTTGTTTGATTACAAATTGATTCTGTGATTGATTATGATTTAATTTGAATTTCATGATCTTTGATTCTCCTTTTATCTACTTTTGCATGGTTTTAGTTTAATTGTGAGAGAGCTATTATCATGGGGGAGGGAATAAATTTTGATATTAATTTGATTAACAAAAAAATTTAATTTTCCTTATCTGACCGAAAGTAGCTGTGCATGATTAATGATTTGGTTTTGATATGTGAAAAATAAAAATTTAGGAAATTAAAGAAAGATTTTTATTGATTAATGCATGATTTTTTATTTAAAAAATAAAATTTAAAATTTTTTTTCTTTAATTTCAAAAAAAAATTCTATTTATTAATTTATCCCAAAAACTTAATTTGATCTATGATTTCTATACTTAATAAAAAAATTTTTTAAAAAATAAATTATCGTCGAATTTAATGTTTGTTGATGTTTTTTATTTACGTAATAAGTGTGATAATTAACATGATTAATAAATTATGTCAATTGTCATGTGTCATGTCAATTTATCAAATCATATATTACATAGTATTAGTTAATTTTAAATTTAACTATGGTTAGTTTTTGGTAAGGTTGAGAATTTGTTTGAATAAAAATCAAAATTTGACAGGTCTTTTAGTTACAATAAAAGGTGAAGGACTCAATTGATAAATGGGTATTGTATATGGGATTTTTACTATTTAAACCGAAAAAGAAGATGTTGGGTCAGGCCACGGGAGCCCGAAGAACTGTTTATGGGGCGGATTGGGATCCGTCTAAATTTAACTTAAAATAAAAATAAAGTAAAAAATATCCGGCAATGGCTTCTTTTGTTCTTCACTCGACCAAGCTGAGTCTCTGATTCTCTGTTGAGAGGGTGAGAATTCAGATAACACAAAAGTTACAAAACAAAGCCTGTTATCTTCCCTCTTTGTTAATGAAGCTGATGGTACTGTCGTTGTCAATCTAACAAATGTCAGCTTCCGCTTCATTTCGCTGCTGTAAGCTTTCTTTCCTCTCTCAAAAACGCAAACTTCTCGTTTGCTTCTTCACTATCTTTGGCTTATCAATTTATGATTTTTTTTTCTGGGTTTTTGGAAAATTTACGCTTATTGTCATTAATCGGGAAAAGGGTCTTCTTGTTTGTTTGGAGATTAATGAAAGCTTTGCTCTTTTTTTGTCTCTAGTCGTTTGTTTGTCAGAATACGACTTTTACAGTTTGGTTCTTGAGAGTTTTTTAAGTATATGTAATTCTGGTCTCAGGGGTGGATTGTGGTTCCACGAATCATCTGTCTCATGGTAAATTAGTGCCTTTGCCTTCCAGAATTGGGCCATTGATGCTTTCATACCACTCGAGAGCGGATTTTCTGAAGCTTAACCTCTATCCAGGCCTTAGTTTGCTTTCTTCTTTGGAGGTGTGCTGCATTTGGCTTTATGTTTTACTTCCCTGTACTCCATATTTGGCTAATTGACTTACTGTTGAAGTTGCAGTTGTTAAATAATGTAGGTACTTATTGAGAGAACGTGGATGAAGCCTCATTCGTGAACAATAGAATAGTTGATTAAGAAACTAACAGTAGAATAGTTTATTAAAGACTTAAAACCAGTTGGTAAATGTTTATCCTTATGCAACCCATAGCAATAGACAATAAATTTAACTTTTTGCTTAAAATCAGGGTGAATCTTAGGACTTTTTCTTACAGAGTTTTCACTTTTGTTTCAACTTGATTTGGTTAATCATACATCATTTTTCCAAATGACAAGACCAACTGACCAATCAAATTAGTTAATAAATCATTCAAAATAATCTAATTGTAAATGTGGCAGAACTGACAGGTTCCGACGCTTAGCATGTTTATTAGAAGCCAGCAGTTTACGAGGTAATTATTAGTTTCAAAACAATTCTAACAGATTGATATTTTTGGGATTGGTGGTTTCTGCAGTGCAGTAGTGGTAAACTAAAACTTCAGTCAGAGCCTAGAGCACCATCAAGAAAGTTTCATCGACCATGTGCATTGGTTGTTAGATGTGATCACCCTCAAAATGCAGACTTTCCTCGCTACTATTCAAGGAAAGAGAAAAAGCCCTTCCCTGTACCTGTACTGGAGCTGAGGCGAGCTGCTAGGGAGAGGGCCAAGAAGAGCAAAGGCCAACCTAAAAAACCAGTTCCACCTCCAAAGAATGGCTTAATTGTTAAAAGCCTGGTACCCCTTGCCTATGATGTGCTGAATGCAAGGGTTACATTAATTAACAATCTCAAGAAACTTTTGAAGGTGGTGAAAGTTCATGCTTGCGGGTAATTTCCTCCTTTTGTGCTTATTTCCCTAGGAACATCCCTGATGTAGTACAGAGACAGCCTTGAACCCAGTTATTATTCGCAAAAGCGTGGTATTTTGAGGGAAAAACCAACCTCTTTGACTATAATGTAACAGTATAAGCCTATGAAATAATGTTTACATTTAGCATCATGAAATTTCTTACTACCAATTTCTCGTTTTATTTTTGATCCATCTAGCACCAATTTTTAGAATAAGGTTGACAAGCACCATATATGTCACTTGGTTGTCATATAGGCGCTAGCACTGAAATTTAATGTTCTCACTGAGATTCATTAGTATCCTTGTAATATACCATGGCTGATTACTGTTACCACCTGCTTTTCCGTGTTAATTTTAGATAAGTGGCTTATGATTTATGTAGTGTGCCCTTTTGTATGGGATGCATTTAACACTGCACAAGTTATTCTGCCGAAGTCTAGTAACTTGGTAAGTGATTGGCCAATTCTTGATGCCTTAGTGGTTATTTTAACCAAGTTCTCGTCTGCACATCTCTATGCTTGTAAAGCATTGAGAGAAAGAAAACTCTCATCATTCAAATTGATTGAAAACTTGGAGTGGCAAAAATTTAATCATAAAGACAAGGTGTTTAAAATTTGTTAGCGTCCAGTGTCATTAGATGCGTGTAATGTGAATGATCCAACTGCTTGACTATTCTTGAATGATTCCACACTATGCTTGTTATGTAATTAGACTTAATTTCTTTCTGGTCATAATCAGAGTTCATTAGTTTATCAAAAATTAATTTTTAGCCTTGAGTGCGTATAGGAAGTATGCTGTATTGATCGTTTAATCTCCACATTTTGCAGTTATTGTAGTGAAATTCATGTTGGTCCTGTTGGGCATCCATTCAAGTCATGTAGGGGTCAACATGCTTCCATCCGTAAGGGCCTCCATGAATGGACATACGCAACTGTTGAAGATGTATTGTTGCCAGTTGATGCCTACCATCTATATGATCGCCTTGGAAAGCGCATTCGTCACGATGAGAGATTCTCAATTCCTCGGATTCCAGCAGTAGTTGAGCTCTGCATCCAAGCTGGTGTCAATCTTCCTGAATTTCCGACAAAGAGGAGAAGAAAGCCAATCATTCGTATTGGGAAAAGGGAATTCATTGATGCTGATGAAAGTGAACTACCAGATCCTGTCCCAGAAGTTCCCTTGAAACCAATATTGACTGAAATACCGGATCCAGAAGTAGTAGCTCCTTGTGATGAAGAGGAAACAATCTTGCTTGCTGAGGAAACACTCCAAGCATGGGAACAGATGAGGAGAGGAGCCAAGAAGCTAATGAGGATGTATCCTGTGAGGGTTTGCGGATATTGCCCGGAGGTGCATGTAGGTCCTTCTGGACACAAAGCACAGAACTGTGGGGCCCACAAGCACCAGCAACGAAATGGGCAACATGGCTGGCAAGCGGCAGTGTTAGATGACTTGATACCTCCAAGGTATGTCTGGCATGTCCCTGATGTGAAAGGACAGCCATTGCAGCGGGAGCTCAGGTCTTTCTATGGCCAAGCCCCTGCTGTGGTGGAAATTTGCGTGCACGCTGGTGCTGCTGTGCCTGATCAATATAAACCAACCATGAGGTTGGATATTGGGATCCCCACCAGCCTTAGAGAAGCTGAAATGGTAGTATGAATCTTTGAGGATCTTCATCCTTTATTCTGTATTCTTAATTTCCATATAAAAATGTAAATTATAATTGAATATTATCATAAAAAATGAAATGAAATGCAAAGTTCTTTCCATAAGATGGAATGCTTTTTATGATTTTTGTCTCTTGATAAGTTGATAGCTGCACAACCTGACTTGGTGGCAGGCTTGGTTTCTCTTCCTCTGTTTCTGCTTAGTAATTAAAAAAAAAAAAATCTTATGAAAAAGAACTTAAAAGAAATATATTTCATGTATTTGTTTTATAATTCCTTGAATGATCAATTTAATCATTTTAAGAAATCTTCAAACAGAGATTTTAGGGATAGAACAGAATACAGGGTAATCCACACATGCATCTTTGCAAGAATTTCTGATAATCGAAAGGAGTCTTGTGCCTCCATAACTTCTGGAACTACTTCAGCCAGTCAACTTCCACCTGTCATTAAACCATAACTTCTCAATGTGGATTCTCCTCGTGTCAATCATCCATTAACTACCTCCTAGTTTTCTTGCCACCCTCATGTTTCCCCTTTAAACCTCCCCCAGTAGAAGAAGCAGAGAAAGAGAAGCATCATAAAAACAAGACAAAACGCAGAGAGAAAAAGTTGTATGATGCAATATGGCAGGACCGCATCAAGCAGCGCAACATTCAACAGAAGTACTTCACCAGACTAGAAAAGGACCATGTCCTGTGAAAATGGCCGTCGGTGGTTTTGCCATGGCTGCCACCATAGGTTACTTCGTCTTGTGGTCCAAGAAGAAACCTGAAGCCTCTGCCCTCGACGTGGCAAAAGTCACTGCCGGTGTTGCCAAGCCTGAGAACACCCATCCACGCTAGTTGACATACCTAGTTCATCATCTTCTTCAAAGCATCAGTTTCCTCTTTGTTACTTTCAAATTTTTTACTTGTTCTCATGGTTCAAATGGTTTGTTGTAATCCCATTATGATTGAGAACAAACTAGCGTATGTAAATGAATTATGCTGTTCAAAACAGATGGCAAAGGATGTTCCTTTTCTCTTCGTTTCTATTCATTATTATTAGCTTTTTACATAGCAAATCATCCCACCAAGTTTGACCACATTTATCTTTCGTTCAACTGCAAGGATTACCACCTTCTTACTTGAATCGTTCTATTCTTATTATTCGACAATAAATCAATGGAAGAAAATCTGAAAAAAAGAAAAGAAAGGAAAATCTGCATACATTTGGTCAAGCCACGGAACCAGATCATCTCTTCACGTCGTAACAAAGGATCATGAACAAGAACGTTGTGTGACGAGGAAAGGTCCACTCCTCCCACATCGGGCAGGAACGGGTAGGTCCTAGGCTATAAGAAGCGGGGTGCTGCACACCTGTGACAACTGGTTTTCATGGGAGAGGGTAATGACCCCGTGACAAAATGGTATCAGAGCGGACCTGTTGCCTCGTCCCGACTCACACCAAGCGCCCGGGTCCGGGAAAGGCCGGAGAGGGGTAGGCAGGGTGGCCGGCGGCAGCGGTGCGCCCGAGAACGGGGACGTTGTCGAATCAGGTGGGTGAGGGTGTGACGAGGAAAGGTCCACTCCTCCCACATCGGGCAGGAACGGGTAGGTCCTGGGCTATAAGAAGCGGGGTGCTGCACACCTGTGACAATCGGTTTTCATGGGAGAGGGTAATGACCCTGTGACAGTTGCACCATGAACTGAACTTTGTAGAAAATGGAGCCCAGTAGGAACCTAACTCGGGCTCCAACATCTGTTTGAAGATTCAAGGGTGGGTTGGGTTGGAGTTGGGCCTCAAACGATTCCACGTGATGGGACCCAAGGAAACCTGGAGAGACAGAAAGGTATCAGTTTTTCCAATTTACAGCCACCGAAGAAGACAAAGCAGCTTCTGCATTTTTTTTTCCCGCAACATCATCCCAAATCCATTTCCTACAAAGCTTTTACAACATTTTTCATACAATTCCGCCACAAAGAAACAGTAAGGCAAGATGAATAAAATAAAAACTGGGTATTGGCCTTGAAATTGGCAAATCTATCGCCACTTGCTCCTCCAACTTTCCTTCCCATCACAAAATGTATGAAATGGAAATCTAACAAACTCAACATATATGCTTTACAGTTTTAGACACGCCCATCATTCGCATTAATCCAATCCAAGAGATGGAACTCTCTTCCCTCCCCTCCGTTTCTCCTCTCGCTCTATGTACGATACGTATATCTATACTTCCATAATTGTATTCGTGTTCATCTTTTTCTGTTTACTGGTTCTGCTTTTCCCTTTTTTCAGGTCACCCAAAGCCCGGGAGTTCTGCTACGTTGCCTTTCTTGCCGGTAATTTTAATTTTTTTTAGTGGCTATCCGTTTGGTTGCATAGAAAGTAGAGGGAAAGGTTAGCTGGAACCATTGAAGTTGAGTGAACTTCACGGTTTTTTCAATAGAGGAAAAAATCTTCAGCAAAGTTTTAACCTATTATTAATTTGCTTGATGTTTTTCAATTTGAAATGCTTTGATATCTTTCCATCTTTACGGAACAAATGCCTGTTCGGTTTATAGAGTTTAGACAGTGTTTCAAGTAGATTCTATGATTGGAGGACGTGTTAGAAATTTTAGAAGAACATTTGTTTTCTTTGTTTTTCTTTATATTCCCTGTAATTTGCTTTATGGCAGTGTTCTTAATGTACTGTTTATGCAGTTTTCGATTCGTAAAGGAGCTAACTTTGGCTATTCTCTGTGTATACGGGCAACTTTGAGAAATTCATGTAATTGTAAGTGAATTCTTACTAAAACTATGTTCTTTATGTTTGATTTAATGCTGCAAAGTGTGGATGCACTGTAAAATTGCTGCAAATTTTTTTTTTCCATTTAGGATAGATTGTTGGGTTTAAATTGTTCTGGTAATTTAGTGTACATGGATTATTTGGTGGTGGATACCAAGTGAGGGTTTGTTACTTCATATATGTATAGATAAGTAACTTTACTTCAAAGAGGTTTACAAATTAGCTTTTCTCCTTTCTTTGCAGCTGCTCAAAATAACTTTTTGCATATTTCAAGGACGCATGAGGGTGTATCTCGGTGTTATGTTAACCCAAAGGAGGGTTTAAATAGATCGTATTATAATAGTAAATTACATAACCAGAACAAAATGTCCAGATACATAGTTGCGAGATCTGAATTTGCTGGGACTGGAACCCCTGAAGCTGCCTATTCTTTATCAGGTTTTCCTGAAAATCTATTCAGTCATTGACCTATTTTGTTATATATATATATATGATTTTAAATTGTTGCACCCTAACAATTTTATCAATTCTTCAAATTTCAACATGCAGAAATTAAACTGGGTTCAAAAGTTAGAGGAGTATGCTTTTATGCTGTTACAGCAATAGCAGCTATTTTACTTATTTGGTTTATGCTGGTTTCGCATCCCTTCGTGCTCTTGTTTGATCGCTACAGAAGAAAAGCTCAGCATTTTATTGCCAAACTTTGGGCTATGGCAACAGTTGCTCCTTTTTTTAAAATTGAGTTTGAAGGATTGGAGAATCTGCCTCCAGAGGATGTTCCTGCCGTATATGTTTCCAACCACCAGAGTTTTTTAGACATCTATACACTTCTAACTCTTGGAAGAAGCTTCAAGTTCATCAGCAAGACGGGGATATTTCTTTATCCCATTATTGGGTGGGCCATGTCTATGATGGGTCTAATTCCATTAAAGCGCATGGACAGCAGAAGCCAGTTGGTATTCCCTCTTCTTTTTTTGTCATCGTTGTTGCAGTTGTTTCTGCTTAGCATGCCCATGTTGGATGGCAATATAGGAATCTGTTGTAGTAATATCTTTTAGATAGGCAGGTTTTCTTTTACTTTTTCTGAATTATAAGTTTGATATTCTTTTACTGTTGTGCATGTAGGACTGTCTTAAGAGATGTATGGATCTCATCAGGAATGGTGCCTCTGTTCTTTTCTTCCCAGAAGGCACACGGAGTAAGGATGGGAAGCTAGGTGCTTTCAAGGTAAGATCATGCTGGCATTCTTATTGAGTTGCTAAGTAAACTATCAATTGAAACTTATATGTCTTTGGTTTGGGCTCAAGTACCATTGATGAAAAGATTGATACTTGCCTTGGCCATCTTCTTTACACCCAGTGGGATCATATGCAATTGCCTTGTACTCAAGTCATTAAATGAATGTACTCTGGAATACTTCCGAGCCCCTATCTAATAAAAAGTACTCTCTCCCATATTGATGATAGGTTTGGATTATAGAAAATCTGGAAGATTTTAGAATGCCACTGCTTATTTGGAAGCTCATATTTGTCTTGATTATAATGTGCAGAAAGGTGCATTTAGTGTTGCAGCAAAAACTGGAGTGCCTGTCGTTCCTATGACCCTAATCGGCACAGGCAAAATCATGCCTTCAGGACTGGAGGGTGTCATAAATTCAGGATCTGTAAAAGTTGTTATTCATAAGCCGATCAAAGGAAGTGATCCAGAAATATTATGCAATGAAGCTAGAAACACAATTGCAGATACACTTAAGCATCAAGGCTGAGAAACTGGCTGGCCGCTATGACCTCTGATTTTATGGCTCAAACTTACTCCTTTGGTGCTGATTTAAGGAACATGATTGAAAGGTACGCAATTTTGCCCTTAACTTTATTGGAACTGTGTTTTATTTTCTTTTGGCAAATAAAACGTGATTTGTGCCATCTTTTGACCCATCTCTCTGATTTTAGACTTCTATATATAAAGCTGAATACTAATAATCACTCCATTATAAAGCTCTTAGTGATGGGATTGATAAAATGATTATTGACATCAGGATGTTGTGTGTTTTTTCTTCAATTATGCTCTGTTCTATGCTCGGAACAAAACTTGCTAATACTGATGAGCCGTTTTTCTGCAGGTTTTACAATTCTGAAAATAGCACCATTTAGTTATACATGATCAGCTGCTGGCTTTTAATCACTTTCACTTTGCACCTAACAGTTTAGGCTCTTCGAGATTGTATCTGGGACCATTACATCCTATGTTTCCGACTGGCAGTAACAACTAACAAGATGGCCAATCTACCAGCTTAAGTTGGCATCAAAATTTTCTTCCATGTCACGTCCTGCAGTTTGTGGCCATTCTGGAATAAGAGTCTGAAAAGGAATTTTGCTGTACCCGGATAGAACTTGGTTGTGTATTATTTTGTCAAAAACTACCTGCATCTGGGGGCTACAAAATAAAAAGATAAAACTATTCTGAAGAGGTCATTCTCATGGCTCTTTTCTTTCACTCCTTCTTGTTTATGTAAATGCAATGGCGGCTGGCTATTGGCGAACTCTGGACCTGAAACTTATAGCTGAAGCTGTACACGGAGAAAAGGTCAAGGGGGTTGGAGGCCGAAGTGGGAGTCCTGCAAGGCTGTGCCAACTCTACCTTAGTTGGCTTAATACCTTTGACCACGTTGATCTCTACACCGGATTTTGGTTCAGCTAATCCTTTGTTTATATCATTTGAAGTAAATTCCATCAAAAGATATAAAGAAAGCAAATAAATTCCATCAAAAGAAATAAAGAAAGCAACTCTCAGTCAAAGTCTCAACCGTATTAATCAAATGGAGAGGATTTAAGAAAAATAAAGAATATCCTTTCTGCCAAACAAAAATTTTATCAAACCTTCTAGATATATATATATATATAATATTTTTTAATTCTCATTATTTTTACCCGCTCGAAATATATAAATTCAACAGTAAAATAGGTTTATATAATGTGAAATATGTATGTACTATCATTAATTTTTAAAATGTCGATTGATGTATATTAAAATTTATCAATTTTTTTATTAATGTTAGACTTTCATGAGAAATACCGTATTCAAAATAGATTTAAATTAAAATAGATATTTTTCTTTTATGAATAAAAATCAGTGCAACGAGCAAGGAATATCGATTTTTCTCCACTGAATAAATAAGATATATATATATATGTATGTATAAATGTTAAACTAACGCAGATAAAGAAATATAAAATTAAAAATAAAATAAACAGAAAAAGGCCGGGGTAACCGGTTTCGGTTTGGGGACGTCAAAAGCGACAGCCAATAAAACTGAAAGCGGAGGGTCAAATTAGTCATTTCGTAAATTTGACCCCTTTTCTTCTTCTTGGCCTTTTTCGGTAAATGATATTTTCATCTTCATCTTTTTCTTTCCCACTTTCTTCTTCTTCATCTGCTTCTTCTGTTCTCTTCTTCAGTCGCGCCTTATTGTAAATCTTTTTTTATTTTTTGTTTTTAATTTTATCTGTAAGTTTTTAAATTCAATTTTTGAAGTACAAGCTTCAAGGATTTCTCTGTAAGTCTTTGCTTTCTCTCTTCTCAATTTATTTTTATTTAATATTATTTCTTTTTTTTTTATGTGCGTTCTTAATTTTTGTTTTCTAGTTTGAATGTTTTCTGGATTTTTTTCTTAGGTTTAAAGTAGAAATTATGCATTTTTTATAGTTTGATTCTGATGAATTAAAGTTTGAACTAAGAACTTCCAATCTAGGAGTTCACTTTGCTTCACTAATTAGTTGTTTTTCTGCGTTTTAGTGCATGTTTCATTCGATTAAGCGGTCAACTACGGGGAGATAATTTGATTCTTTAAAAGACTGGAAATGTTGAGAATACTTGGAAAGGAAAGTGAATCAATGAGTCAAGTTTTAGAGCCATTTTTTAGGGATCCGGTTGTATATATGGAGAATTTAATCAATTTCTAGCAATTTAAGTTACTAAAGATAGAAGAATTAGGTAAGTGAGAACTTTTTATTGAAACTACGATTGTTGCTTGATTAATGGATGAAAAGATATTGGTAACTGGAGAAGAGATGTGTGTTAATTAAAGTTAGGTTTGTCTTCTAAAGACTGAGATTAAAGGCATTTGGTTTATTGAAATTCAAAGAAAAAGATGATAATTTGTGCTGTAGAGAAACATCGACTAGTTCAATAATTGACTCCCTATTCTATTCATGCATTGAAATTTTTTACTAATGGCCTTGCATTTTCTAGCATTTTAGTTGCATAATTGCTGATCTTAGACTGTTATCCGAGCAACTGGTGCTAATTGGTTAGCACTTGATTGAATTCTCTTTGTTTTGATTGCAGGATGTATTTATGTGCTTAATTGTGAAAAAATGTTTGATTGTGGTTATAAAGCTCAGTACATGAGTGGTCAGAGGGAGAAGTTTGTCAGGTACTGACAGCACTATTCTAAATATTCTTTTATGTACTTCTCTCTCTCTCTCTCGTGTGGTCACAGGGATACATTTTTAAGGAAGTCTTATAATCTTTAAATTTTACTTTCTATTTTCTCTAGGTTGGATGACTTGGACTCTAGATTATCATCACCCTCTGATGCAGGATTGAAAAACTGTGGATTTAACATTGAGGGATTAAATCGTTCTGGCCATGCAAACGGTACAACATCTAGGTCTTTCAAGAGAGGGATCAGAAAGGGTTCTGAAGGACTTAAGTCAATTGGTCGCTCTCTTGGATTTGGGGTTTCTCGAGCAGTATTTCCTGAGGATCTTAAAGCATCAGAGAAGAAGATTTTTGATCCTCAGGATAAATTCCTCTTGCTTTGCAATAAATTATTTTTCGTATCATGTATCCTGGCTGTATCGGTGGACCCTCTATTTTTTTATCTTCCAGTTATTAATAATTCAGAAAATTGTCTCATGATGGATAAAAAATTAGCAGTCACGGCAACAACTCTGCGGACAATTATAGATGCTTTCTATCTTATACGCATGGCTCTCCAGTTCCGTACTGCTTATATTGCTCCATCATCTCGGGTTTTTGGACGAGGTGAACTTGTGATAGATCCTGCACAAATAGCCAAGCGATACTTGCAGCGATATTTCATCATTGATTTTCTGGCTGTGCTTCCATTACCACAGGTCTTTAAAGTTGTTTCCCTTAGTATTTAAAACCTGAAGGCTGCATATTCTCCCTTGTTCTCATGCATGTAGCTCTCTGTTTCTTGCATTATATCCTTCTTTCTTTATTTTCTTCTTTGTGAGCGACAATCATATTTCTTTATGATTTCTATGGGAGTTAAATCCATCTGATGTCGTAGTGTTGTTCATTCTTTATTCTTGTTTTGCCTGTTATTTGTTCTTTCTGTGTAACAACTTTCTTTCTATACATGCTGCTTTCTGTTATATTGACACACTCTTTACTGCATGTATTCTATCACTTAAAGTGGGAAACACATGAGCAGGTTGATGTTTTATTTTGCATGATAGATATGTGCTCTGGGATAATATTTTTTTTCATTACATTTTTTTTCCTTCTGCCTATCAATTTCACATTTTGGAGAACATCTAGTATTTCTTCCTTAAGTATTTATGCATGCATGATGAGTGTTTATGTATGCAACCATATCTACTAGTAAAAGTATTGTTATAAAGTCTTTAAGATTCAGAGTTAGTAATGATATCATCAAGTACAATAGGAGTAAGTGGCAATGTTTAATACTGGTGGATCTATGGCCTGCCATCTTGTCTGTCTTTTGAAATTCTGGCTTGCTGAAGGAGCTAAGTGATGGTGTTAATTCACATCTTTTGAATTAAGCCCTTGAGCACTTTAGTACAAGGCCAATTTAAATACTCTTAAGTTCCTAATACAGAATGGGTATAACCTGCATAGGATTTTTCAGTGAAAAACTGGCAGAAAAGTGTTGTCCTCTAACTGCTTAATATGTTGATTATGAATGTTCAGGCTAGATTATATGTGCATTATTATATTAGGGAGGGATGGTTTCCTATACTGAAGGAATAATGTCAATGAGCTGTCATTGTGGCATGGCATCCTAGTTGCAACTTGGCTGGTCTAAGCGTCTATAGCTTTCTCATTATCTTTGTTCATATATGCAGATTATTGTTTGGAGATTTCTTCATAGTTCAAATGGTTCAGATGTACTTGCAACAAAACAGGCCTTGTTTTTTGTTGTCTTGCTTCAGTACATCCCTAGATTTCTTAGAGTTGTACCCTTAACATCAGAAATGAAAAGGACAACTGGTGTCTTTGCTGAAACCGCTTGGGCTGGAGCTGCATATTATTTGCTATTATATATGCTTTGTAGTCATGTAAGTGCCTAATTAAATTGTGTCTTTATTTCACTAATGAAACCTGTTGTTAATTGTTCTCCACCCTGTTTGTTTTGATGCTATCTGAACAGGTCTTTCTTGCTAATTTTGATCTCTGCGGCTCAATTTTCACCTAATAACCTGTTCTAGCCCTGTTATGCAAATATGGTTACTCAAGTAATTACTTTTTGATCTGTGTTTTTGTTGGATGAATGTTTCAGATAGTAGGGGCATTCTGGTACTTGTTAGCTGTAGAACGCAATGACACATGCTGGCGGCAGGCTTGTAGGGATAGTGGTAGTGATAAATGCAATAAAGATTTCTTGTACTGTGGGAATCAGCAGATGGAAGGTTATAGCACATGGGCTGGCATCAGAAGCTCTGTTCTTAGTGATAAGTGCCCAGCAGATGACAATAATGATAATCCTCCTTTTGATTTTGGAATCTTCACTAACGCTCTGTCATCTGGCATTGTCGCATCAACAAATTTCCTTTCAAAATACTGCTACTGTTTATGGTGGGGTCTACAGAACTTGAGGTGGGAAAACTCATTCCTTTTAAGTGCTGATTGAGATATAAAATAAGAAAAGAAAAATAGTGGTGGATTCAGTTATATGATAATTTGTAGTGTGTATCGGGTTATGCTGAAACAGATAATTGCATTCATATCAGACATTGATAATTATATATTTACCATGATTGCAGGTGACAAAGTTTATTGGTAGTATTGCATTGAATAATCTTTACAGAACTATTTTCCTGAAAGAGAATTGGAAGGCTCTACTTCTGTGGAAAGTTTTCATACCTTCTTGGGGAATGTATATGAAATAGATGCACTCTAGGTTATGTTTTCTGTTTATCTATTATTTATTAACAGGGACTTGGATGTTAAACTCCTTATTTGTAAACTTAATGCATCTTGTCTGTAGTCTTGATGGTTAGACATTCTCTGACATCTACGTGTATAAATTATTTTCTTGTGCTAATCTTGCATGCTTATGCAATTTTCTAAATGACATATTAATTCAAGAAAACAGAAAATGTGCTGTTTGACATTAAGGCATTTGTATTAACCATCCTTTAAAATTATATCTTATATATCTTGGCAAAATGAATTAAATATGTAATTAATGCATATATTTGTTTGATGGTTTTTTGTGTAAAATTAAACTATCCGTTTTAACATTGCTGATTACTAAGATTCTTCTGTATTTTCCTTAATCTCTCTGCAGCACCCTTGGCCAGGGGCTTCAAACTAGCACCTATCCTGGAGAGGTCATATTCTCCATAGCACTTGCAATTTTTGGACTCATCCTCTTTGCTCTTCTGATTGGAAACATGCAGGTGAATTTTGGACTTTATCCCATGCATTATCTTTTAATTACTTAGTTGATACTGTCGAAGCACTCTGTTGACTGATCCAACGGTGTTCTGACATTGTGGTTGTTTTCAATCTTGTAAACAGACCTATCTTCAGTCTCTCACCATTCGGCTAGAAGAAATGAGGATCAAAAGGCGTGACTCAGAACAGTGGATGCATCACCGTATGCTTCCCCAGGACCTCAGGGAACGGGTAAGACGTTACGACCAATATAAGTGGTTGGAAACACGGGGTGTTGATGAAGAAAACTTGGTTCAGAGCCTTCCAAAGGATCTGAGGAGAGATATTAAGAGACACCTCTGTCTGGCTTTGGTTAGAAGGGTAAGTTCTTTTCCTTTGCTTCTTTTCATATCTTTCCCGTATTCATTTTCTTCCTTTGTCTTTGGCTTTTGGTGTCTTCCCTATTGGCTGTCCTGAGAAATGCAAGTTCTGGATTGTTCATTTATTAGGTTGCCATGATAACCGTCTTTCCCTTGGTTTTTTATATTCTTGTTTGAAAGCATGTAGAGTACATCTTTTCCCCAAAACATAATTCTAAAATTTGCATTATATATAAGTGATTACTAGTTTGTAGTACTTTTTGTTTAGTGAAATTTCTGATAGGTTGTCTTAGAAATTTTTCAGCTCTTATATGCTGATCTCGATTCTGTTCTTTATTTGCGTATAGAGCTGTTCTTTATCTTCAATTGCCTTTTCCTTTCCTCCCATTATTTTTTTGGGATGACCCTTGCTTCCAGCAGGATTGGTCCTTTCCAACTGGCCTTAATATTGTATTGTTATGGTACCATGCTGCTTGATAACTGCTTTGCTTCTTCTTGTAGGTTCCTCTATTCGAGAGTATGGATGAGAGGTTGCTTGATGCCATTTGTGAACGGCTTAAACCATGCTTGTTTACTGAGAGCACTTACATAGTTCGAGAGGGGGATCCAGTCGATGAGATGCTTTTCATCATTCGTGGCCGGCTTGAGAGTGTAACAACAGATGGTGGGAGGAGTGGGTTTTTCAACCGCAGTTTGCTGAAAGAAGGAGATTTCTGTGGAGAGGAACTTTTAACTTGGGCATTGGATCCCAAATCTGGTGCTAACCTTCCATCATCTACTCGGACAGTGAAGGCTTTGACTGAGGTCGAGGCTTTTGCCCTAATAGCTGAGGAGTTGAAGTTTGTTGCCAGTCAATTCAGGCGTCTCCACAGTAGACAGGTGCAACATACCTTCCGTTTTCACTCACAGCAGTGGAGGACCTGGGCAGCTTGCTTTATCCAAGCTGCTTGGCGGCGTTATTCCAAGAGGAAGAATATGGAGCTTCGTAGGAAGGAAGAAGAAGACGCAGAAGGGATGGATGGAACCCGCAATAACAGTGGTGGAGGTTCGTACAGCCTCGGTGCCACTTTCTTAGCTTCCAAGTTTGCAGCAAATGCACTTCGTGGTATCCATCGGAATCGGAATGCTAAGAGTGCAAAGGAGTTGGTGAAACTACAAAAGCCTCCTGAGCCTGATTTTACTGCCGAAGATGCTGATTGATTTGTTAAAATGCTGTTACTTTGATCTAAATTGTATTCGCTTGGCAGAACTAAAAACAATGTATAATACACACACATTCCAGTTTGGAATAGGAGTTGTAAGGCTTGCTGGAAGAAATGTTAAGACTGTAAAGCTTGCTTGCTGCTTCATTATGCCTATGGATTCCTATTTCTCTAACCAGAATGTTCAGGCCTCTTATCATGTTCCAATTGTAGGGAGGGGAGTTTCAATGATTGCACGTGTGAAGAAACATCCTGGATCATAAGGAAAAGCAATCCTTGCTAATGAACAACTCCTTTTCCAACTTTGGATGCTGACAGAATTGCTTGTAATTAATCTTGTGCGTCTCGTTTGCACTGATGTGATGAGATTTAAATGGAATCCGACCCTACCTCAGACCAAGATTAGCAAGAATGAAGCACCACCATATCTTCCAGCCCCACAAACACGGCATGTTCACGAAGATATTTGAAAGAGTAATGAAAATTAGGTGTGTGCATTTTCCACGGAGGCAAGACTTTTGACTTCCCAAGTCAATGGATTCCCTCGTTTCCTCTAAATACTTCTTCTTCATTCAGATTCTGCGTAACAATTTTCCATTTAGAGTTCATTAGAACCAAAGCCTGCTCCTGCAATCAAAGATATGGCACTCTTTTTGATCAAACAATCATCTTTGTCCTTCCGAGTCTTGTTCTTCTTCACCCTCCTGCTGCTTTCTTCTTCCCATGTCTTCGTTTCTGTCTCTGTTTCAAATTCTTCAATTCCTAGAGGTGAATCAACAAGAGAGAAGGAAGCTAATGCTCTTCTTAAGTGGAAGGCTAGTCTTGATCATCAAAGTCAGTCTGTCCTGTCTTCTTGGCTTGGAAATGACACTTGCTACTGGATTGGGATCATTTGTGACAAGTCTGGACGGGTCAGCCACTTGAACCTTTCAAATTCCGGTTTAATAGGTACACTTCATGATTTTAGCTTCTCTTCTGTTCCTGAACTTGATCTATGGAACAATTCTCTCAATGGAATCATTCCATCAGATATCAGTAATCTATCTAAATTAACCTATCTAAATTTATCTATCAATTATATTTCTGAAAATATACCTTTTGAAAAAAAAGAGTTATGATCCCCTTTTCAGCTCTATCTAGAAAAAAACATTCTGACAGGTTGAATCCCTCTTCCTATAAGAAACATGACAAACCTATCCTTTCTTTATTTGTTCGAAAATAAACTCTCTAGTGTCATACCTCAACAAGTTGGAATGTTGAAATCTCTGCATGGACTTGAACTCTCTAATAATAATCTGGTTGGTTCTCTTCCCAACTCTATTGGAAAATTAAGTAACTTGTCAGATCTTCATTTTTTTAACAACAAAATTTCAGGATCCATAACTCAAGAAATTGGAATGCTAAGATCACTTGATTGGCTTGATTTGTTTAAGAATTCTTTTAGTGGAATCATTCCATCAAATATCGGTAATCTATATAAACTAACTTACTTCCCTCGACTTGTTTATTAATTATTTTTCTGAAAATATACTTTTGAAATAGGAAAGTTAAGGTCTCTTTCTCAACTCTATCTACAAAAAAAATTCTGACAGGTTCAATCCCTTTTTTTATAAAAAACTTGACAAACCTGTCCTTTCTCTACTTGTTTGAAAACAAGCTCTCTGGAGCTATACCTCAACAAGTTAGAATGTTGAAATTTCTACAAGGACTTGAACTCACTAATAATAATCTGGTCGATTCTCTTCCTAACTCTATTAGAAATTTAAGTAACTTGTCAGATTCTCGTCTTTTTAACAACAAAATTTCGAGACTCATACCTCAAGAAATTGAAATGCTAAGTTCACTTGATTGGCTTGATTTGTCTAAAAATTCTTTTAGTGGAATCATTCTATCAAATATCGATAATCTATCTAAACTAACTTACCTTAACTTGTCTATTAATTATTTTTCCAGAAATATACCTTTTGAAATAAAAAAGTTAAAGTCTCTTTCTCAGCTCTATCTACAAAATAACATTTTGACAAGTTCAATCCCTCTTTTTATAGAAAACTTGACAAACCTGTCCATTCTCTACTTGTCTGGAAACAAACTCTCTGGAGTTATACCTCAACAAGTTGGAATATTGAAATCTCTGTACGAACTTTCACTCTCTAATAATAATCTAGTTGGTTCTCTCCCTAACTCTATTGAAAATTTAAGTAACTTATCAGATTTTCGTCTTTTTAACAATAAAATTTCGAAACTCATACTTAAAAAAATTAAAATGATAAAATCACTTAATTGATTTGATTTGTCTTTCAATTATTTTTTCGGTTCAATCCTTTTTTTATAAAAACTTTAAAAAAATTGTCATATCTTTACCTTGATCATAACCAACTTTCAAGATTTATTCCTTCCGATATGGGAAACTTAACCAATCTCATTGAGTTATCACTATATGATAATAAGTTACATGGACCAATTCCTCGAGAATTAGGAAAGCTCCCATCCCTTGTCGAGTTAAGGCTGTTCGACAACAATCCAAGTGGTTTCATTCCAGCAGAGATGAATAATCTTACGCGTTTGAAAGTTTTAGATATCTCTTACAACTACTTGACGGGCCATTTACCACAACAATTGTGCCTTGGCAAAGCACTTGAAAGATTTTGTGCAGCCAACAACCTTTTCACAGGTCCAATCCTAAAGAGCTTGAAGAACTGTACCAATTTATACAGAGTTCGACTTGACCACAATCAGCTTACAGGGAATTTGTCTGACGATTTAGGCATATACCCGAACTTGGTCTATCTAGATTTGAGTGATAACAACTTCAATGGTGAGCTGTCAACAAAATGGGTCAGTGCCACAATCTGACAAGCCTAAAGCTCTCAAACAATAATATCTCCGGTCAGATGCCCTCGGAGCTTGCAAAGGCAACTAAGCTACAAGTATGTGACCTTTCTTCAAATAATCTAGCTGGGGAGATTCCAAAAGAACTGGGAGAGTTACAATTGTTGTTCAACCTTATGCTGAATGATAATCATCTTTCAGGCAGTATTCCTCCAGAAATCGGAATGCTATCTGATCTTATGAATCTTAACTTGGCAGCGAACAACCTGAACGGCTCCATCCCAAGACAATGGAGCATTTGTGAGAAACTCACAGAACTGAATTTGAGCAGCAATGGATTGAGTGGAGAAATTCCGTCAGAGCTTGGAAGCTTGTCCTTTCTTGAAATTCTTGATCTCAGTCAGAATTCGCTAATAAGAAAAATACCGGCGCAAGTTGGGAACTTGAAAACTTTGGAAAAGCTGAACCTCTCTCACAACAAGCTCTTGGGTTTTATTCCATCAACTTTTGCTGATATGCTAAGCTTGACATCTGTGGATTTATCTTACAATCAGTTGGAGGGTCCTCTTCCAAACAATAAGGCCTTTCATGAGGCTTCATTTGAGGCTTTAAGAAACAACAAAGGTTTGGGCGGAAATATCACAGGTTTGGAACCATGTCCTTCAAATGTAACTCACAGTCCTGCCCACAAAAGGACTAAGAAAATGGTGATTGCAATTGTGGTCTCTGTTTTATGCTCACTACTTCTTGTGTTTGTGGTCTTTGGGATTCTTTCTTGTACCAAACAAAGAGAGAGAAATGCTGAGAACACGTCCAGGATAGTAGAAAGTCAGAATCTATTTGCAATTTGCAACCATGGCGGGAAAAGGATGTACGAAAACATAGTTGAAGCAACTGAAGAATTTGACTCCAAATATTGCATTGGGGTGGAGGATATGGAAGCGTTTACAAAGCTCAATTGTCGAGTGGTCAAATAGTCGCTGTGAAAAGACTTCACCCACTTACGGAAGGTGGGGCGGCAGACCAAAAGGCTTTTCATAGTGAGATTCGTGCCTTGACTGAAATACGCCATCGCAATGTTGTGAAACTTTATGGTTTCTGCTCTCATCCCCGACACTCAATTCTCGTATACGAGTTCTTGGAAGGAGGAAGCCTGGAGAAGATAGTGATCACTGAGGAACAAGCAATGGAGTTTGGTTGGATTAAGAGGGTAAATGTCATTAAAGGAGTGGCTAATGCTGTGTCCTACATGCACCATGACTGCTGTCCTCTTATAGTCCATTGTGACATTTCAAGCAAGAATATTCTGCTAGATTCAGAATATGAGGCTCATGTAGCAGACTTTGGTGCTGCCAGGCTTCTAAAGCCCGGCTCATCCAGTTGTACCTCGTTTCAAGGCACATTTGGTTATTCGGCTCCCGATTAGTTTTCTTTTCTTTCCTTCTTTTTCTTTTATGCGTGGTTTATGTTTTCTTGCTCTATTGCTCTTTTAAGCTGCAATTTGGAAATGTTAGATTAGAAAATTTGGTGAAATAATAATGCTAAGACCGAAACCAGACAATATTGAACTTGGATACCTGATTTGTTCAACACAAGCCAATCAGAAGTTAGTCAATAATACAAAGGAAATTAGCAAAATTTGATCTCTGCAAACAGTTTTGCTTTTATCTCCATTTTCAGTAACCAAAAAGGGTTTTTGTTCTTTTAGTGATTAGATAGCTCCAGCTTCAAATTAAAAGGCCTAAAAGCACTCCTCAGAGGAACAAAAAAAGATGAGAATCGGACTTGAATAGTTAGCTCTGTTAAACAAAACGCGCAAGGCAGGTCTTAAAAATTTGGATAATCTTGTTTCATTTTGCTTTACTTCTGGTAGTAGGATAATTACTCCTCTATATATGGGAAGAAGCTGAAGCTGAAATTTCAAAGGTATTCATGCACTTCAGTTTCACTGTTTCTGATTGATATCTTTCTTTGTAGAACTTGCTTACACCATGAAAGTGAATGAAAAGTGCGATGTCTTCAGCTTCGGAGTCGTGGCATTGGAGACACTCATGGGAAGGCATCCTGGGGATCTCATATCTTCCCTGTCATCATTATTTTCTTCCTCCTCGCCATCATGCTCATCATCAGCAACCGTCAATCATTTACTGCTGAAAGATCTGTTGGACCAGCGTCTCCCACCTCCAAGGAAACAAGTAGCAGCAAAACTGGTCTCAATTGTAAGACTAGCATCGACATGCTTACATGCCAGTCCACAATCTCGACCAAGTATTGAACAAGTTTCTCAGAAGCTGTCAACTAAGAATCCACACTCAGTGCATCAGTTTCACACCTTTACATTAGGGGAACTGCTTGATTCCAGCACTTATAAATCCTAAACATGCAATTGTTCCCTCTTTAAGTTTTCTTTTACCATTTTGTTCTAGTTCTGCATTTCCTTTTCCACGTTTCTATCGCCTGATGTTCCCGCTAGGTTGTGCATTATTGACTTGAAAAGTGTAGTCTGATGAGATAATAAAATACTTGCATGATTAATTTTTTGAAAATATTTGGAGTGGTTAGTTCAATAATCCACATGAAGTGAACTTTTTTAGTCTAAATTTGCATGAATCACCAATCTTCTGTCACTGCAAGCCAAACTAGTTATCAAACTGCCAGAAATTCTATTGATTACTAAACTCCAACCCTCTAGAATCCATGAAAGGATTTCCATTCTTCTTTTACATCACACCAGAAACAATCACCACACACAACCAGTAGATACAAACCACAAAAATCAACTGTCAACAATACTACAAAATCACTCAACCAAACGACACAGCAAGCAACTTCACAAGAATAACAAACCACCCATAATTTATAAGCAATTATCAGCAAATCCAATGCAGCTGGGCTCAAAACTTCATCCTCTTGCGGCCTAAAGCCAACCCGTGTTGGGGAGCCAAAAATTGGTCCATTTCCACTATCAGGCCCTTCCTGCTTTAAAGCCTTAGTTTGGTCAGAAAGCTTGCATTTCTCCTCCATATCATCTGCCCAATTCAATCGGTCTCCAACATCATCCGAGCCTACCTTAGTCGACCCGCTCCCTTGCCGACTCCTTTGCCCAAGCACTGTTCATCATCTTCAACCTTGTGCCACGCCGACTGCTCCATCAACTACATACAATCCACTGCTTCCCTCTCATTAACCGTGACATTTCTACCAGCAAGTATCCAATCTTGGCCATCATCTTCTTTATTCTGTGCCCCATCATCAACATTCAATAAATAACCCAAATCCATCTTATTTCCTAGTGTTGTTCGTTCTTTCTTTTTGTTTTGCCCAGTTATTTCATTCTTTATGTGTATCAACTTTCTTTCTATGCATTGCTTCTGCTTTCTGTCATATTGACACAATTGATGGTTTATTTTGCATAGTATATATGGGCTCTGTGATAATATCGCTTCTCATTACATTTTTTTGTCCTTCTGCCTATCTGTTTTGCATTTTGGACCACATCTAGTGTTTCTTCCATAAAGATTTATGCATGCATGATGCATGTTTATGCGTGCAACTATATCTACTAGTAATAGGAATATTGTTATAAAGTCTATAAGATTCATAGAGTTAGTGTTGAAGTAAGCCCTTGGACACCTGCAGTGCAAGGGCAATTTAAATTTTTTAAATTCCTAATACAGAATGGATATAACCTGCAAAGGATTTTTCAGTGAAAAAAACTGGCAGAAAAGTGTTGTCTTTTCGCTGCTTAATATGTTGATTATGAATGCTCAAGGTAGATTATACGTGTATTATTATATTAGGAAGGGATGGTTACCTATACTGGTTGTTGTTTGGAGATTTCTTCATAGTTCTAATGGTTCAGATGCACTGGCAACAAAACAGGCCGTGCTTTTTTGCCGTTTTCCTTCGGTTCAACCCTAGATTTCTTAGAGTTGTACCCTTAACATCAGAAATGAAAATGACAGCAGTCTTTGCTGAAACTGCTTGGGCTGGAGCTGCTCGTTATTTGCTATCATATATGCTTTGTAGCCATGTAAATGCCTATTCAATTTGTGTCTTTGTTTCACTAATGAAATCTGTAGTTAATTGTTCTCCACCCTCTTTGTTGTGATGCTCTATGAACCGGTCTTTCTTGATAATTTTGATCTCTGGGGTACAATTTTCACTTCATAACCTGTTCTAGCCCTGTTCTTATGCAAATATGGTTACTCAAGTAATTACTTTTTGATCTGTGTTATTGTTGGACGAATGTTTGAGATAAAAGGGGCATTCTGGTACTTGGCAGCTGTAGGACGAAATGATGCACGCTTGATTCCAGCAATTTGTGGTGTGCAATATGGAGTACGCCAGGCTGGAAATTAGTTTTTTGCCGTGTTAAATGAAAAAGGTTATGCCTCAAGTTGGAATTGACTCCAAACCGTGGACTCACTGAAACATTGCAGAATTCTCCACCAAAACGTGCAATTTGCAGTATTGACCACGTTAGTAGAAAAGATCAAGAAGACTTGAATGCTGGAAGTAGCTTCTTTGCACCGATAATAAGCTACCTACAAGCAAAGAGGATTGCAGAACCCCAACTTCCCTTCAGTGCACTCAAGACAAATTAGTTTACCAAGTCTCTGTAATTTTCTCCTGCTGAAGGTTTGGTTTCCGTTAGAATTCTCTATATGCTGATTCCAATTCTAATTTCCTGTTGAAAGGAAAAGCTAGGGATAGAATTTGGCACTAAACTAAAAATTTGTTTGGGGTCCAAGAACAAATATTATAATGTAGAAGCTATATGAACCGGTCTTTCTTGCTAATTTTGATCTCGGGGGCAAAATTTTTTGACCTGATAACCTGTTCTTATGCAAATATGGTTACTCAAGTAATTATTTTTTGATCTGTATGTTTATTGGATGAATATTTCAGATGAATGTTTGTTTATCATGTTCCAATTGTAGGGAGGGGCGTTTCAATGATTGCACGTGTGAAGAAACATATGTTCCGTGTTCCGGATCATCATATGGAAAAGCAATCCTTGCCTTTTTTTCCAACGTTGTATAATGACAGAATTGCTTGTAATGTTCTATCTCTTTAGCTCTTGATGTGATAGGATTTAAGTGGTAATCCGACCCTACCTCAGACTATATGTTTCAGCCTCACCAAACACGGTATGTTGACGAAGAAAGTTGAAAAAGTAGAGAAAATGAGCTGAATATTTTCCATGGAGGGAAGCCTTTTGACTTCCCATGTGAAAGGATTCCCTCGTTTCCCCTAATGCTTCTTCTTCATTCAGATTCTGTGTAACTATTTTCCCTTTAAAGTTCATTAGAACCAAAACGTGCCCCGGTAATCTAAGATATGCTGCTTTCTTTAAACAAACAATCATCTTTGTCTTTCAGAGTGTTGCTCTTCTTCACCCTGCTGCTGCTTTCTTCTTTCCATGCCTTTGGTTCCCTTTCTGTTTCAAATTCTCCTGTTCCTATAGATGAATCGACAGGAGAAAAGGAAGCGAAAGCTCTTCTTAAGTGGAAGGCTAGTCTTGATCATCAAAGTCAGTCTGTCCTGTCTTTGGTTGGAAACGGCCTTGTTACTGGATTGGAATCATTTGTGGCAAGTCTGGAAGGGTAACCTTTCAAATTCCGGTTTAATAGGTACACTTCATGATTTTAGCTTCTCTTCTTTCCCTGAACTTACTGTTCTTGATTTATGGAACAATTCTCTTAATGGAACCATTCCATCAGATATTGGCAACTTATCTAAAGTGATCTATCTCGATTTGTCTTCCAATTATCTTTTTGGAAACATACCTTTTGAAATAGGAAAGTTAAAGACTCTTTCTGAGCTCTATTTGGAAAAAAACATTCTCACAGGTTCAATCCCTCTTTCTATAGGAAACTTGACAGACCTCCTCTTTCTTTACTTGCACAAAAACAAGCTCTCTGGTGCTATACCTCAAGAAGTTGGGATGCTTAAGTCCTTGTATAGACTTAGACTCTCTGATAATAAATTTGTCGGTTCTCTTCCTACTTCTATTGGAAACTTAAGCAACTTATATGACCTTAGCTTTTATAACAACAAAATTTCAGGACCCATACCTCAGGAAATTGGAATGCTGAGATCCCTTGAGCAACTTAGTTTGAGTAATAATAGTCTTACCGGCGAAATTCCGGCTTCAATAGGAAACTTGACCAGCTTATACATGCTGTACCTTTCTAATAACACATTTTATGGCTCAATTCCTCAAGAAATTGGAAGAATGCAATCTCTCACTGATCTTGAATTGGCAATGGCAAATCTTACGGGTTTAATCCCTGCTTCCATAGGAAACTTGAAAAAGTTATCATTTCTTTACCTTCAACATAACGAACTTTCAGGATCTATTCCTTCTAGTATAGGAAACTTAACCAGTCTCACTGAATTAATACTACAACACAATAAGTTACATGGATCAATTCCTCGGGAATTAGGAAAGCTCCAATTCCTTGTCGACTTAAGGCTGTTCAACAACAGTCTCCGTGGTTTGATTCCAGCAGAGATAAATAATCTTACACATCTGATAGTTTTGCAACTCTCTGAAAACTACTTGACTGGCCATTTACCGCAACATGTGTGCCTTGGTAGAGCACTTGAAATTTTTACCGCACACAACAACCTTTTCACCGGTCCAATCCCAAAAACCGTGAAGAACTGCACAAGCTTATACAGGGTTCGTCTTGAACACAATCAACTTACAGGGAATTTGTCCGAAGATTTAGGGGTATACCCACACTTGGACTATCTAGATTTGAGTGGCAATAAATTCAATGGTAAGCTGTCACCAGAATGGGGTCAGTGCCGCAATCTAACAAGCCTTAAGCTCTCAAACAATAATATCACCGGTTTGATACCCTCTGAGCTTACAAAGGCTACTAAGCTACAAATATGTGATCTTTCTTCAAATAATCTAGTTGGGAAGATTCCCAAGGAACTGGGAGAGTTACAATTGTTGTTCAACCTTATGCTGAATGACAATCATCTTTCAGGCAGTATTCCTCCGGAAATTGGAATGTTATCTGGTCTTACGAGTCTTAACTTGGCAGCAAACAACTTGAACGGCTCCATCCCAAGACAATTGAGCATGTGTGAGAAACTCACAGAACTGAATTTGAGCAGCAATGGATTGAGTGGAGAAATTCCGTCAGAGCTTGGAAGCTTGTCCTTTCTTGCAATTCTTGATCTCAGTCAGAATTCGCTAATAAGAAAAATACCGGCGCAAGTTGGGAACTTGAAAACTTTGGAAAAGCTGAACCTCTCTCACAACAAGCTCTTGGGTTTTATTCCATCAACTTTTGCTGATATGTTAAGCTTGACATCTGTGGATTTATCTTACAATCAGTTGGAGGGTCCTCTTCCAAACAATAAGGCCTTTCATGAGGCTTCATTTGAGGCTTTAAGAAACAACAAAGGTTTGTGCGGAAATATCACAGGTTTGGAACCATGTCCTTCAAATGTAACTCACAGTCCTGCCCACAAAAGGACTAAGAAAATGGTGATTGCAATTGTGGTCTCTGTTTTATGCTCACTACTTCTTGTATTTGTGGTCTTTGGGATTCTTTCTTGTACCAAACAAAGAGAGAGAAATACTGACAACACGTCCAGGATAGTAGAAAGTCAGAATCTATTTGCAATTTGCAACTATGACGGGAAAAGGATGTACGAAAACATAGTTGAAGCAACAGAAGAATTTGACTCCAAATATTGCATTGGGGTGGGAGGATATGGAAGCGTTTACAAAGCTCAATTGTCGAGTGGTCAAATAGTAGCCGTGAAAAAACTTCACCGACTTACGGAAGGTGGGGTGGCAAACCAAAAAGCTTTTCACAGTGAGATTCGTGCCTTGACTGAAATACGCCATCGCAACGTTGTGAAACTTTATGGTTTCTGTTCTCATCCCCGACACTCAATTCTGGTGTACGAGTTCTTGGAAGGAGGAAGCCTGGAGAAGATACTGAGCATTGAGGAACAAGCAATGGAGTTTGATTGGATAAAGAGGGTAAATGTTATTAAAGGCGTGGCTAACGCTGTGTCCTACATGCACCATGACTGCACCCCTCCCATAGTCCATCGTGACATTTCAAGCAAGAATATTTTGCTAGATTCAGAATATGAGGCCCATGTAGCAGACTTTGGGGCTGCCAGGCTTCTAAACCCTGACTCATCCAATTGGACCCCATTTGAAGGCACTTTTGGTTACTCTGCTCCCGGTTAGTTGTCGTTGTTTTCCATCTTTTTCTTGTTTTATGCATGGCATTTTTCTTGCTCTATGGCTCTTTTAAGTTGCAATAGGTGATGATATTATTAATAGTCTCATTTGGGAGACGGAAGTTAAGCCGCAGCGGCTTACAAAAACAAAAAGAGTCCTTGGACATTTATGCACTTCAGTCGCAACATAAGGCTTAACTTGCTATATTTATCAGGAATAGGCTAATAGTAGAATAATTATTTCTCTATTCCAAAGACATTCTTGCACTTCAGGTTTAGTGTTTCTGAGCGGATATCTTTCCTTTGTAGAGCTTGCTTACACCATGCAAGTGAATGAAAAGTGCGATGTCTTCAGCTTTGGAGTCGTGACATTGGAGACACTCTTGGGAAGGCATCCTGGGGATCTCATATCTTCCCTGTCATCATCATTTTCTACGTTCTCGCCATCATGCTCATCATCAGCAACCTTCCATCATTTACTGCTGAAAGATCTGTTTGACCAGCGTCTTCCACCTCCTAGGAGACAAGTAGCAGCAAAACTGGTCTCAATTGTAAAACTAGCATCTACATGCTTACATGCCAGTCCACAATCTCGACCAAGTATGCAGCAAGTTTCTCAGGAGCTGTCAATTCAGAATCCACCCTCAGTGAATCAGTTTCACACATTGACATTAGGGCAATTGCTTGATTCCAGCACTCATACATCCTGAGCATGCAATTGCTCCCTCGTTTTTCTGCCATCATTCTGTTCCGCTTCTGCATCTCCTTTTCCATGTTTCTATCACAGGATATCCCAATTAGTCTCTGTATCATTGGCTTGAAAAGTAAGCACTGATGAGACAATAAAATTCTAGCATGAAAAACTATTACTGTAATCTTCAGAGGGCTACAAACAATTCTCTGCCTTATATATCAAAGGGATCTGTGGCGCAATCGTAGAGTCTGACTCCAGATCAGAAGGTTGCGTGTTGGATTCACGTCAGGTTCAAATCCCAATGCATTGGGATCCCTCCCGTAATTTTCTTATGTCAATGGAATTTCCCTAGCAGTCCTTTCCAGTTCCGCCCTTTTCAATCCCATTTGTCTTTATCTATCCTAAAAATGTATTCATGTTCTGTTTCTGGTCCTCCATCCCAAAGGGACGTTTGATCAGAAGCGGGAGGATCAATGCTTCACCCTTTAGCAATATTCTATGGGGTCGGCTGAAAATGCTTTCCAAGATTGAAGAACAAGTCTCGATGGGAACAATACAAGGAAATAGCAATCCATCTTGTCAACTAGTGCTATTGGTTTTGTCTAAATCCTCGAATGCATCGTCCAAATTCTAGGCTTCCACAATTGAATCAATGCCAACTAGAATAATGACATACAGCATATAAATCTACAGAGTTTAGACATGAACTGATAATTTCCTTTATTTTCAGAAGAACAAGGATAGTGAATTCTTTCTTGACAGAATTGCAGGATAAACAAGCAGTATTAAGGATGAATACAAGAATTCCTTCATTTTCTAGAACAGGCATTGAGAAGAGATTGCTTAACAATCTCTCCAGGGTCTCATACAAAACACTAATGTAATGGAACCAATTGACGAGTAAAAGTAACTAGTAACCGCCAAAGAACCTGTATGTAGAAGGCTAAAAAAAATAACAATTTCTATGATTGAAGATTCAAAAATGAACCTAAATGGTAACTCCGCAAGCAAGAATGTCCTGCATTTCTGATTCTGTTCGGAATAATTTGAGCATCTTCATGAAGAAACAAACTGGGAATTTTCCTTAGGTTGCAAGAACAGATCAATCAATCTTCACTGATGAGTAGATGAGCCTTGTGAACCAGAAGCAAGCATAGAAACCAATTGCACCAGTCAGCACAAAGAATGCATAAGATACAATCAACATGTACCCAAAGTACAAAACTCCAGATACTGGCTTTGTGATCTCAAGCTTTGTAAAGAAGTAGAAGGCAGCATAGAGGAATAGGTAAAGTGCAGAGGAACCAGAAGTCAAGTATGACCTCCACCACCATAGGTAATCCTCACTGCACAGCTGGAAGTAGCAGAGCACAACCGTGATCTCGGCACAAGTGACAATTAGAATGACAAAGACAATGAAGAGGAAGCCAAATATGTAATAGAACTGATGCAACCATATAGAAGTGAGGATGAAAAAGAGCTCAATAAAAACAGCCCCAAATGGAAGTATGCCCCCAATTAGGATGGAGAAGGCTGGGTTCATGTACCAAGCCTGTTCTGGAATTTGCCTTGGGATCTTGTTAGTTTTCACTGGATCCTCAATTGTTGGCTTCTTAAAACCAATATAACTACCCACAAAAACGAGAGGGACTGAGATGCCAAACCATAACAATACCAGAGCAAACATAGTTCCAAATGGCACTGCTCCAGAGGATTTCTGGCCCCATATCAGAGCATTCAAGACAAAGAAAATGACAAAGACAGTTGCAGGGAACATAAAAGCTGTTTTGAGTGTAATTTTCTTCCACTCTGTTCCCTTGAACATCTTATAAAGACGAGCCGAGGAGTATCCAGCAAACAGGCCCATGAAGACCCAGAGTAGAAGCATGGCTGTCATTAACCCACCTCTGTTTGAGGGGGACAGGAAGCCAAGGAGAGCAAAGATCATGGTAACAAGAATCATACCAAAAAACTGAACCCCTGTTCCCACATACACACACAGTAAGTCGGAATTTGCTGGAGGCCTGAAAACGTCCCCATGGACAAGCTTCCACCCTGTCTCCTCTTGGGCTTCTTCTTGGGTTTCAAGTTGGTTGTACTTGGAGATATCCCGATAAAGAGTTCGCAACATGATCATAGCCACCATTCCCGAGAGGAAAAGAACAATCATCAAAGAATTAACAATTGAGAACCAATGGATCTGATCATCAGCCATTAGAAGATAGGTATCCCATCGGGATGCCCACTTTATCTCACTTTCCTGCAAGATGATAAAAAGGAACAAGTGTATTAGAATGCAATAATATCACGACTCACCTTTACAGTAACAACCAGCATGCATTTTCAATTTACAAAGAGGTAGAAGGCCTGACCTGGAACTCAACATCATATGTAAATATGATCTCCTTCTTTTCTTCAACCTCTTGAGGAGATTCAGAGCTAGTAACTGCACGTTTTGCATGGGGATCGCAGGTTGTCAGACGGGTTTTCTCATTCCAATCACCCTCATACTCATGTTTAACACTGTATTCATCAAAATGATTTACTATAAGATACTGAACATAAACACCATTGGAAAGAGAAATTAAATCTAACAGACAAGCCTCTAACATAAAGAATAAAAAATTTAACCTGAATGGTTTGACCTCAAACCCAACAATCCTTGCAGAATCTGCCAGTGGATCCTTGTGAAATTTAACTATAAATGTCAAGTGATTGTTGATAAAATGTTTTTCTTCCTTGCTCTGCAAGTATGAACAGCAAAACCAGCATTGCTTGCATCAGCACAAGGAAAAATATTTAACATAATTCCAAAAAGAAGCAGATCAATCGGGCATTTACCCCAGCATACTGTCCTCTTAGACCAACATGAAAACCATGCTGATACACTACAGCATTTTCCTGATCGGGCCTTCTTATGGGAACAACCAATGGAAGGTTATCCAAAATCCTGTCACAAACACATCATAAATATCAGTTGGTACTCAAGGAGAAATGGAATGCTACAATTACAATTTCCTGAATGAGAGTCTCACATGTTCACTCGATATTCATCATCAATCTTCTCCTTGAATGCCTTTGCAGTTTTCTTATCAAGAATTTTACGACATACAATATTGCACATTTGTGGTTCTCTCATTTTAAACTGCAAACCAATAGCCCTGTCAACCACTAAAAAGCCAAAATACAGCAAAGAGACATAAAGAAAAGATCTAGGAGCTTTAACTCACAACATAAGGAGAATTTTCAATTCGATCACCACGAAGGACCTCCCCAAGATTCTCTGCACTGTCAACTATGTTCTCAGGCTGACAATATGGTAGAGAATAGTAGGAATAAGGAAGTTGTGTTTTAGTTGAAGTCAGCTTATTCACTTTCACCAACAATGGATCCCCCTGCATAAATGGAGAAAAAAGAACATTGAATAAAACGACATTAAACCATCAGTTTGATTAAGTCAAAGATCCTGGAGGTTGATTATAGAGCAAGGAAGACTCACTAAGCTTAATTAACATTCAAATTTCATAAATTTACTTCAAATTTTAAGCCAAACTGACCACAGAATTTGTCGGTTTGATAAAAAAAAATAAGGCAGCTTTGAACTACGGAAAAAAAATACAAACTTAAAACTTATCAGACTAACTTCCATAGAATCATTACATCCAAATTCATTGAACCAAAACGGAGGTTCTAGAGATCATAAAACGCAGATCTGCATAAAACCCAAAAACAGAATGTAAAATCCAAGTCAACCCAAAGATCCAAAATTCATGATGGTGGTGGTGATGATGATGATGCAGACATTAACATACATGCATGCATGCATGTATGCATGTGAGGAAACCAACCTTTTTGAAATCTTCAGGGGCAACACCAGGAAGGTAGAAGCAATGGGCACGAAGGAACAAGAGAGCAAACAAGGAGAAGATCCATGCGACGTGAAACCTATGACCCGCCATGGGTTTTGCCTCGATCTAGATCCGATTACCCAGATTCCCACTTTCCCTGTATTCAAAAACGGAACTACGATGAAAAGAGCCTGCTTTGCTTCGTTATTCTTGTCTAGTTAGATTTTCTTGTTTCCGAGGGAAGAAACGACGAGAAAGATGAGAGAGGGAAAAGGGTGGTTTGTTGGGAAGAACGAGAGGAAGCCAGGGGAGAGAAATCTATGTTTATAGAGGGAACCCCACCTCACACCCCCTTGGGCACGACCGGTACTTTCCCTCTTTGTTGCCGTTGGATTTAAATTCTATGACTTTGATGTACGCTCTTGATTTTCATCAGGCGACCCTGACGGTGACTCCGTGGACATTACGGTAAATTTCCACTTTTTTTTCTTTTTTGGGTCAATAATTCCTTCATTGGTAATTAGGAGGAGAGGCAGAGCTTGACAAGAAAGAGAAAAAGAAATGGGGGTGCCATATGGTTTACATGTGTAGCAAGTTTGTGTCGGTCTCATTGTCAGTCTATATCCAAAACATGAACAGATTAACAAAGAACTGCAGATTGAGAAACCCATTTTTTTTCCATTTCTCAGTCATAAATGGGATTCGAAGTGGAAAGAACTCTTATTTTCCATCAATATTTCTCGGAAAGGAAAATGTTAGAAACCTCTTAAACGAGTATGATTTTGATACCCTTTTTGGCCCCATAACTGAAAAAGAGAACATTTTTACTAGAATTTCTTCTTCTTTCTTGCAAATTGGGGGAATCCCATTTTTTTTCAGATCCCCACACACCAAACAATGGGATGCAATGTTGATGGTGAGACTGTGAGAGTGACCTCCCAACGAAGGAAATTGTATATTTCTTTAAGCCATGGAGTTTTGTTGATATGAATACCATAAATCAGGAAATAGAACATGAAATTCCTCTTTCATGGCCAGTTTTTGCATGAACATAATTGAATGGGGTTTTGCTTTGTTTTGTTTTATCTGGCTGTCCAAAAATGGTTGCTTTACAAGGGGTTCCGCTACTGCTGTTTGAAGTCCTAAGCAAAAGCTAGCCATGATCTTGACTTTCTTCTCCTAGCAAACAATAACGAGATCATCATTATGTTATTACTACAATTATTAATTATGTTCTACATTAATATATTGAAGGGTTATGCACAGTAATCAAAACTCAAATTATTAAAGAAATCATGTACTTACTTGTTTAAGTTGGTCATTCAATCTCTAGATTAGGTAGGATTTCGAAGTGTGCTTTAGCTGTTGGATCTAACTCGTTGTTTACTTTACAACTGACACATTTTTCAAAGGCAAAGTCACCCCTCCTCACATGAAATCTGAGTTTCATTGTTAAAAATAGTTAATTTAATCATTTTTTAAACTTAATTATGTATTTCTTAAAAATTTAATTTCAAATTATTAATAATAATTAATTTAAATTTTTATATAAATTTTAATAACCACGTTCACATTTTATATTTGATGTGTGAGGAGTTATCACACCTTTACTCAAAGCTGCTCGGTGATGGTAGGTGATGCATCTACCAAATAGGGAAAAAGAGCCTTAAGGAAGAAAATTGTAAGTTGAGAGTGTCACTGTCCATAAGGCCTTTTCACCTTTTGAATCATTGGCGAAGGTTTTAAGTAACATAATCTAACCTTAAGTATTACTTAAGCCTCTCGTTTATGCCTAAATCCCCCCTAATCTCTTTGGCTAGGGAATTACAAGCCCATATAGATTCTTAAACCCTCCATTTCAAGTATTCTTACCACAGTTTTAGGAGGATCATAGACCAAGAATAATTTATCAACTATTATTAAACAAGCTTGAATAATCAGCATATACTGTTGCATAAGCTGCATGCTGAGCGTTAAGATGATAGGATAGAGCCTGGTATCAGAGCTGGTAGTCATCAACCTAGAACAACAGGTCATTTCCATAACCAAAAGAATGAATTTCCGAAAACTAGCAAAGGTTCACAATAATAAAAATTGCCCATTCTTTTCTAACATCTGCTCCCTTTCTCCTGCCTTTTTGGTCCATTCCCTGGACTACATAATGCAGAATAGAAAGTAACCCAAGTAATGACCTGGAAACACACAAGCTGGAATCAAATTTCAAAATACCTTCACTCTTTCGCCCCTCCCCTTCTGGCCACAAGAATCGGGAAGACAATGTCACCAGCTGAATTGAGACAGACCTATATGCCCATAAGAAAGGACAACATGTTGAAGCTTTAAAGTAGAAAAGAACAGTGTAGCTTATAAACAAATAGCATTCTAGTTTTCCTCTTGTGTACGTGTAGGTGGTTCTCTCAATCTCACAGTACGTGGAAGTAGAAACTCAGCAAATATAGGATAGTGTGAGGATGGGTAATAACCATCCATGTTGTCGTTGACCACTTCACATAAAACAGGTATCAGAGATCTACCCCTAAAAAGAATCCAGTCTATGTGTAGATCCTGAGTTTGGCGGTCCCAGCAGAGGCAGAGCGCTCTAAAAATCAACTTAAGGAATTCAAGAGCTCCCTGCTTGTCACCTGAAGGCAAAAATTTATCCTTAAGTTCAAGCACCATCATACTTCACTCACAGAGTAGCATTTGGTGTGCAAGAAGTGTACCTTTAAAGCCGTGATAAGTGCGGATAAGGGAAACGTTTTTCCTCACCCGGGCATTGGGCCACACATCCCTCATGTCTCCCACCACACCATGCTCTCTGCACACATGATTGAAACAGGCCAGCAGCAAAAGAAGTCAGCCCCTTATCAGGAAGAAGATTAAGTGCAGATATTCTATTGTAGTAAACTAATGGAAGCTACATTTGAATTTTCTGCCACATTAAAGAAGATAACTGGAGTGGAGAAATCTCTAGTTTGTTTATTTGAATGTACATATGTTTATGAAACAGCCAAATTGTTTTGTACCAAAGAAAATACCTTGATCTCCCAAGTAGAAAACGCCCTGTAGTCGATTCCTTCGGTGTGTTAAATCCTCCACAATACACAACCGGTAAGCTAGGAGGTAAGGATGCAATATGTTGCCATGTAAGCAAAGCACTTCGTCTACGAGCACGAGGACTGAACTCATCCATGTTAGTATTTACAACCTGAAATGAGAATCCTGGTGGCTCAACTCCTTTAAGTTGGAATGTGTGGGCATCATGTCAAGGAAATAAACCAACACAATGTTTTCTATGAATATAAGTGGTAACAGCAACTGGAACTTCATGTAATAGAAGATTAAAAATGGTAAACTGAATAAAGAAGGATATAGCCCAAGTTGCAATACATGGAACTACAGAACCCCAAGCTGTGCTCCCAGGGACAGAGGGTGACTCAGACAACCAAAAAGTTCCACCTTCAATCAGCTCTACCTTCAATTAATATGAAAAGAATGTTAAGAGACTGTGCACTAAATTTTATTTTCATAAAACTCAACAAACTACTAAGATACCTTCTCCTTGTCATAGAAGATTGTGCAATGTTCATCTGAAGTGTCCTGAGGCCCTTTTCTTGATACCCCAAACTGATCATAACCTATAGAATCACAAAAACCAAACCATCCATGTTTAGTATGAAAGAATAAGGATGCTTGAACAACATAGAAAGATTAGATAATCATATTCCGTTCTCCAAATTCAAACCACAAAAAAATGATGTTTGAAACAAAATTATTCACAAATATTTTATCATTTCATCATCAAATCAATAAGAAAATAATTATAAGAATTTCAATAACATCATTCACACATGTTATCTTGTTGGAAGTGGGAAAACACAGTTGAAAAGGGAAAAAGCCACAACTGACATACAGTACAAGGTGAAGAGTGCCCCACTGCCAAAACTGCAAACCTTCATAATGAAGCACAAGAAGAAAAAATTATGACCCAGGTGGCCTGATGACCCAACATTGATATTTAACTGAGAGAAACTATTGGCTAAACAATCTAAAAACACCAAGCTGAGAAAGAATAGTTGATTTTTCTATTTTGAATGCAAAAAAATAAAATGAAATTTGTAGAGTTCATGTATTTTCCAGTCAACTTTTGGATGTTGCCCTACTTCTCTGTCATTTACTTTCAAGCATGAAGATGGTTAGATTCCTCAGGTTCCTTTCAATCTGTCATGCTCATGGGAGTGTCTATTCTTAAACATATTTCCCTCTCTCATTCCAATTTTCTGCGGTTAGATGCCAGACTTGGTGTTATTGAACACTGACATAGGCCTTTGGCCCTAGAAAAAGGAAGGGTAAAGAAAAGACAATATTACAGCATTTACCATATTCAGTCTAGTGGCACTCTGTGTTCCCTATTTTACCCACCACAATACGTCTGATATTTCATTCCTTTTACATGATTTGTTAATTGTGGTTTTTTCTCTTAGGTGTCTTATTTTAAACTTTTTTGAAAGAGCATTTACTTAAAAGATTATCTAAATGATCAATAACCTCAAATGCTTCATTTTGGAAACACATACTGAACATGCAACTGAATCCAACCATCTAGGATTGGTAACTTCTAAAATATCAGACAAGTACTTGTTTCTGTTAACCTCGAACCCGAATGAAAAAGTTTGAACTTAATCCAGCTCTAATACAATATATTTACACCCCTACAACAGCAACAACAACAATAGGCGATGCAAAAATCTAAAACTCTCAAGCTCACTATCTCATGTTGTTTCAATATACAAGTAAATTCAGCACCAACGCCTGATACTAGCACTTCCAGACGTAAATAATGCAAATTAAATTATTTAAATCATTCTATGCCAAGGCACCAAGCATTAAAGTGAATATCTAACAGTACATCCATTCTCATAATCCACATCTATCAAGTACTAAAGTTATGACAAAATTTTAATCCTTCCTGGTGAGGTATGACTTAGACTGCTCAACATCAGGTGAAGGGTTTGAAGGTTCAAGGATGATCAATGAAGTTTGGACAATATTACCTGGCAAGCCCTGCTGAAGATAATCCAGTTGAGTTTTTACGCCTGAAAGCAAATACCAAAATAAAGAAATGAACAACAATAAAAAAAATCAACAGAAACTAATGAAAATTGAATTAATAGACACAGATCAAGCACAGCAAGCAAAGCAATGCAAGACCCCAAATTACTTAAACCAGCTTGGAGCAATCTTCAAAATATAAACCCTTCTTCTTCGATAATGGTTATTTTATATTCAAGAAAATTTTTATTCACCAAGCAAGCAGTTTTAGCAGCAAAACTCTAAGCACCTCCGTCAATGAACAAAAACTAACCTCCAAAACTCAAATCAGGAAATACATAGATCACCCAGAACAAGAAAACCACAGCCACAGCAAAGATCCAATGCATAGATTAAAAAAAATTAAAAAAACACAGAAAACTGAATGAGTGGCATGCCTTGCTGAGTACAAAGAATGATAGGGGAGTAACTAGTGATGACACTTATGCACAAATCCCTTCTCTTCTCCCACGAATCTGGGCTGTCTTCTGATTGATCTTCATGCAGATTAAACGTCATTACAGTCAAAGACAGACTCATTTTTGAATTCAACAAACAAGAAAGAATATGTATTCTTCCTCTGTTTCAATCTACCTTCTACCTTCAAAAACTACATGATCATTGATCAAGAAACAAAACTCAGAGTCTAGAAAGAAGCTAAAGAAGGTTGGGTATATTCCATGCTTGTGAGCTTAGCTGTATTGGTTAGAATGTGGATTTTAGTAGTACAAAGGAAAAGATTTGTTGGTTGAAAGGTTTGAGAGAGAGAGAAAGAGAAAAGCAGAGAGAAACTCAATTATGTCTGAACAAGGACCGCAATACTTTCAAGTATTACTGCGACTAGATGTTGGTGCAAAGAAAAAAAAAACAATTAATACTTTGCGTAGTAACTATTTACGGGGTTTGCTAAAATAGGTGCGAGGTCAAATAAGGCACTCGCCGAGAAGAATAGATGGATTGCGTGGAACTTTTGTTTTTGGATTTTCCAGGTTTTGCGGTCCAATCCAATTGCACCTAAACATTGAGTAAGGATGCAAGCTTTGGGTTAATAGTTACTAACATGCTATGGCATGGGAGAAGAACCAGCACCTAAAAGATTGTAAATTTGAGATGGGGTTAAAATGATTAACTGTCAAGTCAGCAGAGGATCAAATGTTCTGATTATGCAATCCTTATTCCTTGCGGAGGAGGGGTCATGGTATTGATGTTTACACTACTTTCTGATGTGTGAACATCAGAACAACTCTTGTCCTCTAATTTCAACATTTTTAGGCTTATGTTTGTCCAAGTTCTTCACCTGACCAAATAATATGAACACCCAAGTTTGAACACAATCACCATAAAGCATTGACAAGCAACAGAAGTTTATTGTACAGATGAAGCTAGGTTTTAAGTTTTTTTTTTTTCAATTAAAACAGCATTGAGTCCTAACTTTACTATAACAACCTCAAAAATAAAAAAGAAAAACTATCCCACTCCCCCTGCTTCCCCTTCATCACAACATGTTTTATTCATGAAAAACTATCCCACCAGAGACAGGTTTTTCTCCTCTTCCCTCCTCCATCCTCACAGTTGGCCACTACAGTATGCTACAAGCTTCATTTAAGAAGAGTTTTTCAGAACCCATTCCACCAAAGTTGAAATGCCAAATCCTGTTGCCACACGCTTCTTATCATTCCAGACAGGGCCAGCCAAGTCAATGTGCATCCACTGTACTTTCTCATCAACAAACTGCAAGAGCAGAGTTCAAAATCAAATTCCGCAAAACAGGCTTCTATCAGACTATCAAGGAGATTGGAATACCTATGTGTGAGTGTAATATATTGACAGCAAAATGTCCCAAAAAAAACATACCTGTTTCAAGAACAAAGCTGCAGTGATAGCGCCACCTTGACGACCACCAGTGTTCACCATATCAGCCACTCCTGATTTCATTGACTCCCAATAGCTTTCCTCTAGTGGCATCCTCCAAAATTTCTCACCACTGACCTCTGAGGCTTCAAATACCTCCTTTGCCAGATTATCGCTGGGTGTGAAGACACCTAAACAAAAAAGGTTCCCAATGAACTAACAGTAGTGAGATGGTCCATACATGCCCTCTTGCTTTTGATTGAGTAACAACCAATGAAGCGACGAATGCAACAGCCTTCTTAACTGACTATGAATCAGGTTGACAAAAAGGACTTTTCATTGGAAGAAGAAAACTGTTCAAAATTACTATTAAAGTTTTAATTTTGAATGTTTAAAAGGCAAACGAAGATTTCATTGTCATTAACCCCACAAAATTTGTATTTGTTTGTGTGCAAACATTCAGATATCCTCTTGTTTCTCCAAAAAAAAATTTTTTGAAAAGCCTCGTTTCTTCAAATTTAATTGTCATCTAGAAAAAGATGATAATAATTATCAAAAACAACAAAAATTTAAATTCCCAAAACAAAAGATAAGTTCAGGACACTATTTTCCAGGAATAGTAGAATTCATATGTCATGCATGCACCTGCAATTGACGGTCCAAGAGCAACTATACAAGCCCCAGTTAGTGTTGCCAGGTCAACTATCTGCAACAAGGTTAACATATCTTGAAATGCAATTCTAACTATCTATAGAAAATAAGCAATCTGCAAATAGCTGGTTAATAACTATCATTACAAATTCATAATATGCAGTGTTCTGCTTTACCTTCTCAACACCTTGGTTGCAAGCATATACCAAAGCATCTGCAAGCGTAAGCCTGCCTTCTGCGTCAGTGTTATTAACCTGCAATCAGCATGGTGAGTAACAAATCATTTAATAAAGGCAATGAAAAAAGTCAAAATCCATCCAGTTCTCCATAAATGTCTCACGACCATATAATTCACCCCTACACCTCAATTTTCCTTTTTTTCTAAAAATAAAGAAATCATACCTCAATTGTCTTTCCATTTGAAGCTGTGATGATATCTCCAGGCCTCATACCTGTTCCACTTATCATGTTTTCACAAGATGCAACAATAAAATGAACCTGCATAAAGTGATAATTTACTAAGTGACAGGTGGCAAAAATTGAAAAAGTAAATGAAAATAAAAGAGCATATAAAACACAAAAAGAAAAGGATACTCATCCTCTCCCCAGCCCTTCAAAATAATTTTGAAAAGGATACAGAGAGAGGTGGAGGGGAACAATAGAAAAATGAGAGCAACCAAATGGCTTGCCTCTACTCCAGGAGGTTTGATTTGTCCAAGGGCTTTTGCAGCACCAAGAACTGCTGCAGAACCTCCCATGTCAGTTTTCATAATCTCAATTGAACAACCAACTCCAGTCTTGATATTGTAGCCACCACTAAGAACATTTAAGACAAGTATTCAAAAACCTATATATACACCAGCAATAGAAAAATAAATAATAAAAAGGGGCATACATTCCAACCACTCATCTCAAAGAGATCCCAATAGCATTAGGAAGAAATTTGGTTATATAATCCATGTAATAGACTGCACATAGCAAGAAGCGGGAAATCCTGTGTTTATTGGTACCAACTTGAGATGTGCACATAAACACCGATTTAGTGAAGAACCCTTCTCTTCATATATGGCATTGCACCATATACTTCAAAAAGAAATGCAGGCATCTCATCCCCCTCTTTTTTTTTTATTTCCTACCACAATCAAATCAGAAAAATATCTTCCTGCTAGAAGTATATCTATCTAAGTGTATGTATACTTACCTGTCAAAAGTCAATCCTTTTCCAACTAATGCTAACTTGGCTTTAATAGGTCCACTTGGGGGTTTGTAACACAAATGGATAAAATGAGGGGGATTAGCAGATGCTGCAGCAACTCCCAGATAAGATCCCATCTTCAACTCCTTGCACTGCTCTGCACTCAAGATGGTTGCAGATATAACATCGCTGTACAACGAAGCAATCTTTGAAGCCTCTACTGCTAGTGCAGCTGCAGCGTAAAAGGACACATTAGATCAAAATTAAGAATTATCTCATCTTTCATAAACAAAAGCAATCATAGTCAATAACAAGTTAAGAATTTGGCTTTCTAATTACACCTTCCGGTATAAAATCAAAAAGTAAACATCATTACAAGAACTACAGACAGAAATGATTATAGACAAAAGGCAAGAATAATTGTCGTACGAACCAGGGGTAAGTACATTGGCTGGTGAATTCACAAGCTCTCTTCCAAAAATTATAGCAGATGAAACATCTTCAGCATACTTGAGCTTCTTCTCCAAATCTGGTCCAGTTCCAAGACCTAGAATATCCACAGATTTAAGTTGTGGTTTCTTTGACTCCGACTTGTATCTATTATCTTCATATATTCCCAGGACCGTCCCTATCAGAATGCAAACCATTCAACTAGTTCACCTTCAATCTTTGGTATAAGCATATTGATCATGATACTAAGAAAGCATAAGAGAAATACCAGATGCTATTGCTGAAGCAGTGATGAGCCTTGACTCATTTGAGAGGCCTTCTGAGGAGGCAAGGACGACAGCCACACTACTAGCTTGAGCAGTCTTTGCAGCTGCAGCGACAGCCTCACCAAGACCACGAAAAGCAGCTGGAGATGAAACGGACTGTCCAAGCCCAATCAAACCAACCCTTTTAGAGCCAAGGCCTGGAAGTCTAAGAACTGTTGACTGACCAGCTTTTCCTGTGAAATCCTCCTCAGAAGAGGCCTCAGCTAAGAGACCACCCAACAGACCATCTAATTTTTTTAAAATTGAGTTTTGAAACTTGGAGTTTTCATCCTTGGTCATGTCTTTCTCAGTGACCCCAACTGCAAGTATGTCCCCTTTCCATTCTGCCACATCGATCTCTTTTGCAGCAAAAGAGATCTTTCCAGCATTATTCACAACAAGACAACAGCCATTTTAGTATCATTTTCTGGTATTTCACCAAAATAAACACATACAAACGAAACAACCTTTACATACGAAGACCAAAAGTGAATCCAAGGATCTATCTAACCTGATCTCATCATATAAACGTTAAAGACTCAGAAATTTTAGCTTAACTATACTCCATTAATTTCAGAATTGAGCCTATACTCGTCAATCCAACGACATGCACATCAAAATATCAACTTTTAAAGAAACCCGTTGAAGAATCATTCCACAATTAAAGATCAAGTCCTTAACAAAACAAAAATCATCTCCAAACACTAAACAAAAAGTTCACTCTTTTTGAGACAGGTAAATACCCCCATTAGCAAAAGGTCAAAACTTTTCAATCCAAACCTTTTAATCTAAACCCAAAATGTCAATCAAAAACCAATTTGGCTTAAACCGAACAGAGGAAAAAAAAAAAGAAAAAATAAAGGGACGGGGGGCTCGTCTCACCCTGGGGTGTTCGATGTTGGCTGGCTGAGTAAGGCCAAGAGTGGCGCGAGCGATAGTATGTGCCATGAACTTGGCTCTTCGAGAACACAAAGGAGCAACAGCAAAAGAAAATCTGAGCCCAGACGAAGGCCGCAACTTAGTGAAAAACAAAGTAGTAGAAGAAGAAGAGTGAGAACCTGATGAAGCTAAAAGAGAAGTAGCCAAGGACACTACAACGGTGGCGACCATTTTTGAGTGCGGGATAGTCTATGCATTTATAATGAGCCTCTCTAAAAACAGGTTCAGCGAAACTAAACAAAATGGGGCTTAAGCTGACGGGTGCATTCACATCATTACCCTGGTCATCTCATCCATCCATTCTTGGCTAGTTGGCTTTGCTTTTCACTTGGGTCCTCACAGCTTAGCTTTGTTGTTGGCCTTTGGGTTTAGTCCTTCCTTTTGGACTTTTGCTGGCATAACATTATGTTTTATTATTCCTTATCTTACGCTAAGAATTAAGGCAACATCATGCTAAAAGGAAAATATCTCATGTCCTTTGGATTTTTGAGCCAAAAGAATAGTGTAGAGGGGGATAATTCAGCTTTATACACTCTTTTATGTTAAATTCTATTCATAATTTAAGGTAATTATATTTTTAAAAAAAATCAAAAAATCATATAATTAAAAAATAATCATAACGAAGCACGTGGTCACTTGTTTATATTATTAAATATGTTGAATTTCTTATCTGTCTCGTCATCACCGTATCATGGTATCACCAAAAGAAGAATTAAATTATAAGTTAGTGACAAGGATAATTGGTAATATTAAGGAATAAGGAAAGGAGGGAATAATAAACTAGTTTACCGTTCTTTCTTCTCTCGGAAAAAGGCATATTCTGAAGATAATAAATTAATTATTTTGTAATACAAATGAGTTAAATAAAAAAATAGGTAATAAAAGATAAAATTTCATAAACAAATAACAAAAAATACAAGTTATTTAATTATTTTTTATCGAGAAATTGCAAATTAGTATATCCTTTCCATTTTACCTAATGAAAACAAGTCTTCTAACCTACTCGCACCGCCATGCATGCAAAAGATGGAATTCTACCATTCCTTTGTCTATGTGGAATGAACGATCAAGGATCCCAGCATTTCCATGGGAAATTAGGAAGGGCATGTTCCCTTTGTCTCCCTTTCTCTCCCTCTCTATGAATGTCAAATATGGAATAACTCTCATGGTGGTATTGTTTGATGGAATTGATCCCAAAGTGAATAGCACACTCATCATGAGAAATATGGGTTAGGGCTTAGGAGAGTTATACGTGGTCCTCCCTCACATGTTTATCTCTCAGCCAAGTGCCCGCTTCCCTACTTCAAGCTCCTAGCTTGACTAAAGCAAAATTCACTCAAATTATTCTTGGTTGCTACTATTACTATATATTATTCCACATCATCTAAATGCTCCTAGTCACCCTTTGCTATAGTTCATTTGGTTGCATCGCACTGGAATTCTAAACAGTTTCGAATCCATTGATCTTTAAATATCTTAATTTACCTTAACGATATTCGATTTATTGATTTTTAAATATCTTATTTTATGTAAATCAAAAAATAAAAATGAAATACCATTCACATTAATGATATTATCTATTTTCTTCATAAACATATTTATATACCACTTATTAGGTAGAACTAGACATCATCGATTAATAATAATTGTTTGAAATATGAGATGCTATGTGACATTATGCATACATGTTATTCAAACAACAAAGGGTATACAAAGTTCAAATGCCCAATTTGTTCCAAGATCCTGTTGATTTGTACCCCAAGAACAGAATTATGCTTAGCCTCAGCCCAATTTCAAGGCCCATGTAACCTGCACAAATAATCCACCTTGTAAGCTCAAAGAGTTTGGGCCCAAACAGTTCATCCCAGCCCATTCATCACGTGCCTTGCACGTGCTCATTGATAGAGCAGATTTTCCCAGAAAAACCCACGACTCCATTTTTCTTTTCAGCCAAGCTAAGTCTAAAAACCTTTATAGAATCTCCCTTCGGAAAAAAAAAAAAAAAAAAGAAAGGAAAATGGTAGGGGCAAATCTGAAATCGGAGACAATGAAGTTGATGGAGAAGAGAAGCGGGATGGAGGCTGAGATGAACGCTATCATTGAGCAGCTTTGTCAGCCTGGTGGTCCTGGTCTCTCTGGCAACCTCGTCGATTCCGAAGTATTTTTCTTTTATCCCCATAAATTTCCATTCTTTTTGTTTTCCTGATGTTTGGGTTTTCGTATTCTTCAGGGATTTCCTCGAGCTGATATTAATATCCCAGTTGTTCGAGCTCAACGAAATCGTCTTGCTGGTATTGTCCCCTTTTTATTTTTTATTTTTTGGTAATTATGATAGTATTAGTGCATTTGAGGAAGGTTAGTGAACGAAGTTATTGACTTTATTTCTGTTTTTGGCATTTCATTTTAAAAGAATTGAAAAATGATCACAAGGAAATTACAGAGAAGATAAGCGTAAATATTCAAGTTCTGCATTCGTCAAGACTTACTTCCACCCCAAAAGATTCAGGTTAGTAGCTCAACTTCATGCTATGTTTGTTTAGATAAATGATGTTGTTTCTGTAATCTGTCAATTAGTTGATGTTTTCTTCCCTATAGGGGAGTTTTAAAATTACCCTTTAGGAAACTGGTGCTAGAAAACAAACGGTAGCATCTTCCACCTATAGAAAATCACTGTTTTTATTATTTATTTGGCTGTTACTGGGTAGGTGTTGATGGGGGTTTGATGAATCAAAATGCATCAGTTGTCAGTGCCAGCGCGTCTGCATCCTTGGAAAACCTTGTTCTCAGAGATTCTCTGAGTGCCAATGATGTGGATATGATTTCTAGTGTACCCTTTGCAATGGTTGATGAAATAGCTGATGCATCCCCAGCAGCAGAGGATGGTTTACAGCTTGGGGATCAGATTGTGAAATTTGGTAATGTGAAAGCTGGTGATAATTTGCTACGACGGCTTGCTTCTGAAGCTCAGGTGAATCAGGGTCACCCAATACCTGTCATAATTATGAGACAAGGTGCATTGGTTAATCTCGCTGTGACTCCTAGAACATGGCAAGGCAGGGGCCTGCTAGGGTATGTCATTTCTTCTTGATCACCTCTTTAGTTATAGGTTTGAATTACAGATCACATAATTTTATCAATACCTTCATTTGGGAGTTGCTCTGGAAGCAACTTAAATTAGTGAAAAATAACTAATATTAGTTTGAAGAAAACAGTTGAGGTCAGGAAATCATGATGATTATGAACAGTAATACTTGAATACTATATATTTATTCAATCAGGTAGGAGTGACAAACACGGATTTATATATTATTGCTGTAGTAAACTTAATTGGTTTTGCTTTACATGTGCATCAATTGGAAAGATAAATTCCTTGAGTGCTGCTGCTTATTTGCTCTTGGACATTTACTAATTTGTGGGTGATGTTGGATTATTGCAGATGTCACTTTCGTATCATGTAATTTTGGCTCATAGATGGAGCGGAATATGGCAATTTGTTGCTTGTATTCATCTGTTGCAAGACAATAGTCAGATAGGCATGTTGAGATGACTTCTTTTTCTCCTACCTTGGACACTTGGAGGATATACCAAATATTTTGTTTTTGAGTGATCCGGTGGTTTTAATGCACCCTTAAGATGTCCCTTTTACTTTCTTTATAGCTTTTGGATGGATCCTTTAAATGTTCTCTCTCTGTGCCATGGAGGTGAAATAGAGCCAGCGACTCCTGCCTGCTGTTGCTGTTATTGTGTCATTTAGCTTATATACAACTTGAAGCCTATGCCTACAGAAAGATGAATAAAGTCAATTTCTGGTAGGTGTTACATGGTCTTGGGTTTTAGGAGAAACCACTACCAAACCAAATCTAATGGCTGATTTTTTCAATCCAAAGATGAATCAAGTTGTTGTTCATGAGAAACTATTCTGCTGGGTAGGAAGCCCCCTTCGAATTTAATTGAATGTCAGCTAGTGATATTATTTGAAGGAACATGGCAAACATAGCACATCACAGATAGTTTGTGAACTTGAGATTATCATTCTCTCTCAAAAGCTTTGAATGTGTTTGCTTGGAGATCCGATGCTTACCCATGGGATATAAGAGAGATTATACCTGAATGAAGGGTGGCAGGATCTAGGAAAGAAAATGGTATTAAGTCCACTATCTCTAAACCTTGGCATGTAAATTGTGTCGGCTTGTCTTGATAGTCGACATAAAAATCAAAAGATTAGAGGGTTAAGTTGGGATTGGCTTGCGTAGTGTCATGGCTTCAGAGTGAGTTGTAAATTTTACATTGACAGTACATTAGAGTAAGATTAGATATTTAGATGTTCATACCATCTTCAATTTATGAAACATACCGTAAAATTTAATAGTCTAAAATAGATATTTGTCATGTATCATGGCACAACATATTTAAAGATTTGCGAATCTGATTGGTTTGGTTTTGATAAATTTTTTAAGTTGAAACAGAAACCAGAATCCATCATCAAAGTCAAAATGAAACCAAATCGAGGGTGATGAATGGTTGAATCAGTTTAGGGAGGAGAGTGGTGAAAGTAGGTAAGAACTTATGCAGTTAGCACGTTTTCACTCCAATCAATCAAACTTTGCATGGACTGTTTCTTAGGGTTTTTGGACAAATTCGAATGTGTGCAAACAAAGAAAGGTAACACCTCCATCCCCAAGTCACCAAAGCCCCATAAGATCTGATACTTTGTCCCCTCCATTATGAGTAAACACCAACTGCTGCTGAATTCCACCTTCACTTTGTACAAAGTGGGAGAGGGCCTTTTTCATTCCAAAGAATGAAAATCTTTCTCTTTTTCACCCCACTCGATTAAACCGAAGAAAGGGTATGCCTTTGCTTTTGCTTTTTTTCCAAGTTTGTAATCTTTTCTTTCACCTCTTTTAAACTTTCCTCCTCCACTTTCTTCTGTTGTACTATTTATAGTATACTTGTCAGTCCAATGGCAGAAACCAGAGTCCCACTCCCACACGAGGTCAAACGCCTACCCCATGTAAAAATTATTTACTCTTTCTTTTAACTGTATGTGAAATCAAGTGCATGGAGATCTCTAAGCAAAGTGTTTGGTAAGAAACTTGATTCGTTTCCTCCCCTTGTTTCTCGGTTGATGACTCCCACTTTCGTAGCTACCTAAAGAAACGTCCATTTCCAGTTGACAAAACTCAAAAAAGTATAGCCCTTTCAGACCAAACAGTAGGAGAAAATCTAACCAGGGAAAAGCCGAATTGGGGGTAAGATAATAGTAGACTTTTTTGACACGAGATTGGTTTGGTTTTCATTTGTATTAGTATGTGGTAAATCCTGTGATATACCAGTGTAAGTCTGCAAATTACGAATGTAGTTATACACAGTTCAATGATAACATTTGATTCATTGGTAATTAATATATGGACAGTATATATTAAATATAAACCATTTAATAATAGGCTCAACCCATAAAGGTAAGAAGCAAGTATTAACCAACTTAAAAAGTTGGAACTGATAAGACAAGAGAGAAGATCACTCACCTAATTCTAATTGCTTTTCCTAAAGGAAGTTTTGTCATTTGGGCAAATTGGACTGGTCAAAAAAGAGTCCTCTGTCTAGTGTTGGTTACTGGAAATGGATTTAGGCATGGGTTAATATTTATTATCATGGAAATGGGGGTGCAGATAGGACAACTGGTAACAGCAGAGAGTTTTCTTCTTTCAAAGAGGCAAAAGCAGGTAAGAAGGGTTTGAGCATTGTTTCTTGTTTCTTGTTTCTTGATTGATTATGTTTGCTGGAAACCCCGCGTTCTTGTTGAGCTTGCTTGCTTCTTAAGCAGAGATGGAAGGGGGAAGAGACAGATGAAGCTGTGCATGAAGGAAGAAGTTGTGTGGTTCCTTTTAGCCCAGACTCAGAAGAAGAACTCTAATTGCTTATTGCTGGAGTTCTCCTCCCCTGCCTGCCTGGGCCATTGGCCTGCTTGGAATAGGTACACAAAATTAATAACCATTGTCTTTCCCGGCAAATACATCTGCCCAACAGGACAAAAAACCAATGGGTTTGCTTTGGTCTTTTGACAGCATGGAAAACTCTCAACTTGGAAGGTAAAATGTAATCCATCAATATATTCTTTATTTACTAGTACTATTACCTAACAAGATTCAAGATCTTCAAACCATGCAGACAAATTTCAATTACACCACGTCTTTCTATAATTCAAGATATATAATAAACTTTTTATTTAAATACATTTCAAACTCGAATATAAAATATTTAAATTTTACATAATCAAATTAAATTCTCGTAAATACCCGATCAAACAATACCCATTACTGTCCCCATCACAGTTTGCATTGCAAGTTTTTACCCTGTTTCCTTCTTTCTTCATCTTGGTACCAAAACAAGTAAAATTCATTGCCATGCCCAAGGATAACCAGGCAATGCTTTATATATAATGATGGTCAGGTATGGTCCCCAAGTCATCTTGTGTAATTAAATCTCAAGCAAATTTAATTAATATTTCCCTTTCTCCATAAACCAGCATCCCTATCCCATGATTTATGTGGTACACCAAACCTTCACTAAGCTATATATATACGGTTATAAACTTCTTTGAGAAAATAAATGGACTCACTCCATTATTTAGCTTTACTAAACCTTCACAAAAAGTCAAATCTTGCTAATATAAAATTAATGTGCTAATATAATTACAAAATCTTCTTGTTCCTTATCTCTAATCCCTAATCTAAAGTACTATTATATACTCCTCTCAATTTTTTTATTTATTTTCTTAAAATGTCTCGAAACATCTTTTATTTTCATATTATAAATTTATTTTTTGTGATTTTTTATGTTAGAAAGTATTCAAGATCGATATTTCAAAAAATATCAAATTTTAATATAAAATATATTATATTTATCATATTTGTTTTAATTCCGTAAAAATAAAAAAAAAACATTTAGGGATTGTAATTAGAGAATTATGAACCCTACAAAGCAAATTCATTTTCAGAGGTTGAAAAGAAAAAAAGGCCCAAAAGTAACCGGGCATAGCAGGTAACAAACCGGTCATCTCTCAAATGAATTAAAGAAAAAGGCCAATCTTCACTTTTCTCTCTCTTCCACTCATTGGTTCTTTACTTCTCTCTCTAAATTATAGATATAGTAATGTTAGAGAGAGAAGTTCAGTTCTCATAGATCGAACCCAATTTTCATTTTTTTGCTCTTTGAGTCTCCGATCGAATTTTCTCGGTCACTTTCCCGCATTTTCTCGAGAGAAAGAAAGGGGAAGAAAGTATGGAATTGCCAGCAAATGTGTCAGCTTTTTTCTTAAGATAGTGACTGAAACGACACAGTTTCAAAAAAAAAAATCCAAAAATTTTTCTTTTTGAGGTAGCAGAAACTCTCTCTCTCTCTCTCTCTCTCTCTCGCGTTTTCCACAATGCAGAATGGAATCTCTGTATTTCGAGGCTTAATTTGAATGCTTTAAATGAATATACAACGTGATCCCACTTCCTTTTTTTTTTTTTGGTTTTTTGAACTTCAAAGTTTGAACCTTTAGCATCTGCTTCTTAAAAAGTGATTCGATTTTTGTTTAACTTTGGTTTGGGTATTCGTTTTTAGGGTTGTTGAGCTGATTGTTGAAGACTTTGAGGATAAAAGAGATGAGGGTTTTAAGGGTATTTCTGAGGTGGGTTTTGGATGGTAATGAGAGATAACTATCTGGGTTTTTGAGGATTTGAGTGAAGCTTAGAGTGGTAGAATTGTAAATTGAAGAGGTTTTGTGGGGAGATCTGTTTCGGGAGCTTTCAAGGGGATGGTTGATGAATGTGTGTACCGTTAAGTTCAAAATATCTTTACAGTTGTTGCTGTTAAAGTGTTTTTGAAGTGGAATTTATTAAGAACATGATGAATTTACTTGATTTTATTAGTGGGTTTTGATAATTTTGAGGGTTGGATAGGCAATGTTGAGGTTTTGAGTGAACTAAAGAGCTGTAAAGTGAAAACGTAGGACTGCTTTGAGGTTCAAAAGGATTAAAGCTGAGATCTCTTGAGAATTAGAGTTGATTTGAGAGATTTTATAATCTATGTCCGGTGCTCCAAGATTGAGGTCGATGAATGTGGCCGATTCTGAGGCAAGGCCCGTGCTGGGACCTGCAGGGAACAAGGCGGGTTCATTGAGTGCAAGAAAACCAGCTTCAAAGCCTTTGAGAAAGGTTGAAAAGTCTCCGGTTGAGGTCACTGTAGCAGAGGAGAAAAAAGCCTTTCCACCATCTACTGTCAATTCACTTTCTCCAAAAACGCATTCTGTTAGTGTTCCTTCAGTGCTACGCCGCCACGAGCAGTTATTACATTCTAATTTATCACTAAATGCTTCTTGTTCATCCGATGCTTCCACGGATTCATTTCACAGTCGAGCATCTACTGGTAGGTTAATTCGGTCAAATAGTGTAGGAAGTAGGAGGAAGCCATACGCATCAAAGCCGAGAAGCGTTGTTTCTGACGGTGGTTTGGATTCACCACCTGATGGTTCACATCAGAAGAAGAGATGTGCCTGGGTGACACCAAATACAGGTGCGTTGTCCTGTCCTCTAATTTCTCAGTGTTTGGTCATGATTGAGTATTAGGTATGTGAAGTTTTGTGTTAACATTTTCTTCATAAGACTGCTTTAAGTTTTAGTGTTAGCTGCAGAACCTTGCTTTAACTAGTTTACAATCTATTTCAAATCCTCCATCCCAACCCCTGCATATAACTTCTAAATGTCATAATGAAAAGAATTATTTGTGGTAGCTATGGCCATAGGCTTTAGGAATAGGATATCATTTTTGTGATTCTGCACTAAGAACAAAGAAATTCTTTTTATAATTTATGCCTTCAAGTTCTCCAATCCCAAACCTGCAGTATGAGGTTGTTGGATGAATATAGTCATAGTGCGCTAGGGAGGTTCAGCATCTACCCAAATGAACCAACTAGGTTGACATTCTCAAGTTTTTAACTTATGCTAGACTAAAATGGTGCTTTTTTCTTATTATTATTGCCAAACTTTACCGTATTTACGGAAACCAGATTTTCTGAGTCATATATACATTATTCTCCAAAGATTTATTGGTTTAGTACAACCAAAACATAATCATGTACAAGATTTGTCAAGTGAACTGAGGCAGTGAGACAAGTCATCAGGGTGAGTTTGCTTTATCTTGTATATGTTTCCAAAGTGAAATGGGTTTGGTCTGGTTCATTCAAGTGCAACTCCATATTACGCTGACCATTGATTGAAACCATTTTGTCAGCCCAAGACCAGAGTAGACCTAGTGGAGCTACTCTGAGTGAGAAGTTTGTTAGGTTAGTTGGTCCACACAATTTCCTAATCGATGAAAAGGAAATTACTTTAGCATGCTTCTAGGGCTAATGAATAAAGGCTGTAACTCGATACTGTTTTAGACTTTTATGATTTAAATCTAGCAATAGGTTAAATTGTCACTTCATCCACAATCCGTTTACTTGATATTTCTAAGGTTTGCACGGTTATCACCAAGTGCATTATATGGCAGTAATGGCATGAATGCAAGTTACTTACACGCTCAGAATTTCAGGCGTTATACTCAAAGTGAAAGAATGTCTATCACACTATTTCAATCTATTAGGGATTACATCTTCAAGTCATTCCTAACTTTTGGAGGGAATTTTATTCCATTTAATAAAGGAAGGAATTTCACTGTGGTTGCCTGGATGCTGTGAAGGCATTTCATGCTTTCTACTGACTTGTTTTTGTTTGTTGGGATCAGATCCAAATTATGTTGCTTTCCATGATGAAGAGTGGGGAGTTCCTGTACATGACGACAGGTACGTGTTCTCAATATTGCCTTCATCTGGTTACTGATTAAATGGGCTGCCTCTTTGATTAAAGGAATTTCATCTGATGAGTAGTTTGCATGATATTATTGTCTGCATGCAGGAAATTGTTTGAGATGCTTGTGCTTTCGGGTGCATTGTCTGAACTTACATGGCCTGGTATACTAAGCAAAAGGCACATATTTAGGTATTGTTCCCACAGAAGTTCTGTCTTACTTCCACGGAATAAGCAGACTCATTTCTGAAGTATATTTATTATCCTTTCTTTACAATTATCTTTTATGCAGGGAAGTTTTTGTGGATTTTGATCCTGTTGCTGTATCAAAATTGAATGAGAAGAAGTTAGTAGCACCTGGTAGCATCGCAAGTTCCTTGTTGTCAGAACTAAAGCTGCGAGCTATCATTGAGAATGCACGCCAAATATCTAAGGTAGATTCTCATTCTTCTTTCACCTTTTTTTTTTAACCTTGGTTGGCATGAGAAGTCTCATTCATGTGCTCCTTAAATCTCTTGTAAGCAGCATACACTAATAACAGTCTGTATACTCGATGGAATATAGCAAAGTCTGGTCTACTGAAGTTGTTTATGTGGTGGAAGATATAGTTTGATATTGTCGTGCAAGATGATAGCAGGCTTCTGGCCATCTTCTGTACTACTGAGCTTATTTTACACGCATGTCCTGATGCAGAATTCATTGAACTGATTGTTACACCCAACTTTAGGGACCACTTACATTGTTCTCTCTAGTTTTTGCAAGTAATTAGACAAATATAAAAGGTGCTTAGTAATCACTTATTTGAGCAGGTTAGGTGAAAAGTAGCTAAATAGTGGTCCTAAACCTTCCAGGCATATGTTTGAATCATATGAGACAAACCACAAGACTACAATATACAATTTGATCCTATACAGTTATTTTATTTTGTGAGTAAGGGCACTTAATTATTCCTATCCACTAGATGCCAGCTTGCTTAGTCGGTAAATCCCAAGTCATTCATATGATTTAATTACTTTTCATCATTAACCACTAGCCCTTGCTATTGAAGTAAGTACCATAATTGCACTCTCCATAGTGTCTATGATTATCATTGCAACTAACTTTTTGCAGGTTTTGATGATGCCAGGTTATAGATGAATTCGGGTCATTCGACGAATATATTTGGAGTTTTGTGAATCACAAGCCTATAGTTAGCAGATTCAGGTATCCTCGCCAGGTTCCAGTTAAAACTCCAAAAGCAGATGTCATAAGCAAAGATCTGGTAAGAAGGGGCTTTCGGAGTGTGGGGCCCACAGTCATCTACTCGTTCATGCAGGTAGCGGGAATAACCAACGACCATCTCACGAGTTGTTTCAGATTCCAGGAATGCATAACAGCAGCAGAAGGAAAAGATGAAAATGGTATCAAAGATATGCCTGAAGAGAGAAAAACCGATAACGTGATGGAATCAAAGTTATCCATAGCTATCGACGAATTGAGCTTCTCATCAGAATGATGTTGGATTGGTGGCAGATGGCGCTCCAGGTTCGATCATCAGTTTTACCACATTGACTTGTAATGAAGGTGGTCTTTGTGTATAAAATTTCCATGAAAACCTATGCATCATGAATTTTTCTAGATTGTAGATTTCTAAAAAGTAAAATTAAAAATTAACTGGTGAATGTGCTGTTGATGGGGCCTTTCTGTCGTGGAAGTCGTAAAAGTTATGATGTACAAGTTTTTTTGTATAGTCGAAAAGGTTGGTAATCAGAAATCATCTTTTTATATACTAGACACCGGCATCAGGAGCAGCAGGCTGCAGGAAACCAGATTTTGCCACCGGATCTGTCGCCATCAGATTCTTGACCACACGGTTAATAGGTGGGGGAGGGGGCTGGTTTGAGGGTGGATGCTAAACCCTGTAAGTTGCTGGACAGCTAAAACTTTCACTGGCAAGTCCATTTGTTTGCTTTAAATGGATGGCAATAAAGGGGTTGGGGGCAAAATGTTTGTGTGTCCTTAAGGACAGGGGGAGGACTCCATCTTACAAGACATGATGCTTGTGCCGTTGGCCCCAATATTTACCAATGATGTAGGGTACCTCTGTTTCCTCCTTTTATTGAGATAATAATGGCTTTGATGGATGCTTTGTCTGACAAAAAACAAAAAGCCTTGGACAACTTCCATGCTTTGTCCTTCTAAGCTTTGCATTAGATCCGGACAGTAACCGGTAGAATGCTTTCTTGCAAAATTTAAGTCTCCCCAGTTAATTTAACAGTCAAACTCCGCACCTAATCATATCTTCCGTCCAAGTCAACTGGCCAAAGCCAGCCAGCGTTAGGCGTCGTGCCTTGACCCAAATTGAGATTCTGATAAAAATGTCAGACCTAATGAATTCCTTCTGACTTGTGAATGGAAAGTAGCAAATCCTTTGAAGCAAATTTTGATTTGGGAATCTTCATCTTGTCAAACAGAACAAATCAGGCAAAGCAAAGTTTTTTGATTTTCGACAATAAAAAGGAATAAACTTGAAACTTTGAAGCAACTCTTTATGGGGTAAATCAGATTCCTAGGGAGATTTTTAACATTGGTCAATAACCTTTAATAGGAATAGAATAGGGGGGCAAATAAACATATCAATTCCTCATCTCATCAAAAAGAGACAAACTAAGATTTGGTCAATGCCACCACCTCCAAAGAAAAGAATCAGTGACCACAAAAAGGCCGACAGAAAGTTGTTCGGTGTATTATTTATAACTAAAATCAAATGTGCCTAAACAATCCTGCTTTGAATGTATATAGCCCACAGCACTAGTTTTATAGGAAAGGTTAAGGCTCTAGAAACCTTGAATCAACAGCGTCTGACTTGCTAGCCACTAATAATCTCTTAAATGCAGTCAAAAGAAGAAAGAAGAAGAGCAGTTGATTTATAGCATAAAAAATGGCCAACAGCATCCAGCAAGATTAGTCTATGATCAACCATAGATAAAAAACTGCCCTGTGAACTGGGTGTTACTTAAATGCTGTTGCCCAACAAACATGCATAGCTGCCCTGTTAAATTCCAACTCACGTCACAAAAAATATAAAAGAGAAATTGGAACATGGTTCCAACGTAGATCACAAGAAAAGGGTTGCCAAGCAAATCTATATTGTTCCACTACTATTACCTTGTTCCAAACAGATTGAGAGGGTATGCAACAGAAAAATATACAGCCTCACTGGAAACTAGAGCAATAACAAGGAAACAACTACAAATAAGACAAGGAAAAATCAAACCTGACCATTCGATAATTTATATGGAGACATGCCTGATGGTAACAACATAAAATGCCCATTAAGTTCAGCATGGCTTGATTTCAAATCCAATACTCAGAAGCGTTCGAGCTGATTCCATTGCCTTCTCACCTCCAAGGTCTAGGGCCTCACCAGTCAATTCACCTTCTGTACCCACTGACCACTGGGTTGATGTTACTTGGTTTTGCACTCCATCAGTTTTTTTAAATTGTAAGTTGTTCATGGAAGCAGGAGCAGCAGCAGCAACAAGAGGAGCACTTGGTGGGCCATGTCGCTTCTTTGGTACAGGCATGTCATGATCATGAACACCTTTATATGTTATAATAACAGCATTTGTATTATCTACAGCAGTCTCAATATGCTTACGAACAGGACACCCAGCAGAAGTGCATCTATAGTAGTTCCTGGAAATACATCCATTCAATCAAAAGATCAGAATAAAACCAACAGAAAGCATATGCCTTGAATTAAATGGGAACATAACAACTGAGTCAAAGAATGAACTTGAAAGGCCACCAAATTGGTCATCCTGAGGGAGAAAAAGAAAGGAAAAAGAACATCTGCCTCAGAGAGTGTTTTTACATTGGTTCAGGAGAGATGTATAGATGGGTATGTCTACATTGTAAAACAAATAGACCTATATGGCTTTGCAAAGCACAGTTAAAGGGCTACAAGCACTGAGACCAAAAGCAATGTCAAAGAATCAAAGATCACTGAAACATTTGCGTATTAATGCATTGGCATCAAACTCCATTGTACAGATGAATGGTTTTTTCAATATTTCAATAAACCAAAGATAATGTAATAAACCTTGAGGGCATAAAAGAAGCAAACAACCATAACATAGAATTACAATGACAACAAGTAGACAAAGTAGCCACATGCTAAAGCAGTCATATACATTGAGTAATGGTTTAAAGGGATAAAATCATAAAACCTTTAACAAAAAATACTGAGAAGTGAACAGCCACCTGGGATTTGGATTTCCTTTCACCATTTTCTGTCCGTATTTCCGCCATCTGTATCCATCACCTGAGATCCCTACATCACCAGCTGCATGCACTACAAATTTAGGTTTTTTCCCAGATTTTAAAACAGAACCAGAACAAACTGCATTGCCTTTCTTCATCCTGATTATCAAAAACAATGAGAAACTATTAAAACCAGATTCCCAGACAGGTTTTTCCATTACACGCACACATACATATGCATGCATGTATGATGGAAAAAAACAAAGGCAAAGAGAAATTCACAAAAAAACTTGCCTTCTTTTTGGCTCTGGTTCACTCAAATGCTCTTCCTTCACTTGCACATCACCGTTCCCATCCGAGCCACTTGAACACTGTCGTTTTCTTTCAGGATTTACAGTTGTTTCCTGAACAGAATCTTTAGAAGATGTTGACAGATCAGAATCATTAGGTATTCTGATGGGCTGTTCTGTAACAATATTCCGAGAAACAGGCACAGCAGATGATACGACCTTACTTTCTCTTGTAAAGTTATGTTTCCGTGGTGGTTCATGACTATGCATGCCTTTGTTAACAATCTCTATTACATGGCCTGTGTGATCAGAGCATTCTATCTTTTTGGCCCGACAATCAGAAAATGTGCATTTGTAATAGCTTCGAGAACCTTTAGGACTCTTCACTTGCTTCTGACCATATTTCCGCCAATTGTAACCATCAGACACTGGTGTCTTCACAATGGGAACAACAGATACCGTTTTAAGATTAGAAGATGTTTGCCGGTTTGCTTCTGGCACAGATGCACCATTAACCTTCTGATCTGAAAGGCATTCTTCTGGTAGAGTTGGAGTGGGCGCAGATAATATACCTTGTGCAACAGAAGTTGGTGACGATTGTGGCAAAGAAGTTGGAGAAACAGATAACTGGGGCTGATTTTGTGTCTGAGATTCAGCACCCTGTACCACCAAACTAGGCAAAACTTCTTGCTGGGATACCTTAACTTGCTCCTAAGAAAATTAAACAAGGAAGAACTCCATAGAAAGAACAGCACAATCACAGAGAAATTTAACTATACATATGTCCATTTCTCATTTCTGTTATATTTATCACTTCATTTTCTTCAGAAGAAACTGAATTGGTAAGACATGCAGGACCCAGAAAAATCGATGGCCACATATAGGATGATTATTTTCTTTGCAATTGTTTTGATGAACTCATTCAATGCTCTAACTTGAAAGAAAACATATATCATCATTAAAATAGTAAAAGTCAACAACACTGCAAGCTATAACTGGTAGAGCTTTTAATAGGATGATTAAAATGTTTGTAGGTATGGTTTCACCATCCTTTAGCCGATGTATTTGCCATTGAAGTTGATATAGGATTTTTTATCATAGCCTACCCTTTTATATGAAAAATAAATCAGACCCTTGAGGTCATGCACAATAACCCATAAATTTGCAATACTTTTTCATTAATATTGTCACTAAGAGATTAGGTCTCAATTGGCTTCTAAACAAGGGAGTTTCTAATAACAAAAGAGCATACTGAATTTGAGGTGTTTGTGTGTGTGGATGCACACACACACACATGGTGGGAAATTTAACTTGTGAATTCTGAGGACCATAATTTGTTCGTTAACCACAAGAGCAAGGGCCTCATTGGCTACTTATGCAACACTAAAGGCCTGTTTGCATATATGGCTCCAGTGCAGTAGGATGGGGCTCCCACCGTTTTGCCCCAGACATCGAAATGGGCTCTCAGATAATCAATAACATATTATAAGAAATTTACTCCTTAATTAAGAGTCATTTCATGAACCTCCCACATCCTTAAAAGAAAAAGCACTACCGCACATGATGGCGCGGGTAAAGTGGGAGAAGAGAAGCATTCTATATGTCACTCGGCATATTTAGTTAAGGTGCAAAGTATTCAATAACATAATTTCAGGGCACAATAGCATGAAAAGAAAAACTTTTAAGGCAACAAAGTCATCAATCCATACGCTATAAATGAAATCTAATTTCACTTTCCTTGTAAAGAACCGAAACACCCTACAAACACTGTTCCAAAATTGCTACGATGTTCAATACCTATAATGAACGAAACTAAGCGTAGAGTAACACAAAAAAAAGAGTGGAGTTCAAGCAAACAGATCAAAATAAGAACAATAAAACACCATAATCGCAAATTTTCAAAATTAAAAAAAAAATAGAAATGATAGCATTAACATGATTATAGTAACTAAAAAACTAGAGTCCTGACCTTAAATTCAGCTCCTTCCTTCGATTCCGAAGAAGAATTCACCTGCAAACCTGAGAGATCACCGCATACTCATTTCAAAACAATTCCACCATGAAAAAACACTCTTTCTTTTAAATAAACCGAAATTCTTCCATAAAACACTCACAAAAATAAAAAAAGCTTACCTTCACAACGATCATCATTCGTTAGGGTTTGCGAGTCTCTCAACTCGGCATCACTTGACGGCGCCACTCCAGCACCTTGTGACTCACTCGCTCGACTCACTCCTTCTTCTTCTTCCTCTTCCTCCTGCAACTCATCGTCCTCTTCCTCCTCCTCCTCCTCCTCTTCACCTTCTAAATCGTCGTTTTGCTGTTCCTCCTGTCGTTTCGCCTGCTGCGCTTGGCTTTCTGTCTCAGCCATGCCTGATTTCTCCTCAGAGAACGAAAGAGAGTAAAGTAAGCAAACAGTTCTCCTGCTTCCCTTTGTTTTTTAAGTCCGACACTGTACTTTATTTTTTTTTCAGGCCGGGAAAAGCAGTACGTGTCGTTTTATTAACAATTACAAGGCGAAACGGTATCGGAATAGATTAGGCATAGGAGAGAGAAAGAGAGAAAGGGTTACTTTAAAGGAAAGAGAGAGAGAGAGAGAGAGAGAGAGGGTATATGTGTCTTTGACTTGAATTGACTCCTCCTCCTTTCCCAGGTGGTTTTTCTGTGTAACGAAAACGCCGTCGATTTCTCCGTTACTCTCGCTGCGCGGATCACCGTCGATTTTGTTGACTTGACGCTTTCTTTTCATTTACGCCGTTTTGCTGGGTTCTTGTTTTCTTTTTTGCGTAGACTGTTGACCCAGACATAAGTGGCCCATTCTTTTCTTTTTTAATTTTTTTTGCAATTTTTTCTAATTTGGATTCTTATTCCCAACATAAAAATTTAATGTGTCATAAGATTGGGGCCGAGTATCGTTCTACGTGAAATTTCTGAATGACAAACAAAAAAACAAATGATTACAAATTTAAAATTTGACATGCTTTTCTTTTGATATAATATTTAAAAAAATTTTAAATTATTTTTAAAATTATAACCTAAATTATTATTTTTTTATTATATTCAATTGAAATCATATATTTTATTTTAATTCAAATAGATCTTTACGGCATAACAGTTAAATCAAAACATAATTTATCATTTTATATCACTTAATTTTGAGGTGATATATTCATAAATCATAATGAATTACGATATGACATATTATAGTATATCATAATAGTGTTTTGATTAAATAATTAATTATTAATTATAAAAATTTATTTATTTTAAAATAAAAATATAAAAATTTAATTAAACGCAATAAATGAATAAGTTCTTAACATTCAAAATGCATCAAAGTAATAATAATTTCAAACCCTTTTTGTCTTTTTCTTCTTCTTTTTTTCACAACAAAATCACAAAATTCTTTATGTTTTTTCATGTAAAAAAATCACAAAAAATAATTTTCAAAATATAAAAATTAAAAATATTTAGTGTTGGGATGTCTTTTATTTTAAAGTACAATGTTGATGGATCCGAAACCCCAAGATCTTGAGCAAAATATGGTGTCCCATTGATTTTGATTTAGGGTTTTGGCCTTTTGCTAACCAAATTGTAACTGTTTTTTTTTTTTTGATAGATTGTTACATTTTCAGTCAGAAAATGTGCCATAAAAACTAGTACAAAATGAATGTCAAGAAATGATGTCTCATTCCTCCTTTAAAATACTACTTGTATTTTATTATATTATTAGAAAAATTACTGTTGATTAGTCTTTTTTTAACGATCCAATATATCATTAAGATATATTTATTCAGACTATAAAATTAATGCTTTCGATGATTGATCTATGGTCAATAATAAGCAGCTCAACTAGGGATGAGCTCTTATAAAAGCTATTTGAAACCGATTGAATTATAATGAAAAAATTAAAATAACCAAAATTAAATTGTTTTAATAAATTCAATCGGTTTATTTTGACTTGAATTAAGAATAATTTAAAAATATAAATAATATTTTATTAATGATGAATTTTTTTATTGGTTGAATTGTTGATTGAAATTGTTGAATCGATTGTTATTTTTAATTGATTAGGATTGAAATTGAAAAAACTAAATTGAATTAAATCGATTTCAATCCATTTTTCCAATTTAAACCAATTAATACTTACCATGAAACTCAACAATAACGAAAAACCCATAGAGAGTATTTAAAAAAAAATCCATGTAAGATTATACACAACAATTAAAAATATTTCTCATTTAAAAAAAATAAATAAATAAATTCTTTTGTTTTATTGTTGTCGGTGATGTGAAATTTCATAGATCACTTTTATACTTAAAAAAGTATTATTAATTTTCATTAAGCCGCTTTCTTGATAGGGTTGCCCATCTTTGACACGTGCGGGAATCTTTCTGGAATTTTAGTAAAAGAGAATCAAAATTTAGGAATAAGATTCCCTTCTTCACTCTATTTTCTTATTTATTAATTAATAGGCAGTTAATTGTAAGGGGAGAGAAGAATATTCATCCGAGTCCAATATGAGAAAATGCTTAGGCCCAATTCTTGATAAGCCAGAAGCCCAAAACAGGATTGTTTCTATTTGTTCAATTCGAGATATTAATATTAAATAAATAAAAAACAATAATGGACTCCGTTTTATTTTATCTCTGACTGATATGAAATTCCATAAAATCACCGGTCATTTCAAAGTTGCTTCAACATTTTCTTTGTTCTGACCAAAGCATGATGTTAGCCAAGAAAAACTTGCCATTGGTTCGCAATCCATCTGTTGGTATGGAGAAGAAATGGACAGTTGAATGCCAGTCAAATGACGTGTTTGACTACCATGGCATAGGGGAGAGGACCAAGGCAGTGGAATGGAAAGTTGAAACTGGTGGAAGCTAATAGGGACATGGGATGTTTTGGGGGTTAAGCATTGCTGAACGAGATTACTAGGGTGCATTTAGAACAATTAAGAAGATTGTGAATTGAATCTGAACATTTGATTCAATAATTAAAATATAAATTTTTTAAAAAAGAAATTTGAGTTGATGGGTCAATTTTGTTTCCAAAGAGACTTAAGCAAGGATGAATTCCCAAAGATATCAAGACAAAGTTAAGCATTCAACAATGTCCCAATGATCTTAGAGTATTGAAAATGTACATTCTATTCTAGACAGTTAATTACCACTTACCCGCTTCAAGCTTTCTACTTTCCACAAGAATTGGAAGAGTGATTGTCTTGTCGGCATCGAGATGGCCTGAGATTTGCTTACCAGAAATGGTCTCCTATTCCAGGCCGGACAAAGGAAGGTGCCATGGAAATATGACACACAGCATTGATTTTTTTGGCTCATATATTATTCTAGGGTTGGGACCTTTCTAATTTAAAAATTGGGGTGCACCCTTGGCCTTGTGTCATTGCTCGGCGCTCGACTACATTTTGTCCACAGCTTTGCAGCCATACATAAATAATCAACTAATAAATGATTAAACAAAAATGGTGGAAAAATATGAAATGTTAATATATTGATTAAAATTGGACATTTCATTCACATGGAGACCAGATTTCCACAAACAAATGGTCTATGAAGGAAAGACTTTCGGAACCTATTAGAACTGTGTCAACTCTTACTTTCATTCACAAATGCAAGAACAGCTACTCGAGGAAGGTTCGTTCTTTGTTCTTCTCACATTCCCTGTTTTTGTTCAGTATAATTCTTGTGGGTTTTGGACCTTTGGGTCTGGGTCGATAAAGTTCTTCATGTTTTTGAGTTCTAAGTAGGTATTGGGTGTTTCAAATAACTGTGTTTTTCTCTGTTTTTCTTTTTGTGAAGGTTTTGGTTGTTGGATTGTTTGTTGTTTTAATCTGTCTTGGCTGTCTAAGCTTTAGAACCACAGAGGAACAACTTGAATTTCCTTGTCTTTTTAATTCTATGTTTCTTGGTTCATGTTAGGGGATAGGATGGACGAGGAGGTCTCATCAAGAAGTTCTTTTTCACCGTTAGAATGGGTTTCCAAGTTTCAGACCATGGCTCGGGAAGCATACAAAAGCAAGCCAATTTCACATTGGGTTCTTCTGTTTCTAAGCAGTTTGGGAATGCTTGTGGCTTTTCCTGCTTCAAGCCTTCTATCTCGAGTCTATTATGCTAATGGGGGAACCAGCAAGTGGATCATTTCATGGGTAGCAGTTGCTGGGTGGCCAATACCTGCTTTGATCTTATTCCCAACATACCTCTTTTTAAATGCTTCTCCTTCTCCTCTCAACTTATACCTCTTCCTTTCCTATGTTTTTCTGGGGTTCTTAAGTGCTGCTGATAATCTCATGTATGCATATGCCTATGCCTATCTCCCAGCATCAACTGCATCTCTGCTGGCAGCATCATCCCTAGTGTTCTCTGCACTGTTTGGTTTTCTGATTGTGAAGAACAAACTGAATGCTTCAATGATAAATGCTATTGTGATAATAACTGCTGCCATGGCCTTAATTGCATTGGATTCAGATTCTGACAGATATGCCAGTGTCAGTAACAGCCAATATATTTGGGGTTTTGTCTGGGATATCTTGGCATCAGCACTACATGGCCTTATCTTTGCTCTTTCAGAGTTGATATTTGTCAAGTTCTTAGGTAGAAGGTCCTTCCATGTTGTTTTGGAGCAACAAGTCATGGTTTCTTTCTTGGCCTTTGTGTTTACTACTATAGGAGTCATAGTGAACAAGGATTTTCAAGGAATGGTATCTGAGGCTAAAACTTTTAAGGGCGGGGAAACTGCATACAAACAGGTTCTCATTTGGGGGACACTCACTTTTCAGCTGGGTGTGTTAGGAGGCACTGCTGTGCTTTATTTGGCTTCCACTGTCATGGCTGGTGTTCTTAATGCAGTTAGGGTACCACTCACAAGCATTGCAGCTGTCATCCTGTTACATGACCCGATGAGCGGCTTCAAGATCCTTTCTCTGGTCATAACCTTCTGGGGATTTGCATCCTACATCTATGGCACTGCCCCAGGGACAAAGTTATCCTAATTATAAGTTTCTGTTGAATACGTTGTTGTATAATGGCTGCTAGCATCTACCTTGTGACATATAAAAAGATGCATAGGTTTGATTGTATGGCAGGCTCAAAGAGATGTTAAATTTATCAATTTAAAAAGGAGGATTTGCAGATATTTCAGTAATCTCGGATTACAACAGATCTTGTTTAAGTTGCCTCAGTTGTGCAAGATTTTTACTTTGGTTTTGTTCTGGATTAGATTATTTTAGAATAGGTTATGACAAGGAAATGCATACTGACAATCTGACATTGAAATTGTAAAGAGCTTTTAGTTATTAATTACTATCAAAGAGAGATGACTTTGTGCTACTACTTTTGCATAAAGGGATTGATTTCATGACTTTGGGTTTCTGTTTCTGGGTTTGCCAGATCAATACATCCATAATTCTACTAAATTACAGTCGATTTTTGTCATGTTGAAGGAAACATGAGATCTCAAAGGCCTGAAATCGATGCTAAAACTGAACCAAGCATTAATGAATATGACATAGAAATAGGGGCTATATATAAATTCCAACCTGCTGTTGATACAAGTTCCCTTCATCCAGGGATCAGCAGTTCCTCCACAAACTTGAAGATTACAATGTTAAAATACCATCTGAATAAGGGTTTCTTGCATACATGCATAAATACGTAAAACTCTGTGTCAGCAAATAAAGCTATAGCAGCATATATTCAATTTTTAGGACCAATGTCCTTAAGAGCACAGATCTGCTCCTCTCCCATTGCAGACATGACTGTAACCACAAGGTCCTTTCCTTCAGCAAACCCATCCTTGATCTGCAAGCAGGAAGGAATGAACAAAAAATTTAATCACTTGATCAAAATGTGGGTTATAGATATGAAAATGACTGCAGAAACTTAATCAAAATATCCTTTGTGGTATACCTGGCTAAGCAGATTTTCGTCGGTGGGAAGCCTCAGGTCATCCTTGGTGTTTCCGTTTTCAGTTAAGAGACTCACCTACAGGACATTTCTGATAGTTAGGCAACATTTGATTCACAGTTATGAACATATGCACAAAAGACAACTTACAAAACCATCTTCAGAGATATCAATCAGCTGATAGTCAGTACGATTAACATGGGGAACCTGTGGCAGACGATAGAACACGAGTAAATTAGCTGCTTATGCAGAAGAAAGAAGTGTATTGGGAGGGGGGAAAAAGGAAGACAGTTGAGGGTTATAAGGCAAACATCAAAACTTAAGAATAACATACATCACAGTTGTGGGATGAAGGAACAATATCTTCAAGTTTCTTCCCATTAAAGATATCAATGCCCACAAAGTGGCACTTTGCATGCCCATGTTTGCCTGTCTTCGAAGTTGAAACTTCTACAACCTGTTTTAGTTTGGGGAAAAAGTGCAAAACCAACAGATTACAGATTCTGAAGACAGCAAAAGTGAATTACTCATACAAAGACAAAGAAAGGAGAGCCTTTTGCTATCAGAATGAAGTGCAGATATCATTGTACTATGTGAATGTTTGTTCAACAAAAGGAATTATTCTGGGAATTAATGCCATAGAGATATGCTGGCAAAAAAGTGTAAACTAAGCTGTCTACACATCAATCCGCACAGAAGTACTTCAAAAGCCTAATTTAATTTGATAACCATGATTTTGTCTGCTCCAGTCTAAAAGATCTTTGAATAACGATAATGAGTATACTCTCCCCACAGAGTAGCAAGCATCAATCAACCATTTTCTAAGTATTCAAATTAAGCCAACACAGTAATTCTAAGAAAGTACAAGGCAAATCAAATACCATGAAATTAAAAACAAGAAAACAAGGAGTACCCATTAAGCAGATGCTTAATCAATCATCAACAGAAAGAGAAAATAACCATGGATGATCGAAAAAGAAACAGAAATCCAGAAACAAGGTTGATGACAAAGGAGAACGGGGTTTAGATCATGACCTTGCAAGGACGGTTTTTGGTGACGATATAACCATTCTTGCGGATGGTACCAGCTTGCTGAGGGAAGGTCTTTGAGGCTCCAGCGTCCGCCTTCGAGTCAAAGTGATGTTCCTCGTCCGACATCTCACTCTCTCTCTCTCTCTCTATCTCTCTCTGCTTCACGTAGAGAAAGACTAGCAGAGGTCACTGGCCCCTTTATTTTTTCATTTTGACGAGTTGGCAAAGCAAAGGAGAGGGGCCTCGTTTCTCTTAACCATGGTTAAACCAAAGAATCTGTCCTGGCCGTAGGATTACTTTAGCCTTTAGTTTATCTCATAGAAATCCAGATTCTTACTTGTTGACTTTTTTTGCTTATTCGAACTATTCCTTTATTCTACTCCTTTTTCCCCTGGGATCAATGAACTGGCCTGTGATTCTCCTCAACACCCAATTTTAGTGGTTCCTGTCTTCTGTTGCAAACTTGTTTTTTTCTTTGATGTCTTGGGGGATAGTTATGTTGTAAAGATGTTCATTGAGAGGATCTGATGCTGAGAGCAGGTATAGGTTGTAAGGGTCCATGGGATTTTACATTTATTCTTGGAATATGGCCATTATTCTTGCTCTGCATCACAGAAGGCAATGCTAATGCTAATGCTACCGTCCACTTGTAATCCACAGCTGCAAAAAAGAGAATGAATATATTCAAACCATTTTAATCTTTTTTGGGGTCAATAAAGTCAAGCTATCGATTCATTTTTATCATATGCTATCATATCAGCAACACAAATATATGAGAATGTAGCAAACTTTTTTCTCTTCTTTAGCCCCTTTAGTAAAGAGAACATTATAGCCACAGTGGCGCTATGAAGATGAAATTGGGAAAAGGACAAAGCTAGGCTGGTTTTAACAAGTCGACTAACCATCCTGGAGGATATACGGGGATAAAGATATTACAGGAAAAGGAAGCGAAGGGGAGAATCACCATGTCTGTGAAAGTGAGAGCCTGAACGGGTTGTCAGGATGTGAAAAAAAGTTCCCATTAAAACTCTTCTGTGAGCAACTAAAACTATCATAAGCTGCCGTGGAGTGAGGCTGCTAGCTAAGGAATAACAGTTGTGGAAAAAGCTGCAGCCATTTTTAGCCCGCAAAGGATAACATTCTTTTCCAAGCAAAGATATGAGCAGCCTGTTGCAAGAATCACTGTGCTGAGGAAAGAAATAGGCATCCCTTCTGTTCTGCAAGTACATTGTCAAGTTTATATGCAACGGAATACACAGCATATTCTTGGGTTTAAAGTTATTTCTGAAAGGGTATAGACATGGGAAAGCTGTTGGTAAGAGAAGGATATCACTCATCCCTTCACTTTCATGGCTTTATAGTTTTGAGTGTCATCAGAAAATTTAGGGAACAACTATCGGGTCTGTGGCTGCTAGGAAACAAACCGTGAATAAATTTTGCCCAGGGAAGCCCAAGAGATACATTAAAGGAAACAACACTAGTAGTTCATGCCAAACTTTTGATGAACTTTTTATTCCTGGACCACTTCTTAAATTCCTCTACTCTATTTCCCTAATTCAATACAAACTTAGAGATATGAGACCAATAAAAATAAGCCCCACTGGGAATTTGTACCCTCATCTGTTCGAAACAGTATCAAATCTACTCTGCCCCCTGGACCACCTTCTTCTTGAGAAGGTTGGCATACTTCACCCCATGCCAACCCCATAGATATTATTTTCCTTTTACCACTGTAAATTCACGGATTTGCAAAGGTCAAGGGATAGCTGAAAAGGCCAAGTTTTGAGTCATGGAAACTGGGAATTTGCTCCCTCCAATGGGAGATACTGCCAGGCAAGATTAGTTTCCTAATCTGACAAGGAAACAGCTGAAGTACGAGAATCAAACTAAAATAGCTTTGTATTTCAAAAGGTGAATGACAGTCATTCTTGAAAATGTGTTAAACTCAAACATTGCAGGATAGAATAGTCTAAAGATGTAGTTGCAGTCTCAGTGATTGTTATTTCAGGTAATAATAAGAGTTTGGGAACAAGCAGAAACCTTTCGGCACACATGATCTACTGATCATGATGAATTTTTGTTGATAATCATTACACCCACCAAGTGATGCATAAATTTTGGAGTCAAAACCATCTATTTCAACAGATTTAAATGATCATATACCAATTTCTTTATGATGCTAGGACTCCCAAGCGGGTGTGGAAATTCTGCAGGCAAAATGGAAAGGCAGCTTTTTCTACACCAACCCATGATGTCAAAGCTCAAAACTATGCTTATTCTGTTCCTTATGAAGGGTAAGTTTCTAACACATGGCAAAAGTGCATTGGCAGAAACTTGCTATCTCCAGTTCTCCACTTTGGGTGGATACTTGCTGAATTTTATAACAATGCAGCCTTTTCTGAATCCTGATTTCTACTTTTTAACGTCTATACTGCCAGTGTAAGTAATGGTTTTTCCTGGAAAAACAGGAGTGGTTTCCTTTTCCATCCTTCACATGCTGAAAGTCAAAGTCATAAAGGTGCTCCTCAACCAAACCAACTAAGCTACCTATTTTGAAAATGCTCTAGCATATGACACTGGGATGTTAATATAAAGAGCAAAACATGGTCCATGATCGTATCTAGTGTGGTAGGAAACTCTCAAGCATGGGAAAATGTTCATGAGCTGGCATCTGATCTTTAAATTTTTAGCTGTTCAGGCGTACATGTCTTATAAATTGTGGTAGGAACCTCTCTCCATCATTGCCATCTTTGTTTTGCAATGTATAACAGATATTTTAGTCCTTAATATGACTATATGAGCAATAAATTTTCTAATGAAGGATTTATTTATAAGAACCAGTTTGAATTTTGACAAGCACAAGTCACGATTTCTTTGCTTCATGTAGCCGCACACCATTTCTTCATTAATGGTTGAAGCAGTGGTCCACGACCAACTATTAACTCTTGAGGTGCTCCCAACTACCTCCAGATCCACACCAGATTAAAATAACTGCAGAAGAAAAATATCCTCAGAAGAATGCATGTAGATGCTGTAACATACAGGGTTTGCTTATCATACAAGGCATAAGCATCTGTCTCTAGGGAGACCACAAGCAGAGCTGCCTGAGCAAAGCATTCAAAGCTTCGCAATTGGAGGAACAAAGAAACATAAGTCAAGACTCCATTACTTTACTGGTCTAATAACACAGGTTTCAGATTGATTTTATTTGTATAAATGATAAAAGCAATAAGAGTGCTATCGAGGATAAGAAAAACTTGAAAGCCGAATTCTATCTTCAAGTTTCAAGGATCCAACTCGTGTATATAACATTGTAGATTAAACTATGATGCAGACAATGGACAGGTGAATAGAAAGCTATCAACAGAGTCCAAGACATAACGATTACTGTACATCCCCTCCCGTGGTGGCATAAGGAAAAACTCATGGTCAAAAAAGAACAAATTTAGTGAAAAAGAAACGAGGACAACTTATATTCATTGGTTTTCATTGAGAAGCTCTTGGTTCGATATCTTTGAGAAGGCCAACAATCTGTTGCATACTTGGCCGCTTGGTAGGAAGATCAGCTGTGCACAGATATCCAATCTTGAGGGCCTCCTCCATTTGGTAATCTGGCCCTGTATCACGAATTTTAGGATCAATAGCTCTTGATCCTTGGTTCCTTCTCACCAATCCTCTAATCCAACTCACTAAATTTGCTTCTTGCTCCTCTGTATAATCATCTCCAATTGGCTTTTTCCCGGTGATTAGCTCAAACAAAACAACACCAAAGCAATATACATCAGATTTTGGTGTTTGGGCATCACATTCAGGCTGAGAAAACTCTGGTGGCACATATCCAGGTAATCCACGGGCAATTTCATCCTCAAGACCAGTTCCAAAAATCTTGGCCAATCCAAAATCAGATAGTCTTGGCTCCAAATTTAAGTCAAGATAAACACTACTAGCTTTAACATCTCTGTGAATTATTGGAGGTGAGCAGCCATGATGAAGAAATGCCAAAGCTCGTGCAGTGCCAAGGGCTATTTTGTGTCGAAATGCCCAGGTTGTCAATAACCCTTCAGAGCCCACATTTTGTATCCCACCGTTGTCTTCTTCCCAGGTATCTGTGCTCCAGTCTTCTATAGCCTGAACACCAAGTGGCAAGTCATGTAGCAAATTCTGCAAGTTCCCGTTCTCCATGTAATCATAAATAGCAATCCTTTGATCCCCAGCCAAGCAATATCCGGTTAATGGAACAAGATTGGGGTGCTTGATTCGACCAAGATACTGGAGCTCTCTTGCAGCTTCTTGGTCTGTCAACGTTGATCCATGAACCAAAACTTTAACAGCTACATGAATTCCACCAGGAAGAAATCCTCTATAAACTGGCCCAAATTTTCCTTCCGCTAGTAGAGTGCCTCGATCAAAATTTGAAGTTGCAGACAAGAGGTCTGCAAACGTGATGTTCAGTAGTGGTTTCTCAAATATGACTACCTGGACTGATGTTGCCTGCTTAACATCAGCCACCCATGTGGTTGAATCAGTTTGGAAGGAAAAGGGACCAGAAATATTCTGTTCCTCCTTGTACGAGGGTTGTTTAACTACCCATGTCCTGGACTTCCTTCTGCAACCAAAGGCTAGGAATAGCAACCCAGCAAGCAAGCAGACCATGGAGAAGGTTAAAGCTAAGGCAAGCTTAAACCCCTTGTGTCTGTTGTCTCTTCTTTTGAAAAGGACGGGATTTGCAGCAATTGGACAGCTGTTTAGTGACCCATAAAAGGCGGTTTTGAAGGTCTCAGGGGAGAACCGTGAAGCACAAAGGGTTAAGTTGTTGTAAGAGAAGTTGTATCTGTCCATCCATGGGAGTTTTTCCAAGATAGAAATAGGAATTTCTCCACTCAAATTGTTGTGTGAAACATCAAATACTTTGAGGCTTTTGTTAGCCAGTGATGGAATTTGGCCGGTAAGATGGTTTGATGAAATATCAAGTGTATGTAAATTACTCAGTTGTGAAATTTCCCCAGGAATATGACCAATGAGGCTGGTTTCAGACAAATTGAGATACTTCAAACCCAGAAGCATTTCAATTCTTGGGAATTTCTGTCTAACAAATCTATTGTCTGCAAGATTTAGATGCCTAAGATTCTGAGCTTGACTCAAATTTTGAAAAATTTCTCCACTAAACTGATTTTCAGACAAGTCTAGATAAACCAAATGAGACCACTTGTAAGTAGAATTGAATTGTACCTGAGAAATGTGACCTTGAAACTGGTTCTTGCTGAGGTCTATCACCTCCAGCTGCCCTTGAAACACACCCATAACTGAACCCTTAAACAAATTCCCGGAAATGTTAAGGCTTGTAAGAGACTTCATTTCCGCAAAATCCGTGTCTCGGCCATAAATCTCATTTCTGGCAAGGTTTAACGTTCTCAGCTCAGGAAATGCTGCACCAAAACCATCTGGCAAGGAACCATTTAAACGATTTGAAGAGAGATCGAGCAAAACCAAAGACTGGCAAAGCAGAATTCCTGTCGGAATGCTCCATTGAAATCCATTTCCATTAAGCTTAAGAACCTGCAAATTAGCTAAGGAGCTTATAGCCGTTGGAATTTCCCCAGAGAAATTATTGCCAGAAAGATCAATAACTTCAATCAGACCAAAGTTGCCAATATTGTTAGGGAGAGACCCTGAAATCCTGTTGGAGGAGAGATTAAGACTCTTAACTGAGCCTAAACTCCACAAATCTGAAGGCAAAGCGGTGATATTGTTATTGCTAAGATCCAAAGACTGAAGCTGAGTTAGCTTTCCGATGGTGGTATCAGGAATCAAACCAGAGAGGCTTAAACCTGAAGCCTTTAAGCCAATAACATTCTCCATCTTGGTGTCACAGTGCACCCCTTCCCATGAACAAACAGAAGCAGAGAAGTTGTAGGACAAGGAAGAGTTTGAGCCCATCTTCTTCAAGAAGTCAGAGACATAGAACTCATCCGTATTGGGTAGTTGACAAGTAAAATGCTTGAAGAAGAGTGATAGAATTAGTACAGAACCAAAGAAACCAAAATCCATTTGAGCCAAAAAGGTCAAAACTTTGAGACAACAAGAAAGAAGAAAGACACTGAAAGGCAACACCTTCAACCACCTCAACCCTCTTATCTCTTCTAAACTTCAAAACACCCGCACCATAATATAACTAGTTCTGAGTCAACCCAAGACAACACTTTTCCAAGTTGTGCACAGTCCATTAAAAGCCAATACCGCCAACAAGTACAACTTTTGAGCGGTTTTCTGGGTTTCAAATACAAGGTGATTATAGGAGCTCTCGTGATGGCCAGAAAATCCAAAAATAGTGCCTGTAAGAAACCAACAAAATGAATAGTACTCTTGGAAGAATGAATGGTAACTTTAGAAAAAAAAAAAAACAAAAGAAATTGTTTTGCGAGTATTATGAAGCTTGGGGTGTTTCGAGAGAGAATGTGAGCTTACCTTGTCTGGCTTTGCAAGTCTATCAGAGCCAACAAAACAAACAGCAACCCAAGTGAAGCACTTTTGTCTCTGTGCAGAGCATAAGCAGCTCCATTCCTTCTCCAAGCATAATCTTACTTAGCAGTATTTTTTTTTTTTGTTTTGCCCTGAAGATAATATCACAACTCAATATGTGTCAAGGTAATTTTGAAAGGAGAGAGTGAGAGAGAGAAGCAGAGACAAGGGTATATTGGGAAGGCAAGAAGCCAGTTTGGAACTGTCAGATATTGAGCTTCATAAATGAAAGCAGAATTTAATACAATTTATATTATAAAATATAAATTTAGGTTGGTGAATTTATCAGTGATTGTTGGTGGGTATTCAATGATTCTTCATTGAGTGTTGATCATCTTTTCATATGTCTTTCCTTTTTTCTTTTCTTCTTCCCTGATTGACAAGTTTTGGTTTCTTTTCCAACTGATCCACTCCTTCTTAGGCTTCTTCCCCTTTCTTGTTTACTGAAAATGGAAAACATCAATGGCTTTCTTTGGGTAAATTTCCATCTTCACAAAGTAACAAAACTGTTACACTACATTTACCCGGACCAATGGATTGTATTCTCTCTTTTTTCTCCTGGTCAACTTCTGCAGTAGTTTGATTGTGATCAGCCATGCATTATGCCACATTCATGGGGAAATTCAACAGTAAATAACAGTAACTGTGATCAGCGTGTTTATAGACCCTTATTTTATTTTTGTAACATATTTTTGTTTAATTTGCTCCATTAATGAGCCCTTTTCTTTTCATTATTTCTGTAATCCAAGTAAAAAGAGAAAGGGCAGATTTAGGTACCATCAAAGATAAACTCATAGATTCAATGCAACCTAAGAGAAATAGTGGGCAGTTGCCAGTTGGATTTGTTGACCTTTAACCTTTTTAAATAATAATAATAATAAGTTTTGTTAGACTTAGAGTTTCTTACATGGTAAGTGTCAATTAAGTGATTATTAGTTTTATAGAGACTTCGAGAGAAGGTCTCAAACTTATCAACGCGAGTACTATATATCTCAAGAAGTTAATTTTTCAAGAAATAATATCAAAATTAACTCAATTCAATTCTCATATTGCAAAAAATGTTTAAATAAGTGAAATAAGTAAAGTGATTGAACTCGTAATGAAGGATTTAAGTAGAGAGAAAATTACGAAATTTCATATCAAATAAGTATGCAAAAGATGTTAAATTTATAAAAGTGAATTGATTTAATTGAAAATTATTTTTAATTTAGATAAAATAATTTTTAAAAAAAGAACATAACAAATGGGACCAAACTTAATTGTATATTTCACCCTGGAATGAATAATCTAGGCCATATACAAAGTGGGCCATCTGACTAATAAAACAAGACCACATTTGTCTTATCAAAGACCCTAAATCAACCTTTACCAAAAGATTAAATATTTTGAGTCTAAGTTCACCTCATTATTTCCAATATGGGTTTGATCATTGAGTTGATTTTTTGACCCAACAACTTGCTTATGTACACTTTTGAGTGCTTGTGGATGCAACATGATGCCTACTAGCATTATAATCACAATCATCATCTTCTTCTACTGCAACATGTTCATGTATAGAAATAAAGTTTATGTGAGTACGATAATATAATTATGGGTTATTTTTATTTTTTATGTTAATGTCACATTAATAATATATGTATATAAAAATAATAAGTAACGTTTAAATTAATATCAAATACTGAATCGGTATACTTGTTCTAAAAAATATATAAAAATTTTATTAATGTAATAAAAAATAAAAAGTTATTTAAAAATTTGTTAAAGCATTATGTGAAAATGGACCGTATGAGATCTCTTGTGGAGAGAGAGAAAAGAGAAAGAGGGTTGAGCATGCCAAGATCCGACATGAAAGATAAAAAAGGGAGAGAAGTGGGGGAGGAAGAAGAAATCTTAATGATTTGCATTGATTGAGGGAAGATGAGTAAAAAGAAATCAACCGACCATTTATTAATTGTATAAACCCATACATTAATGTTTTCCCCCTGTGACATGCTCATGCCAGCAAGCTTATTCTTCAAACCATGTTCCTCCAAATAAACATATAATGCTTTTGTTTTTTTTTTTTCTCCTCCTCCTACTAAAATATAAATCATGGTATGAAACTTTTTAGGACAATCAAATGTGAGAATTCAACTCAAAAACTTTAAAAACAAGTATAATATTACTTTCCCATTGGCAATAGAATCAGACAGTAATGGATGAAAATTTTATAATATGCTTTCCCCTTTAACATTATAATTAATTGCTTGACTGATATCAACAACGTTTCGTGCACGATTTTATTTTTATATATCTTTTTAGTTAATAAATGATGAAAAATAATATTATTAAAATTTATATTTAATATATTAACAGTATGTATTAAATTTGGTAAAAATAAAGATATATTTAGTTGTTATCCATTTCCCATTGTTTAATTTTATTTTATGTTCAAATTGGGTCTGTTTTTTTCTTTCTTGTTAATGAAATAATCTGAAATTTGACGATGAAATGATGCAAAATTACAAAAAAAAAAAATTGGAAAAAGGGTAAAGAGGGTGGTGGAGGATGTATGATTATTGCCACCTAAGATTTCAACACAAATTTCCAAGTATGAATGGAGCAAGGGTCTTGTAACAATCATGTCAAAGAATAAGAACGTGTGATAATGATAATACTACTACTTATAATAATAATAATAATAATAATTAATCATTACTAACACTCAAAGGAAATGACTAACTTTCTTTTACCAATTTTTAGGATTGTGAGGCATATTATATTGGTGAGTGAATAATGCAGATCTATTAATATTTTTTTAATGACAAAACTATGTATAAATAATGATTATAATTATAATCAAATATTACATCTCACATAAAAATTATTGAACAGTCATTTCAGTTGACGAATTAAACTGGCATGGACCGAACAATTGGGCCACTTGAACAGGGAATCAAAGCCTGAGTAAACCCCCAGCAGTGATATATATATATATAGAAAGTAAATTTTTATTTCTTTTCTTTTTCGAAAAATATACAAAACACAATTAACCCGACAGATAAATACACGAAATATGAATTACCCAAACAGATAATACATGGAACACAAATAACTTGATAGTTATGTCTTAAAAAATGTAAATTAGAGGCATGCACAGTGTTATCTTTTTGTAGCTTTTAAGAAAACTAATCTTAAAATTATAAGTAGCATTTTCATTTTTACCTTTGCTAGACATTTGGGATTTCTCCCATATTCAAATGGGGTTATAAATGAAAGAGAAAAAAGAAAAAAGAATTCTTTATATATTGATTACTAAGTGGCACCACAAGTTCATTATTGCTACCATGGTCACCAGGTTAATACATTGATACATGTCTCTCTTTCCCAAATGAAGAAATTTCAGAAAGGACAAAAGATCAAAAAATTAAAAAAAAATCAGAATTTTTGGGATGATTTCTTTTTTTTTTTTTTGCTTTCTCCACTTTAAACACTCTCCTGGTTACAATTACTACATAGAATATAACTGCAGGCAGACAGGTCAAAATTGCTCCAAAGTGAGATGGATATCACTTCATATCCTTAATGGTCGGTTTCCAGAGCTAAGATGGTCAAACTTAGCCTTCTTTACCTGTGTTTTCTTGGTGGCAACTTGTTGGAAAAGATTTGGACCTCCAAAGTCCTGCTTATTGTGCCTTATCTTCTTCCTCTTACCCCGGTCATATTCTTCATCCCTGTAAAAATTAAAAAGCAGGGCATTATGAGATTAAAACCTTTAAACCAGGCAAAGCTATTCACATACATTCTATGAGGAAATCAAAAGTCTGTTCTGCTCCAAATATTGGCAACATGGGCAGCTAAAGATGATATCGCGACCAAAGGAGGATAAAGAAAGAATGCATCTTTCTTTACTCACCATTCATCCAGAACATAACCGATTTTGACACTTTCCCGACCACTTGCTTCTATGGTCTGAGAGGGTGAGTCAATATCCACTTCATCCCATCTTGCAACTGCATTGAGCAAAACAGGCCAAACAATAGCTCAGCTAGTCAGAGAAAAATAATGACAGCAGGAATGCAGATGATGCAAAACAAATGAGTTCCAAAAGAAATGCAAAATGAAACAAATGAATTTCAAAAGCATGAAACAAAGGAAAGAGAGCATAAAAGGTTTAAATTCAGATGATGCACGTGTGATACAAATGAATTTCAAAAGCATAAGGCAAAATAGGAGCTGGAATAGATATTTTAGATAAGTACGCACCAGTTGTCACCCCCAGACTTCGGGTAAGCACATGCGGAGACGCATCCATTTTGCTATCTTTCGAAGAATCAGTTTCCCTTGAGTTATGCCGGTTTGCTTCTGAGACTGAGCCATAACTCCTTTCTACCTGTTGATCAGTTGCAAGAACAGTACCATTCTGATAAATCCTCTCGTTAAATTCTCCATCTATCGTATTGATCAAGGAACTGGCATAATTGCTAACATTTTTCAGATCAATATCATTGGCTGCCTTTTTCCTCCCATGATAAATCGAACCTAAAGTGATTGTGCTGGATTTCCCAGATGTAGATGGCCCCAGATCTTCAGGAAGCAAATCCTCATCCGTCAAAATTGTTTTACCAAGAACGTAAGCATTCAATGTGCGTTTCTTGCTCCTTTTATGTTTCTTCTTGCTGCTAATGTGTAGGGATGACCTGAAAATTTTAAATCTTAGGCCAATATGCATATTTTTACGCCGAAGCTTCAGATATTTCTTCTTCGATTTTCTACAGGATGCATAATCAGGAGCTTCAGTCTTTAAACATCCTTTTGGCATGCTCAACGGGGATTCAAAAATAATATTTTGTCTACCATCATCTCCCTTCTTGTTCAGTGACTTATCACTGGTACTGTTGTTGGAAGCATCTCCAACCTGTAAATGAAATGGGAATAAAATCAAAATCCAATGTATAAATATTATTACTAGTGTTAGATATGGAATATGATAAATACAATCACCTGACTACTCTGACAGTTTGGCTTATTTTGAGGTCTAATGGGGTCAACATTCTTAGATGTCTCATCAGTAGTACTCATAGATGGAGCTTCACCAGAAGCTTTCTTCACTGCTTTATTAACACAATCTTCTAGTTGAACTGTACTTGAAACCTCAATGTTTGAAGAATGATTAATCTGGAGGCATAAAACAATTTACAAATTAAAAACAGGTGCATATGCCGCCCATGTAGGAAAGGAGACAGAAACTTGTGTAGGGAATGAAACATGCATTTACCTTCTGCAAGGTCTCTTTAGTCGCAAGCTTATCAGCGGCTAAGTTCTGGAGACCACCACCGTTGGGTGATATGGTCAGTGGGACTCCAAAATCTCTTTTAGAATTTCCCCTCTCATTGCAGTCACTATCTTTGGCACCAATAATAACAGTTGAATTTTCAATATTAGAACTGTCAACATTGTCAACTACAGAATGCGCTGATAGGAGCAAATTTTCACCATGAATAGGGTTTGAAACAGTTGCTTGTGACGGATCCTTCAATAATGGCACATTGGAAGAGGGAAAAATGGACTCCTTTTTACGCACTGAGCTCTCTGCCATTAGGTGCACATTGTTTTGCTGAGATGGCACTTGCTTCATGCTTGTCTCCTTTGATAAGCCACCATTAACATTACCCTTTTTATTCATAACAGCAGAAGTGCCTGAAGCACATAACTTATTCTCAACTGAACCAGTTTGCATCTCTTCCTTAAGATTTTGATTAAACACAGACTTTCCATTCACATTTGCCTTTGAGTTATCTCTCTGAAGATTATCAACAGGTTTCCTTGGAGCAATATTTCTTCTGTCACGAACATAAAATAACATGTACGCCTTCTGCTCCAAAACAGTCCTCTCACTGACCTGGACAACCTGTTGCATTATGTTTGGAAACACATTAGAAGGTTCATTCTGAGATCCATAATAATGCATCCAGTAAGGATCTCTCCAATAACTAAATAAGAAAAGGAGACAGTTCCTATCCCCACCTTTAATCTCTCTTCATTCCATTACATGTGATGGAATAAATATACTTATCAATATATAAAGTAGTCCTCAATTTCCAATAATGAACATCTCTCATGGATTGCGAAAATAGTAGGATAAGCCACATTTTTCAAAGACAACAATATAGGTTCAGCACCTTGATCCTTTCCCCTTTATTTGTGGAAATTGAAGAAAGAGAAGGAGGCTCTTCCTAGTAAGTAGGGAATAATATCCTCTCACTGATCCACTCTACTAGAATTCTACTAGCTAGAAAAAATCTAAGGACAAAGTAGTTTCAAGTACCCTTTTGTCATCAAGGGAGTACCACATGCCACTAGATGTGCGAACAAAACAGTAGTAGTGGCCAGAATGAGTGCTCCATCCACAATGAACCAGAACGCCATAAAGAGTGTACTTCAAATCTCCTTCCTGCCAAGTCCAATAAACTTAACATTTCAATTAGTTATATAAAGCATGATGTCAAAGTAATTGGCAAGATATATTACAAGCATAGTTTCCCCACAGCAGAAAGCATCACACATCACAGTCAGGATGCAAAACTCTAACAAAATAAATATCAAATGAACAGTAAACTTCTTCCTAAGATCACTGCCCCTGAAAAGTCATAAGAGAAAAGACACTTATTTGACATTGCATTACTCTTTGGACACTACTTTATTTGTCTCTCACCAAATGGCTTAGATAACCTACAAACTCACTGACTTGAGATAAGTTACAGTGTGCAACAGAAGTTCACTCACATTGGGACCACTGACAAAAGGCTTCATGTCTAAGGTTGGACCAAATTCAACTTTCCGGTCAATCTTTTGGCCAAAATCATGTGCACGAAATCTCTTTAGATGGATGGTGAGTACATGAGGTGCCTTGTAAACTGTGAGCTGTTTCATGGCCCTAACTTTATGCTTGCAGCGTTGGCATTGATACTGCTTCTCCCCTCCATCCAAAAGCTCCGCAGCAGTGAAGTTTTTAAGTGCTTTAAGCAAGGAATCAGCCTTAGCTATTTCAAGACTTAAATCTAGAAAGGGATCAAATGTATTGGAGCAGTAAGAACACTGCATGCATTTCACCTGAAGATGTAACAAGAAACCATTGAATAATGTAAAGAAGCATCAATTTAAAAGAAGCTTAATCAGCAACTTGAACATATATAGTAAGTGCATTAACTTTCCTTGCTTAATTGCAACACATATAGAAGCTGTCAAAATCTAGCAAAAACTGTTTAAATTTGGCCATATCATAATCCAGCAAGAAAAATTTTACCTGACTACGAAGGCGACCACCAAAGATCTTGTGCACCAAACTCTTCTCATAAGCACTAGGAGATTCACTTGGTACTCCTGAAGGTAAGCAGCACTTGTGCATGGATTCCAGCAGGTGTACCATGTACTCATGTGCATCCTCCTGTCGAGAATTGCGGAAGTTCCGAGATATGCCTAAGCATGAGGTCAAGAATAACAAGGTCTACCAAGCTAAACAGCAGAATGCCTTAATCAGGGGAAAGTCATTAATTAGCTACCAATTTTAATATTAATTGAGGTTTAATTGGTGGCTGTAATATAATAAGTCCCTCAAATGAATTTCAGGAACTTATAGCCAACAGAAGCGCCTAGAGTAATCTCCATTGGCTAAGGATTAATAAGGTAATATCTCATGCATGATGCACAAAAAGGATACATCGTAGGTTTGAGACCAGATCGTTTGGAGCCAATATTCTCCCAGTTGATTGAAGAGCACGGCTAACATGTTTCTGGATAGCACACAAGGCACAAAATCCAGCAATACGGCCTTCACAAACGAATCAAAACATGGACATCAGAGATGAAAAATAAAAACATAACATGTAAAGCTAGCCTTGCACGTATAGCCAAAGCATAACATACATTGAAACACATAGAAAAAGCAGAATAGAGAAGAGACCATAGTTTCACTCACAAGAATTTTGATGCTTGCCACTTTGTAGGTAAGCTGCTAAAGGCTCTGTGTATGTCAGGCATTGCAATACCGAATTTAGAAAACAAGTGTTTCCAAGATTCTCCAAACCAGCACCCTGTAAATTATTCAAGTGGCTAATTGTAAAATCCACCTATTGGAAACAACCAAATACTTTGACGAAGAGAAAAAGCCACAGAAATCTCCCAAAACCGCTTTTGACAAAGGACTCCATGAAAACAAAATATGTATAAAAGCAAACTCAATGAAGTAACCCAATTTAACCATTCATGAAAAACATCCATGACAAATTAAGAAACTTAAAACACGCGCAGAAAAAGAATAGAATTTCACATAAATTCGTAATATGAAGTAAATAGTAAACACCACTAAGCTAAAACTAAACCTAACAAATAATTTGAGAGAAAGGAGACAGATGGAGAGGAACCCATCAATTAACAACTAAAGCATCAAAAGAAAAAGCTTACTATTTTACGAAAAGTAATCCTCAAACTGAGAACTGGATCCAACCCATTCTCCCACATATCCGACCCATCAGGCTTCCTTCCTGCAACACCCGCTTGACCAGACCCCACCCCGGTCGACCGCTTCGGATCCGGCCCAGGGTTTAGCGTCTCGATTCTAAAATCCCCACCGGCGCAACTTTTAAACCCATTGAAGGGCTTCCTTGCTGGATGGAACTCAATCTTTCCTTTAAAGAGCTGACCGCCACTAGAAGAAGTAGAACCCTGTGTCCCCTTTCCAAGATCAGAACGTTCTTCTTTCTCTGTTTTCGTGGTCAATTCTGAGCTACTTATCGTTCTTGATTCCATTACTCAAAACAAAAATCAGGTAAAAGATTCCGTACCTTTTAATTTCTAAATTTGGAGAGAAGGTTTTCGGTTGAAGAAAAAAGCAAAAAAAAAAAAAAAAAGCAGAGAGCTTTTTCGGCTTCTGCTCAAGAGGAAGAGAAAAAGAGAGGGGAAGCTCACTATTAAACCCTACTGCAAAGACTCTAGAATAAAAAATTATTAAATTTTTTAATTGGATATTGATTTAAATAGGTTGGGATACGATGCACCTGATTATTTCTAAAGGGTAACGCGTTAAATTTAACCATGGCCAATGGATCGCGAAACTCTGTCCTTAAAGCCAATGGCAAGCCGACACGACAAGGTAAATATGTTTCATAGGATGTTCCAAAATTTGCCGTGTTGTGTGGAGTTCGGGATCGGTTGGTCTGAACCTTACAAAAATTGTACACGTGGCTATTTGTGGTTTGTGGTAGGAGCGAGGTGGGCCCACTTTTGGGGGTAATGGACGGCCAGACTGTATTCACAGCGCATAGACTTCTGCCCATTTTATGGTGTTTGTGTTAATTATATTGAAATACCACTATTTTTGAAGCAAGTTTTCTATTTGATGTAGTATTAATTTTATCTTATCAATTAAGTGTTATTATCTCATCAGATAAATAAATTAACTCCAAAAATCCATTCTCAACTTGGATTGCAGACTGCAACTCGCATTTATCATAATCATTAATAATCACTAAATCACGGTAATGTTAGTTGTAATTATACAGGTATACTGGTATTATGTTGCACAAGTTAGATGTTTATATGTCAACAGAAGTCTTATTCTCAGACCTTATATAGATCACTCCTCAAATATTCATAATTTTAATTCTTACTATTTAGTAAGAGAATCCTTTATAGTAGTAGTAAAATTTAAAAGGTTTTATAACAAAGAAAACAATGCATTATAAAGTTAGATAAAAAGACTTTTTATTATTTTCACTCAACAAGTAATATTTAAATTATTTTAAAAATTATTATTATTATTATATATTAAAATTAAGTACGTAAGTCAATTCACTATTTAAAAGAAATTCGTATTATTTTGTGAAGTGCAAAAGGGAAATGTATTAACAAATCACTGGCTCTTAAAGGAGCAATGCAATCACCGACCGCTTATTGCTACTTTTACTCATAGGGACGTGTAAATACAAATCCAACTAAATTGAAGTGAGTCTAGTGTTTTTAATTTAATTTTTCTAATAATTTGATTGAGATAATTTGATTTGACTTTGATTATAAATTTTCTAACCGAATTAACCATATTTGAATAAAGATATAGTAGAGTTTTTAAGTGAAAAATAAATCATAAACTATTTGTTGTTATTTTTATTCATATGTTTAATTATTTATTACTTATGTGAGTATCTATCTTATTTATTTTAATTGTTCATCATCATTTTTAATATTTTTGTAGTATTGATTTATAAAAAAAAAGCAACATAAATAAATATATACAATTTTTTTTTTTGTAAATTCAATTTTCGAAAATCGAACTGAACTAACTAAATTAATTCGATTTTGATTAATTCAATTATTTGTAAAATTTGATTTAGTTTAAGTTATTCTTAAATATGAATTCAATTAATTTAATTTTTAAATATCTAAAATCAGGCTAATCCGAATAACTGTTTGTTCTACCCTATCCACGCGTGTGGGTCGATAAACACACACAATCCTACGTGCTCCGCACGTGACACAATACTTCAGCACAGAAGTTAAGATAAGCTGTATCAGAGTATACGTGTTTCTCGGGCTCAAAAGCATCGAGATTCAAAAGATTCTGTTCGGGCCCCAAGCCCAGATCAAACAGAAGGTTAGCGTTTTATCTTGCTGCCCAAACCTCTACATTTGGGTTTGAACCTGTCCCCGTCTGTACACTTGGGCTCAAACGAAGAACAGATGCTTGGCATGTATTTGGTCAAGGAATGTTTGGCAAGTGAATTACATATTACCTATACCATTATTTTATGGTGAAAATTTTAAGCATGGCCTTGGATTCATGCTTCATAATGTTTTGTGTTCATAATGATTCTTTAAGTAAAAAAATTATATATTAATTAATAAATAAAATATTTAAATATCATTTTTACTGTTGAGTTATTTATTTTGTTATTAGAATTTAAAGTTTAGGATTTAGAAATTAAACGATTTTTGAGTAATGGTTTAAGATTAAATATGCAATGTAAATTTATAAAATAATATATCAATTGAGACATTAGGTAGGAATAAAAGATTTTTATAAATTATTTGTTTTTTATCATTGAAATTTAGGGTTTAGGGTTTGTAAAACAAAGATTTGTTGTTGACAACGAAAGATCGGACGGGTGAGGCAAATTTAGGAAAAGAACATCGGACGAGGAGCGCCGATTGAGACAGGAGATGCTATCCAATTATAAAAAATTTCTCTCCAGGTGACCCCTCAACAGGGCCCCTATTGAGAGGTGCGGGTCACTGAATGGGCTACTACTGACTTGGGCATGTGAACAACTGGCTTTCCTTGGACCAAAATTGGGCCCTTGAAACAATTATTGCTTTCAGCATAAACTCTGAATTCTGAAACATGCATGCAACACATTGTGTCTTGTTTACTTTTTCTTTTTCTGGTCAGGTTGATCTATCTGTTAGCATTTATTCTTCATTTTAAGTGAAAAAAAAGGAAAAAAAAAAAAGGAGAAAAACCCAAGTTGACTTGTTAAAGGTAGTGCTGTTTGCTTTTATTACAGTAACAGAATATGAGGAACATAGCTTGATAAAGCAAGCATGCTTGACCAGACCAGAACCAGAACCAGAACCTTTCCCCACATTTGTAACTAACCCACCTCCAAGTCTAGTCTTCATGCTTCTATTGGACTAGGTTGCTAACCTTCTTCTTTCTTTATCTTTTTTCCATAAATATTTGATCGAATGTGTCAACTAATTCGGTTTATGTTTACGGAGTTGGTTAACAGGAAAACAACATATCAGATGCTTGATTGGTATAAACAGTTTTCTCATTTGGTTAAGCAGATCTGAAAGTGGTCATGGTTGTTCAGCAGAGTCTTTGCACCACTTTGTCTCATGAAAGCAAATGGGATGTTTGGGTTAGGTTCAACCTATGTATATCCCTTCTGGCCTATAGGGTGCTGCATTCTTTAGCCTGGTTAATGTGGGCTAACCACCACATTCTCTCCTCATCATATTCATGATGTGACATCAAGGTTATCATCGATGATTAATCTAACCAAGTATCTTTATAGGTAAAATTTACATGAGTTTGTACCTACTGATGCAAAATTCCTGAACCCATTTTGGAAGAGTGCTAGAAAGTTAACTGAAAGGAAGAGAACAATGTGGGAAGTTTCAGGCGGAGGACACTGGCATGAAGATTTGGCCTTTGTGAAATTTTCCCAATACAGCCAAAAGTAAGGTAACAATATTTTGTAGTGAGTTGGTGGTTGCTTCCAATGACTAAAAGAAGGAGCAGACATAGGAATCAGACAGAGCAGAAAGTGGAAACGAACGACCAAGGAGAGAACTAGAGACAAAGAACATAATTATCCCCAAGTTCTCTTTGATCTTAAGATAGCTTCTATTGTAATAATGATATATATCAGTAAGCTTAAGTCTAATTGATTATCTTTTGACAGAAGCTTGGACGATGTCATCGCCATCATTATAGAAATCTTCCTACGCATTTCTTTTTACTGTTTGTTATGCTGTCATTTCCCAATAATTTGCAGACAGGAATCAAACGTAAAAGACAACAAGATGGTCATCAGCTATTGAAGTTGCTTAACATGGACTGAAGATTGGCATCAATCACGATGTAAAATTCAGGACTTGGCCATCTATATTTACTTCATCTGTCAGTCTAGCTATGTGCTATAAATGCTTAACTAATAAAAGGATCACATATGTATATAGTTTGATGGGGAAGCCTTAAAGAATATGGGTTCAACTTAATTATAAAGATGATCACCCCCTCCACCCCACAAGAAAAAAAGGGTTCAAATTCAATTGAAGGAATCTTCTAATTGTTAGGAAAAAAGAGGGTAAAACTGATGGTTCTTGGCCCACAGTTTATCAAACCTAAGAATGAGGGGGATTATAGGATGCTTCCAACTTTCAGGAGAGTGCCTTGGAAGCATGGAAAATGAACACAGAAGCAGTAAATTAAGGAATGCCACCTAGTTGTTTCTTAGTAATTGCAGCAGAAGCCGACCTGCCATGATGTGCCGTCCATGACCCGCAAACAAAGCAATCACACAAAAACAGGGTGTGCTGAGATCAAGAACAAACAGGGGAAGACAAGAGTGATAGATTAAAGAAGTGTAGAAAGTCAAATTGAATTGGAGGATATAATTGTTAATTTTCCATGTAAAAATGGTGGCTTACATCACATATACTTATCCCAACGGCACAAGCTTATCATCATAGATTTGATTCTACAAATGCTAAACGACAAGAACCCTTAGTAAAAGCATGATTCGAAGAGTTGAATAAGGGAAGATTTTAAACGCTCTTAATGTCTCAATTTGCGTGTCAATTTGGTTTATTATTCATATCCCAATATGAGGCTCAAAATCAAATAATGGTGATAATAATAGAAAAAAGAAAGAGAAAATTGGAGAAAAAGAGAGAGTAAGACAGCCCACAAGACACGCTCTCTTTTAGGCCAAAGACTTTAAAAATTGATGACTTCATCGACAATTTCACTTGAGGCCTTGAATTTCCCAACTGAATTACCTTCTATCATGTTATGTATCTGCCGTTTGATTTTTTTAGAGTCCATCCGGTTTTGATATTTGTGAGCCATCGACGGCGGGAAGCAAAAGCAACAAACTGGACCCCACTAGAGACTACTTGATCTGCATAAAGCACAACCATTGTCCCGACCAATGGAAGACTCAGAGAGGCAAGGGACAGACGTGGAAGAAGGGAGAGAAAAACATGGAGAAAGCAATGTGAGAGAGAAAAGTCACAAGGAAAAAAGAAAAAAGTCTGAGTCAATTTATTTGAAAATTCAGACGCTCCAATTCTTCAATTCTACTTCACCAAATTCCACGAAATTTAAAACCCGGCGTTAAAAACCATTT